ACAGTCGACACCCCCCTGGGTTATGGTTTAGGTATGTCTGTCTCTTGCTTATCTCTAACATATTGCATGATGTGGAGTCGCGATCGGCCGTCCTTTCTGTCGGTTACCCTCGTCGGTTTCAACTCTACTCTACAGACTCCAGATTACTCTGGAGACAGCGGAGAAGTCTATTCGAAGCGCATCTGGACACTGCCACTGGGCAGGGCAGGACAGGGCAGCCATCTGGCCCGCTAGCCCAGGCACACGACAAGCCTCTTCTCTCATCTTACTCGTCCACCGCCGTCTGACTGGTTTCCCTTTTGAGCCCCTCACCGGAAGGTGCTGCGAATGCATCCGGTCCAAAAGGGCACCAGGTCAACCCGCGGTGCGTGGCGTGGTCTGTTCCCCCTTCCCGGTCGACCAGAAACGAATAACTGCCCGGCTTATAGTTAGGGATTGGGAGAACAATGGCTTCTGAATGGTTCCTCGTGGAACGCCACTCGCCCACATTTGCCCTTTGCTTTTTAGCTTGGCATTTGGGGGGTCTCGGCTGAACTCTGATGTTTCATTTTTTCCTTTTTGCCACGCAGGAAATACGACTGCCGACCGAACAAGAAGCAAAAGAAAGGAAAGGATAATAAAGAGAAATGGAAGAAAGAAAACTTCCAAAAAAAAAAAAAAAGAGGAAATTCAACGGCCAAAAAGAAAAGAACTAAACGTACTAACAACAGCTAAACAGAAGCAAGACTCGAGATGCTTCAAGAACGGAGGAAAAGGAAATCCGACCAAGAGCCGGTTACGTCGCCAGCACAATCGGGGCCCCGATCGGCGGAAGTCCATTGGCTACGATGACCACGGCTAATGACATTCTTATCAGCTTATCACCGCCCGTTATCTCGACTGAAATGCACGGGAATCTCTGCAATCAATTAATATTGCATTCACCATTGTGAATCGATTATCAGCTCGAACGGACTCTTGACTCTAGCGCCGGTGGACCCTGCTTTCCCTCCTTCTCTCCCGTGGGGCCCAAGATTGATCGATTGGCCTTTTCATGCTGATATTCGAAATTCGGACTGCATGGACAGTGGATACGAAATGAGATGGAAATGAAATCACCACGCTCGCCCTATCCCCAATCCGGCAATACCTAGGTAGGTGCTTTGCAATCCCGCTCGCTGCTGTTTAAACGGTCTCCCTAGACAACATCGCACCCCCTTCTTCCCTCCGCTTGGCATCCTCTCTGCCGTCCGACTGGTTTGCCACCGCCCAGGGGGAAGGCGGGCAGGAGTGCCCATCGTTCATCGTTCGTGGGGTGAGGGTCTACCGTCGCGGAATTACAAGGCAAATCAACGCGCCGTGACGAGGCTACCGTGTACCGAATGATGTCGCATCTATAGACCGGGTAATATCGACATGCCAGGGCCAGGCTAGACCTACTCCGAGACTACGGAAGCTCACTACTGCAAGCATGGGGGGGCGCCCGCAGCCGCAGAGACGCAAAACGAAAAAGAAAACCCCAAAAACCCAAACCCCAAATTAAAAGTGGATTCCTGGAAGACATTCATCCGGCTGCACAGCTGCACAGCAAAGTGAGAATGCATGTACGGTGTAGTGAGTGCATGAAGCAACCAGTCTAGCCATTGACCAGAGAGACGTTTGCCATTCGGGCCGGGATGATGGACAACAGCAGAGGCATGAGCGACCCCGCAAGGGAGGAAAGTGGATCCAAATCAATCTGGCACGGTTTGTGATTTGAGAGGGGAGGAGAATTTGATATTCGTCGCAGACAAATCAATGCGATCGGGGGAGTTCCATCTTGGCCATCTGAGGCTGGAAGGAAGAATGCGATGCAGCAGGCAAGTAAGGTATTAATGGCATCGGGTGGTAACCGCTTTACAAGACGTACGGTCCCGTCGTTCAATACCGGACCCGTACGAGACTCGGGTAAGATAGGAATCTAAGCTCTCGGTGAGCGCGAAGCATCAAGACTACGGCGAAGTTGCTTAAGTGCTGAAGACTTGTCTGCGATGACAGCCTGTCTTGGGGTTAGTCGGCTGAAGAAATGAACGATGTCGGAGGTTTGCATTGATCGTATCTAGAATCTCATCTCGCATTTAGGATCAGTGCAGAGATTCGATGGCAGTTGCACTTCCGCATTCGACGATCAATCTTCCTCTAAAAAATTAAGTCCGACTGCGATTCTTGGGAAAGGTCCAGACTTCAGAGAATCAACTAACTTTCCTATTAAACTACTCCTACTAGAAATTTAGAAAGAGTATATCCGGAACACTCAACTCTAAATTTAAATCGCATCCATGATCCATGCGCAGAACGTATCAATTCTGGCGGCCTCGGGACTCGTCCGGGACCAAACAGGGCCTGTCCGCCCCGCTGTTCTGTCCTCCGAGGCCCAAGTCTGCTCTGTCTTGTCATATCCGGAGGCTGATTGCTCCGGTTCGATTGAGTCGGGTTGTCCGATGAGCGGAGTCTGCCTGCTGTCTGTCTGTTCTGTTATCCAGTCGTAGTATCCACATCTCCGTCTCTATCTGTCTTTTTTAGTTACTCTTAGAATTTAAGCGTTAAGAGTCAAGATATCGGCCCGATGGGGGCGCGTTTCCTTTTCCTTTCCCCCTCCCCTCCCCTCCGTCCAGGTAGATGGGGTAGCCTATGCATGAAAGGTGCATTGTCCAAGCTTGAAAAGGATCTAGTCCCGACTTGTAGGATAACTAGTCTGGCCTGCCTATGCAGGATGGAGTAGGAGTAGATGTGATGTTGTCTTACTCGTTTACAGTGTACACTACCTAGGTAAGCTAAGCGGTGGATGTCCTTAGGTAGAGTACACAGTAACCTCCGGAGTAGTTGTAATGTGTACGGCGTAGTGTGTAGTTTGTAAACGAATGAATCACCATGAAGTCAGAAGTCAGAATGCCATTCCTGGCCCGAGCGGACTGCGATCCTGTTGGACGGGGAGAGAAAGGACGATCTGACTCGGTCGGACGCCGCGGTTTTTAACTGCACGAATGAGGATCAAGGGCATCGTCAGCTGTTAACATCATCGTTGTGCATTCATGCATGGATGCATCCATGCGTGGGAAGGATGAGGAGGAGGAGGAGGCAAATCGATTGCCTTCTTTTTCTTTTTTTCTTTTTTTCAATTTTGTGGCTTTGCTGTGTTGAATAAGTGAATACTCCGTACTTACTGAATAATACCTACCTACCTACCTAATTAATTAAGGAAATGGGAATATTGATTGATGATTGACTTCACCAATACCTAATGCTAATGCAACCAGGATGAGAATCCCACAGGACTAGACACTTCTGCTGTACAATAGGTAGATTAATTGAGGACTCCCATAATACCTCTATTTCCGCCGTATCGGGACGGCAGACAAGAATTGGGGTGGTTGGAAGCACGGTCATTGGCGGAGTTTAGTCCCTGTTAGGGCCGATGGATGACGGATCTGGTATTTTGTATCGGAGTAACTTGTTAGTTTTAGTTGGTACTTTTGGGAGGATTTTAGCCGATATAACTACTACCTACAGTACGCAGCACTGTACAGTGTGGACGTTGGTTCTGTTCAAGGGAGGTTGATTTCGGAGATGGGTTGCGGGTTGATTCAAGGGATAACTATCTATCTACGTACCTTGGTCTGCATACTACATTCTACAAACTATTGTACATCAATCGACATGAACCTGTGTACAGACTTCAGTCAGAGACAAGTCAAAGACTCAGTCAAGTGGAGCTTCGAGAACATCCCCGGCAACGTTAAACCACGAGCTCAAGCGCAGACTGGTTGGACCGACAGACTCGGTCTATTTTAGCCCGGGGCGCTAACAGCCACGCTAAGGTGGACAAGTCCAGAGTCCTAAGTAGGAGTACGGAGCAGGTCTAAATTAATTAGAGGACAGGTGCCTGGTTGCCACCGGGTGATGGTATGTGTATGGGTATTTCCGGGTATGGTATTGGGTATACTTCAGTATACTTAGTATAGTTACTGTGAGAGTATGAGTATACGGTGTACTCGAGTATACTGAGAGCACTACAAGTGCGAGTCTGTATTCAAGTATGAGGGTGAAGAGAGTGTCATATAGTATAATCTGACTGTTAAATCATTAACATATGTTGATTCTCGGTAATCAACCTCCTGTCCTTCCAGAGGAACCCCTCGAGACCCAAAAAGAAGACCGTTACTGGTTCCGGGCGGAGAGCGGTACGGTATGTAAGGCTGGCCTCCGTCATCCATTTTATTTCTCTTCCTTTCATTGTCCGCTTCCCCCCTCCCTCTTCCTGTCTTTCCTCTCTTCTTTTCTTCTTCTTCTCCCTCTCTCCTCGATTCCTCCATTCCCTGCTCGGTCGGGTCTTCTCTATCACTTCAAATCCCCGTCTGTGCCCTGCGCCCTGTTTTCTCTGTCTGTCGCTAGGTATGTTCATTTCGTTTGACTTAGTGCTGGGGAATTTTAGTGAACTGGCCAATGATGTATTATACATACCAACCACATCTACCTTACATTCCTCTCCCGCTTGGTGCCTGTATCTAGATGCGATCATCCTCGCCCTGAAGATGGAGATGGATTGAATCATCCACGCGCATTAGTTGATGCATCCAGCAAACTAACAGACCGAACAACAGATCAGTTGAAACACCCTCGTTCTTCCCGTCCGAACAAGTCGTTTACGGCGGGTAAGCTGGAATTCCTGACTGGCCAATCCTCCCACACAAGAGCAGGGAATTCCCCCTCTCATTGCCTGGACGCTTCTCTTCTCTTATCTCTCTTCTGCTCTTCTCGTTTCTCTTCAATTTGATTTGATTTGATTCTTATTTTTTATTTTTTCTACACTCCCTCCCTCCCTCTTTTCGGAGTCTAATCTATTTTTCTTTTCACCCCTCCTTTGGAATTCCTCGGTCTTATCGCCTTGCATACCGGGCTTTTATTTTTCTTCTCTTTTCTCTTTTTCTCTTTTCTTTCCCTGGCCCACATTCAATAAGAAGGGAGAGAAGGTCCGCGAGATCATGTCCGGGTTGACCCTCGGGCGAGGTCCTGGGGGCGTGCGACCGACTCAACCCGCCGCTGGCTTCGATTCCTCCGCCGACGCCGACCGGTCTTCCGCCTCCCTTCAGCATCGTCAACATCAGCAGTTTCCTCCTCCCACTTCTTCCTCTCAACTCTCCGACGACTTTTCCTTCGGTTCTCCTCTCAGTCCGCCCGATTCGTCTCATGTGCAGGACGGTGGTGTACTTCAGGACTCGCTCTTCCCCGAGTGGAGCACCGGCGCGCCGCCTCGCGTTGGGATCGACGGTCCCGATGAGATGCAAAGGCAAGATCCGTTAGCCACCCAGATATGGAAGCTATATTCTAGGACCAAAGCCCAGTTGCCCAACCAGGAGCGCATGGAGAATTTGACCTGGCGAATGATGGCCATGAGTTTGAAGCGCAAGGAGCAGGAACGGTTATATCAGTCGAGGTTTGTCCCTAGCGTTGGTTGTCTTACAGTGTCCCTGTAAGAACTTTGTATCTTGGTTGGAACATCTGGCTTATTATGGGATTGATTTCGACCCGTCCAAAAGGTTTCCTGCCCGAAACAGCATCTCCGGCCCGAGTGGCATTGCCCAATTGCGCATCTCCGACCGAGCTCCTGCCAACCTACCGTCATCCACTGCGACGGATCTTGCGACGGATTTCGCACCTGATCCGGCGACCGATCCGATGAACCTGGACGATTTCATCGTTCCCTTTGAATCCCCCTCCGATCATCCATCCCCGAATGTCGCCACCAAGGCGCCCCCCCAGTCGACCAGCTCCGCCGCGATCCCCATCAAATCTCGCAAGGACCAAGTGGCCGAATCCACGCCCGTGCCCGCCTCTTTCCACCATCCGGCTCAGGACCAGCGCAAGAACAGTGAATTCGGTTATGTGCCCCGTCGCGTGCGCAAGACGAGTATCGATGAGCGTCAGTTCTTTGGCTTGCAGTTGCCTAACCGCAAACGACCGGCCGAATCCTCGCCCCAGGTTCCCCCCGTGTCCAACACCATGCTGGCCCACGACCCCGATCTCTCCGGCGGCGTTCCGGATTACGCGTTGGATGCGACGACTTCGTCGGCGTTTGGTCTGCATCACGGTAGCCAGCATGTGTCAACCCATGCCAACCACACCTCGCCAGGCGTGCCGTTCGGGCTAGATACCTTCACTCTCGGCGAAGACCCCATCCTTCCCTCCGCCGGCCCCTATCAAACCCACTTTACCTTTTCCCCGAGTGACTCGCCGATGACCTCGGGTAATCCGTTCACCAACCTGTATGCGCAGACGCCCGTGGCGTCGTCCCTTAACTCCACCGATTTCTTTTCGCCCCCTCCCTCGGGATACCAGTCGACCGTGTCGACTCCGCAGCCAGCCTACGATGGCGAGCATTCCATGTATTTCGATATGCCGTCGGTGGAGACACGCACCCAGCGCCGAGTGCCTAACTACGTTTCCCACCGTTCGAACCTTTCGGCGTCGTTGCAGCCCCGATACATGTTCAACCAGCATGACCAGCAAGCACCGCAGCAGCAGCAACAGCAGCAGACCAATGCGAACACAATGCATTCTCCGGGGTATCCAGTTCCGCACGTTGACCCGTCTCAGGTTTTGGGCCCGGGTGATTTTACGGCTTCCCATACAAACATGTTCTCGTTCGGTGGCGATTCCGATAACGAAGACGACGACGGGCGTCCATTTTCGGAGCGTGCCGGACTCGCGATGCCGGCCGAATTCAGCGATGAGAATGGAGACATGAACTCGGGTATGCAGTGGGATACCTCGTTCCCGGGGTCGTTTCATTCGCTGCCGGGATTCGCTCAGCATCGCAAGCATGTCACCATCGGATCCGCGGATATGATGGACACGCCTAGTGAATGGAACAGCCCGAGCGGTAGTCTCGGACGAACACACGGATCGGCGGCCTCGGTCAGCGAGGTTCGCAACCGGGAGCAGGATCCCCGTCGCCAGAAGATTGCCCGGACCACCTCGGCGACCAACACGGCGCAACTGCTGCGGCAGAGTATGAACCCGGCCAACACCTCGCACACTTCGCCCAACACCCCGCCCGAGTCCGGTCTGAGCAGTGCGGCTCCTTCGCGGCCCGCGAGCCCCGGAGGCTCGAAGAACGGCGAGGGCAGCACGGGGCCGACGACCTGTACCAACTGTTTCACCCAGACCACTCCGCTGTGGCGACGGAACCCCGAGGGACAGCCGCTGTGCAACGCTTGCGGCCTGTTCTTGAAGCTGCACGGCGTGGTGCGACCGCTGTCGCTGAAGACGGACGTCATCAAGAAGCGCAACCGTAGCAGCGCCAACAGCCTAGCCGTGGGCACGTCTCGATCGTCCAAGAAATCCTCGCGCAAGAACTCGGTGCAGCAGGCACCCGCTACGACGCCGACGTCCAGTCGTGCTCAGAGCGGGACGGCTTCCGAGTCTCCGCCCGCTATGTCGAGCGCCCCGGGACGAGCGTCTGGCGTGGTTCCGATTGCCGCCGCGCCACCCAAGTCCGCTCCGTCTGTTGCCGCCGTCACCTCTTCCGCCACCGCCGCATCCCCGGGAACCGGACAGCCGCGCAGCGCGGTGCAGGTGGCTCCCAAACGGCAGCGGCGGCTGGAAAAGGCCAGCGACGAGACCGAAGATAGCAACAAGTCTTCCGGTCGATCCAAGGTGGTTCCCTTGGCTCCCGCGATGCCTCCCGCCGCGGCGAACCCGGCCAACCACAGTATTGCTGGTGGACAAGGCGCCAGTCAAGAATGGGAATGGTTGACCATGAGCTTATAATTCTCTTACACTCTTTTCATTTTTTTACTCGATATTATCAGCAATGCCCACACGACCGATTTCATAGATATGAAAAGAACCGAACCATGCTCGCTAGACGAGCGACGGTTCTGTTTTCATCAGGGGAGGAGGACAGATTAATGGTGATGAAGGAAGGAAAGCTTGTGATTTCTTTTTTTCGGATATTATTTAATGGTTGACTCTAGCGCCTGATTTGTTTGCTGGTTTGTGATTTGTCTTATGTTTTATGTTTCATGCTCTGCTGTCTGATTTATGTTTGATACAATCGCGTCTGTCCGGTGTTTGTTTTATGGCTTTGCCGGACAGAAGTGCGCACTGTGATTTGATTTAATTGATTGCTTTGATTTGATTTTCTTATTGATTGCTGGTTTCCGTCTTATTGAATGGATTATAGACTGTTATGTTCGTGATGTTATTGATGGGTTAGGTAGTTATGATATTCTTTTGAACTGATTTTGTATATGTAGATGGCGTATATGTCTGGATTCATCCTCGTAACCAACGTAGTAGAGATGAATTATGCATGATGAACAAGTAACAATGTGTACGGAGTACTTCAGTGGACAGATTGATGAGATAGACACCTCATGCATATTACGATAAGATGCAGATCACGTGCTGATAAGCAGCCTTATCGTCTCCAAAATTTCCTCTGCTTTTTTCTCCGCAGATCCTCGAGGCCTCCGACTTGAACGGTCGCACTTGCGCAGAACACGAATTGCACGAAAAACACAAGAAAGAAGACAGAAGAGACCATGGGTGCCAGCGCAAAGAAGAAGAAGGAGAAGCAGAAGGACTTCCAGGTATGTTGGCACCGTCCATCTTTCCCATTCCCTTCCGTTCCAGGTGGAGGGAGTGATCCGCATAAGAGAGATATTGATTGATGGTTTGATGCAGAAAACGAAATTGAAGGTCGGAAAGACAAAGGCCAAACCGGAGAATTTTACAGATACGAGTTTCAAGTCGAAATGTACGTTCCCACGTTCTCGCCTCCTTGCGCTTCACCCGTCTATCCTCCCTAACAACATCACACACACACACCACCAGCACCCTCCTGGCTGACTGACTGACTCAAACAGCAATAACCCTAACCCAACAATCCCTCACGCTCACCGCGCCCACCCAATCAACACAATTCACACACTCCCTCTCCCTCCTAACCAGCAAATCCGACACCCAACGCCGCGACTCCCTCTCCCACCTCGCGACGGCCATCTCCTCGCGCCCCGTCTCGTCACCCCTCCCCGTCCCGGTCCCGTCTCTCCTCCCCTCCCTCCTCCCCCTCATCCTCGACGCAAACGCTTCCGTGCGCTCCGCACTGCTCAAACTCCTCCGCACCCTCCCAGGCAATGACATCCGCGACCACGTCTCCGCGCTCCTACCTTACATCCGCGCCGGCATGACCCATCTCGCAGCCGACGTGCGTCTCTCGACCCTCGACGTGCTAGAGTGGTTGGTCGACGTGGCTGGGGAAGAAGTCGTCAGTGCGCCTGGTGGCTGGGTGAAGTTGCTGAAGTGCTTCCTGGCGCTGTTGGGTTGGCAGACGCCCGATCCGGAGGGCAGGGAGAGGAGTAAATGGACGAGTTTGAACTCGAGAGGGAGTTTGGGGGTCGAGGCGAGGGGGTTGCCGGGGTATCCAGGTTCTGGTTCTGGTTCTGGAGGTAGCTCTGGTGGTAGCGGTAGCACGGGGGCAAAGAAGCCAGGTTCCGGATCCGGCTCGACAGGACGTGTCGATCTCGGGAAAGCCTCGAAGCAAGGCAAAGGGCTCATTCGAGGGTTGACGGTTCTCGGTGTGTTTTTGGAAGCGGGACTGGCGCCGCACTTGCGATCTGTTCCTGGGACGGAGGGTGGTCATGCAGACGACGAGGGGAACGCGGGTGCTGGTACTGGTTATGACTTCCCGGTCCTCTCGACAGTCCATCTCGTGCCTGGCTCCGCGCAGCCATACGCGTATTTGAATCTATTCGGGGCGCCCCGGGACACGGACGGCGAGATGTATGAGACGCAGGAGGATCGGCATCGTGTGTTCGTGGAGGGCGGGTTCTTGGGTTCTGTGACGGGGGGAGTCGAGGGGGCGAGACAGGAGGGAGGAGAGGTAGGGAGGGTGTCGAGTTTGATTCGGAGGGTGTTGGCTTCTTTGTAGTATATACTATTATACATTATACTCATACTCATACTTATACATTATACATGATGCAGATTGTTTTGTTTGGTTTGTTGGGATGATCTACACAGAAATCATATCAATTTACTTTACTTAGCTAGAGTTACCTATCTGCACGACACCTGCCTACCTAGCTAAACAGCGGACGGTTTATACAAACCGGTCAAATCTACATTACTATTACTATCACTATCACTATCACTATAGTAAGGTATACCTCCTTACCATATATCCATCTGCCACCTATTCATTCTTCTATTCTACATGACATATCAACTAGGTATCAGAACTCATAAAGAAAACCCACAGGAATACATACATACATGCTGCTAGTGAACTAAACTAAACTAACCTAACCTAACCTAACCTACCAAGCTATAGCGTTGAAGATATTCCAGATCCAGAAAACCCAGTAGTTATTAATTTCTTTTATGTAAAAAATTTTGTTTGCTCTGCTTGTAGTTCCCTGATAGATACCAACCTAACCAACCTATGTGGATGTGGAGGGTTGTATGTAGTATATATATAATAAAGTTAATGTAGAACAGAGAGGTTAGGCCCTAGTAGTTACTTAACTGACTATTGTGGGTGGAGAGAAGAGGTACTATACTGTACTTGCTACTGGTTCGTTCAGAAGACGGTGAGGTTCGTTCAGCGGAGAGTTGTTGCGTTGTCTTGCCTTTTGTCTGTCTGGGAAGGATGGCGGAGTAGAATGTTGGATTCCATGGTATTACCATTGCGGGTATATGTTGACCTATGTGTGTACCTGGGTTTGGATTATGGGTTTGGATTATGTAGAGGTCATGGATGGATTCAGATTCATTTCATTGGATCTGTACTGGATTCGTAACAATGTAGTACCTAACGGGTAGAGATAGAGAAAGGAAAGAAAAAAGAGAGAGTACCAAAGGCAGAAGGAATAAAAGCACATGCCGCTCGAGACGTCGACATACTCCCGGGTTCTGCGAGATGATCATTGGATCCGTCTTATCAACGACCGCATACCAACAGATGAGACGAGACCCGACGTGGCATTGAGGAATGAATCAATCGCTGATCCCTCGGTGACAAATAGATAGGTAGGTACATTGGGTGAACCTCTTGTCTTGTTCACACAGAACCCCCGACTAGCTTCTGCCTGCGAGCAACCACAAGAACTCAAATAGCAAACAATGCTATAACAAAGACAAACTCTAATGGGCTTCCTCCCCAGGCAACCTCACATCCTCCCATCCCCTCCCATCACCAACGCCCGCCAAGCTCCCCCTCCTCCGAATCCCCTTCCACTCGGTCCCATTAATCCACCCGATCTGCTGCAGTCCTCCAAAGCCCCCAATCCAATAAACCTCCGTAACCACCATCCTAGCCCAGAAGCTTGAATGCGGCGACCCGGGCCGTCCAGGCAACCAGACGCGCGCGTCGGGGTGGGTTTTCGTATAACAATCCGTCAACGCGACGCTCGTGTCGTCAGGCACAGGGACCGGGAATTCCTCGAGGTACCCGAACAGCGTAGCGCGGGGTAACCCGGCCTCGCTGGGCGGGAAACCAGGGAAGACGGGATTCGTGTCGGCCAGGTGGTCCCACCAGTCGATGGAGAGGCTGAGGTTCGAGCCGGCGGCGATGTTGCGGAAGGTGGTGGAGACGTGCAGGCCGAGGAGGGTGGGGTCGCCGTTGCCGCCGTGGGAGGTGTGCGAGGGGAGGTGCTCGTCGCAGTCGGAGATGTATTCGCGGAGGCTGACAGATTGGCCGGCGAGGGAGGCGGGCGTGTGTGATTTGCCCGGGGCGGGGGAGGGGAAGATGGTTGAGATGACGCCGGTGGTGGAGAGGGCGAGGAGCCGGCGGGCTAGCAGGGTGGAGGTGAACCATGAGGGGGCGGCTGTTGCGGCGACGGAGTCGTCGGCGTAGATGGTATCATGTTCGTGATCGCGGTGGGATGTATGTTCGAGGGATTGGGAGGATGAGGTAGACTCTGAGTCGGTGCTTAGGAATGTCTGGCCCAGGGCGCGAGGTTCGCTGCCCACTGGGGTGGCTAGCACCGGAGCAAGGGGACTCAGTAGGAGACCAAAGGTGGAGAGAAGGGCGACCGCGCGACTGCCCATCGTGTCTACAGCACGTTTTCTATAGACAGAGATAAGCTTATGATACAGAGATAGGAATATGGGGAAGAGCTGGATTGAGTATTCAGAGATGAGGTCGAAGGAAGGAGGAGTGAGGGGGAGGCACTTGACCGCAGCCGGTGACCTGATCCTCGGCTCGTCTGATCAATCTTATCTGATGGCGCTAGTCTATGTTTGGTTAGCTTTCCAGCTGTATGACTAACCAACCACCTGACTCCGATCCCGGCCGTTCCCGATACTGCCTCAGCAATCAGGCAGCCAAGTCGTGACTCATGGGGCGGCGCCACTGCGCTCTCGGAATACAAACCAGCGAATGGTCAGGCGTGGCGGTGAGTCAGAGACTGCCGGCGGTCAGGTCGATCCAGTCGCGTGAGACGTGAAAAGTCATGCGAGAGAAGAATTTGACAGTCCCGTCATTGGCGGGCGTGACCTGGTGGTTCCACAGGCAGCATTTACGGACGAAAAAGACCACGAGTTCTTGTATAGACGTAGATTTAGGTATGAGGTAATAGGTAATCGGTAATAAGTAATCCAAACAAGCCCTGCCATCCCACACACTCCGAGAGACCCAATAACAAAAATTGTAGACAAAGAAATGCAAGTATAGATAAAGATCGAACCCCTTTCGTAGACACAAGAACCACCCCAACATACATCATACAAACCAGGGCTTGAAATCAAACAAACAAAGCCCGTTGCTCCGTGCAGGCGCCGACGCAGACTCCCATCTCGAATCCTGATAGAACACCTGGGTATATACAAATGACGAAGAAAAAAAACACCGTTTTTTCCCCAATGAAAAATAAACAACCGGAGACAAAGTTCGCACAAAACTTTTTTCCTCTGGCTAGTCTGCGTCACGTATCTGCAAGTCGCGGTCCATGACCGGACAGATGATAAAGTTATGCAATAATGAAGGCTTTGTTCGTTTCCATCTTCCTAGGAAAAACACAAGAAAAGAACGTAGATCACTCAGGTCCACTGCATAAAGAGAGAATAGAAGAACATCGGGATCTAGCCCAGATATTCGGCGCGCATCGTAGGATTCAACGCGATCTTGTTCGCTTCGCTGCCGCAGCAGGCCCGTTTCATACCGACGGGTCCCGAGAGCGGTGCATACGAGTTGAGGGCCTTCAATTGCGTGGCCGTCAAAGACTGCGAACGACGCGGACCCGAGTTCAGAAACATATCGGCCATCTTCCCATCAGGGAGGACCGTTCCGTGGCGAACCGCGTTGGAATGGATCAGGTGGCGAACATGATTCTGAAGCGGGAAATCCTCGGACCCGGCGCGACCGCGCTTGCGGCCCTGATGAGGCTGGCGAGATCCGGCGCTGCCGCCGGAGAGTGCACAGAGACCCTGGGCCGCTTCGTGCGCAGAAGTGGTGTCAACCGGAGTGCCCAGCGTAAAGTTGGACAGATCGGAAAGGGGAGCGGTCGGGCCGCCGTACTTGTCCAGGGAGGAAGAGTGGTAGAGGTCACCCAGCGACGTCTCGTCGATGGGTGACGCAATAGCCAGAGGCTTCCGGTTTTCCTTGTTCGTAGACCGAAGCGCGGCCTGCACCGCCAGGCGGGGCAGGGTAACGCCCGATGCACTAGACATGGAGGACGACCGCGAAGACTGCGAGGACAGGGTGGAAACGTCCGAAACCATCGAATCCGGAGAGGACGCAGACGAGGTCGAGCGAGCCAGAGAAGACCGACGGACCATGGTCGGGTAACCATCAAATGAACCGTTGCTAGTCTTGGGGCAGAGCGGCAAGGAGGGGCGCTGGTCGAGAGTCGACCGCGCCATGCACATGTTCTGCACCTGAGACATGGCGGAACAGATGTACCGTCGGTGGGGAGGGTAGGAGCCAGCACTCGCTGCAGGAGTGGTGGCCATGCTCGACTGGGGGGTCATCTGCGGGGTCGGCAGCATAGGTGGCCGCGGAATCGAGGGCAGGGACGGGTTGAACGAGTCCACCGCCGTGGGATGAGTCGTCCGAGACTCGGGGATCCGCTCGGACAACGAGGGCAGGACGCAGGGTTCGCCCGCGGGGTAGGCCGAGGGGTAGGACGGGTATGCTCCTCTCGCCGTCGACGAGCTACGAGGAGACGGCGAGTCCGCCATAGAGCGGACATCGTAGCCCTCCAAGCTTGCCGGCGGGGTCATCGGAGCCACGTCCACTTCTTCCAGGTCGGGCGTCAGTCTCGGGATCACCGAGCGCCAAGAGTAGCCTTCCAGAGCCATCGCGCCGGCTCCGGGGGTGTACTTCAAAACGATGTCGGTCCATCGCTGGAAGGTGGCCTCGGTGATGTGGAGTTTCCAGTCAACGGCCTGCAAGAACATCAACTCGTTCTGGTTGATCTCGAGGGTGTTGAGACCGGAAATCTTGCTCCAGGCGCGGGCCGAATAGTTTCGGTCCTGCAGGTACTTGGAGGCCAGGATCAAAGCCGCAAGAAACATGCGTCGGCCACATTGCATGGCTCGGCAGGCAGGTTTACCGCGAGTCTGATCCTGCGTCAGATCATGACTAGGCACGTGCGGCTTGATCTTGATCAGATAATACAGAGCAACCTGCAACGTACTGTAGCTGGTCCGAGACCTGCGAAGCGTCTCTTGGATGAAGGTGCGAAGAGGCAAAACCCCCTTGCACCCCGTCGTCGAGTCACTCCGAAGAGAGACGGCCGATAAGGGCCAGATGATCTCAACGATTTGCGAAGCGGTGTCTTTTTGTACCCAAAAAAGGAAAGAGAAAGAAAAGCTTAGCCAGACGCCCGAACGCCAACGAGATGTTTGAAAAAAAAGACTTACCGACAAGGTTGTCGACAAAGTTCACCTTCCGCTCCGACTGTCGCATGAGACACGGCGGAGGCCGCGTGGTGCCGTTGTTGCCCTGAAGGTGACTCGTGCGCCGAGGGTGCTTACGTAACTCCGGAGCCACCGGGAGGTGAGTCGGGAGGTCGGGCTGGGGCACTTTCAGATAGCAAGCAGCACGCTCCCGCGGGGCATGCAACGAGGGCAGTCCTCGGCCTGCCGCCGGGTATTCTCCGTCATTCTCCCAAATCACATCCACCGAATTCGTCGAGGTCGAGGAGATGGATCCCTGAGTGGACAAGCCATCCAGGGAGAAGACCGACGAGGACGAAGAGGAAGCGGAAGAGGAGACGGACGAAGAAGTATAAGGGTGCGCATGAGACGCCGTGTATGAAAGACCAGGGTTTGGATCTTTCAAACCCAAAACGTCAATTCCTGTCATATCCGATAGGGTGTACTGTATATCCAGTCAAAGTGTGACCTATGATTGAACAAGCTTCTAAGCAAGTCAAAAGATGGTCATCCGAGAAGAGGATAGCGAGTAGATCAAAGTCGAATATGGCGAAGGGTTTGCGCGGATGTAGAAACCGTGGTAATGTTTTTTTCAAAGAACCGTTGTGCAGATAACCGTTAACGAGATACCGATAAGACAAGAAACCGTCTTTTGTTCACAGGCGACGGCAAGCCTTCGAGAAGTAGTTCGCCAGTTTATCGTATGGGGGGAGGAAGTGATAAGAATAAAAAGATAAAGCGGCGGTGGCGGAAAAGATGGAGAAGGGTTATGAGTCAAGGAAGAGTAACAAGATGATTAGGTAGATATCGGGCAAAGTAGATGAGAAAGGGGATTAGATCTAATGTTCCGATCACCCGGTGTAAAGAAGTCCAGGTGTAGATCCAGCCGAAAGAAGCGGAGTATCAGCAAGAGACACGTAGGAAGAGTATACACCGCAACGTGACTCTTTCAACTTCAGTTTCTTTCGAGAGAAGTCTAGACAACGATCTTGCCGGAGAAGCGGAGTTCTGAGGGAGCGGATTCTTCAACACAGGCGATCGGAACAAAAGATTTCGAAGCAACAGAGTACATCTTGAGGTTGGATATAAGTATGAAAGGAGGGTTAAGAGGGAGCCGCTAGAACGGCAGACCGTCTAAACAAGCAGGCAGATTTGGCGCTTGTCCAGGCAGTCAGCAGTTGTTCGACAGCTCTTCGCGGGGGGTGGCGGGCGGCGGATGACGAAGGATGAATGAATTATGAATCTAGAGGCGAAAACGAAGAGAGGAAAATAGTCAGCAACGAGGTCATCGGACAGTGGGCCTATTTTTGGGGCGGCGGCGGAAGATTTTATGACTCCCCAAGGTAGAGAGGAACGCTGCCTGGAGGGTCGGGAAACTGACTTATTATTATTTGGGGGGGAGGGAAGGGAAGAGGGCGGAGCGGTAGACTAATTCTAGTATGACTAACCGGGGGGGGCGAACCAGTCAGAGTGGGGGTGGGCAGACAAGAAGAGGATTTCTTATTCAGAGTAGAAAAGTGAAGAAGGGGAAAGGTTGAATGGCGAGATTTGGGCAAGAACAGATGTTACTCACAACGGTGGCAAGAGTGGCGGACGCCGGGACCAGTTTTTCTCAAGGGAGCAGAAGAGCGGAGAGAACAGACAGACCAGAAAAGAACAACAGTTGCAAAAATGAAATAAAAAGCACAGAAATAAACAGTAAAGGAAAGAGAACAGATGAGAAGAGAAGAGAGAACTTAGGAGCGGAGAGAAGTAGGTCGTCCTTTCATTGAAAGGGTGGACTTGGAGAGAGAAGAAGAAGAAGAAGAAGAGAACAGGAGACGAGAACGAGTCAGGATCGGGAAGTGGCCGGGAGCAGAAGGTCGATGACTCCGCGCCGTTTCCGAAGAACGCCCAACTTGGGCATGGTTCGTCGACGGAGTATATGCTATCGGTAGAGACTCATGACCTCTCTAGATTTTTCAATCTCGTCATGTAAACTCTGTTCTATTCTTTTATCTCTTCCTCTATCACTTTATGGTATCTGTTGGCAGCATATCTATAGATTGTAGATACCGATTATCGATGTTCCCGTCCTCAGGCATCCATACTCTGGAGTAGAACAGTTAACTGTGCAGAGTATGACTACCGATACTCCAGACAGTGGAGTCCTTCGTAGTAGAATTAATGATTAAATCATATCAATAATCGAAGACAAAGACAACTCCGTCATCCTCCCAAGTTCCTAACAGTCAGGCACAAAGCGCCGAAGACGGACGGGGAGTCCAGCCGCCTCCACGCCACCCTTTCGCGGCCGGAGAGGCTGTGAGTCGGTGACGCAGGCGGTGTTCTCCTTTTTGCTGCATCCTATTTTTATCATCTCAATATATAGTATGCTATAGAGTACATAATAATAGACTACACAGCCAACTCTACTCCGTACCTTATTCTGACTCTTACTCTGCAAACATCTTAGAACTTACTCCGTAGAAATCAGGAAAAGTCCCGGCATAACTCCCCCCGACCATGGCCAACTAAACTCAAGCCGGTCGCGCAGGCAGGCATAAACGGACAATTCCATGGTCGTGCAAAGACAACTGTCCTTGTGGGACCACCAGGCAACAGAGAACTCCACCCGAGTTAGTCTTACTGTCGACGACGAGACTGGCCGGGGGGGTTGGTATTTCATCAGCTAATGAGAATGATTACGAAGATCATCAGACTGGCCGAAGGTTGGTTCCTTTCATTTGTCTCCCTAATCCTTAGTCAGGGAGTATTATGAATCTTATGATCGGGGTCATCATTCTTACTCATTCTGATTGTTTGTCTTGCGGGTGTATATGCGTCGATGCGGGTCTTTCTTTGTCTACCTGCAGGATACATTCTGTCAAGTACTGGACTTACAGTAGTATTAGGGTACATATGTAATGTACATATTGTCCTGCGTGTTGTCAGTAGTGTATCTCCAACCTGAGAGTGTACTCAGTGCTAGAGTAGTAGAGATGTACTCAACTGAAGACGGATGTGACGGCAGCAACGCCGGCGCGTAGAACCCGTCCTGGCTGAGTCATAAAGAGTCACGTGCAGACAGATGCCGGGGATCCCGTGAGAGTCGGAGAGTCGGAGAGTCGGACTTGTCGGAGACAATAGCTCTAATAGATGTTTCTGTTTTCTCAATCTTAGAAATCTTCTACGTGGGATACATGATAGAGCATGTTCTTGATTACTATCTCTGTGTCCATTCTCGGACCTATTCATTTTTAGAACTAGTCTCTACAATATACTTCGGAAGACACCTAATCCCCGCCGACAAAAGGTATATATTCATAGCACCCGCCAAACCACAATCAAAACGTACAAATATCCCTACTCCAAAAACGTACCACCATTACTGCGTAGACCCTTATCATCAAAAACCCCAAACCCCAACCAAACCCAAAAACTACCCTCAAAACCAATAATATCCCCCTGCGGGGTCACGCGTGGACCAGACTGGACTCGACCGCACTGGACCGCCAACCCGGTCCGAGCTGCATGCGCCGGCAGGAATGCAAATGCAATGCAGTTTTGGGCCGGAGGGTTGGTCTTTTGTGTGAAAGAGAGAGGAATAGAATATACGAGTACTTTGTCCTTTCTCCTTTGGACAGTGTATGGTGTACTATGAATAACTATATTTTTGGTATATCTACGACTTCGTAAAGTGGCTAGCCACTAGTAAGTAACCCCATACCCCCTTCCCTCCTCTGTCACAGGTCCTGTGAAATGTAAACCAAGCCCGAAAGGCCAAGACCACAAAGCTAAAACGACCATGCATACCCCGTCCACGCAACATGCACGTTGTCTTGTCCCGTCAGTCCGACAGAACGACACCGTCTCGCCCGATCGGGCAAGCCGTGCATGGAAAGGATGCGTGCTAATGCAGGCTTCCCTTCCCGCATGCCAGCTTTGGATTGTCGTTTGCTCGTGTATGTAGTGTCTACTGTGTACTGTAGGTAGGGTTGAGGTGCTTTGTAAGGATTACTGTTAAGGTACTCGGATCCTGTCTGACTCTGGGCTTTTAACTAGACGTAGGTACGGTAGATATTGGTGGAAGTAGCTAGGTGATAAAGTTCTCGATCTACTTGTTGTAGTGGCTAAGTGACAATGAAGTTATCGGGTTGAGGTGGTGAGTTGGGGTTATGTGATTGGATTAGGATCTGCTTTAGGACCCGGGAAGGCATTAGGAAATGTGTACGGAGTATGTGTATGTCTATATGGATTTATGCAAATATACATAATCCCTTCAACTATAGTATACTATAGTCCACGCACGAGAAGAGTACAAAGAAGCAAGACCAGAACCTGAAAGTGGAGAATACCTTACTCTCAACCTCCCCCCTGTCAACGTAGGATGTCTAATCGAACCTACCTACCTACCTACCTACCTACCGGAGTATACTTATTCATACCCAACAACCCAATCCAACCCCCTGTCCAGTAGTAAACCACAACTATACCTACCCCCTACCACCTACTCCCTGCCCTAAGCAAATCTCCCTTAACCTGCTCCACAAACGCCAAAACGTCATCAAGCAGATCCTTGGGCCTTTCAAGTGCCGCAAAGTGTCCTCCCTGGATGTCATATTGATTAGCTTCTCTCTCGCCAACCCTCCTGTCTTCGTCTTCTCCACAGGACTCGACCTCCACATTGGTCTCCTGAGTAAGAGGGAATATATGTACACACCTTTTCATGATAAATGCAAAACACCAAGTTCCCCGTCGTAGCGACCCACGCTTTCGGGGCAGGGATCAACTCCCTAGGGAAGTATGAGTATCCAAATGGTTTCTGGATATACCATCTTGGGTCCATGGCGTGGAGGACCGGTGGGGGTGGGAAGGCCTGTTTATTCAAGGTCAAGGATGGTTAGTAGCTGAACAAACTCTGAAGTGAGGTCTCATAAGGGAAGATATGGGGGGATAAGAAAAGACAAGATAGGAAATGGACGATGAAGGGAGTAAGTAAATGGATGAATATAACTAGCTCACCTCTCTATACGTATAGATCGACCGCGGCAGCGTCCCTGTCAGCCAGTATAACGTCACCGACTTGAGGATCGTTTCGAGGGGAAGCGGATCCCGATCGTCTACCCAGTCGAGGAATTTCTCGCCGATCCTGTATTGAATGGTTAAGTCAGTGATGGTTCAGCGATAGTTCACTACAGTGATAGGGAAAAGCAAGAGTAGAAGCATAAGAAAGGCAATCCAACCCCAGCAGGTATGTCCCAACAAGAATCAATCAGATCAAAGCAAATCAACCAATCAATCACCATCATTGATCATGATGGCCTCAATGTATGTTGATTTAATTTGATCCGACTTGATCGACTTCAATCAACTTGTGTCTTTCATGCCATGCACGCGCAGCCGCATCACCAATCCATATCATCAACGCTCAATCAAATCGGAATCAACCTACCAAGCCAACAACGCCACCGGGTTCGTCGCAATAGCATTACCAATCGTGCTAGTGCGGGTTCCCTGCTCAACGAAATATCCCGATCCCCAGAGCGCGAACCACTGCGCACGTTGCAGATTCTGGGTCTCGGACTCCGAAAGCTCGGAGTCGGCGACGGAGGCGGGTTTTTGGACAAAGCAGGCGTTTACTGTGTCGGTTGGTGTTAGATAAGATTAGATGTATCGGGTGTATATCGTATATCGTATATTGTTATGACTGAGTGGAGTGAAGTGGCGTGAAGGGTAGGGAATGGGATGGAGAACTCACAATGCACCGCTACATAGACATAGTGCCCGCGTAAGGACGAATTAGCCATATATTCCAAATCACGCTGATGCCCACGTAGCACATCACGACCCCTCAGACTACACTCGTTCCGATATCGAGTATAGCACAGTGCGTGCTGTACAGCGCGAGTTGAAGGCACACAGGAACACAGGGACTACGGTATAGGGGCAAGGTCAAGGACAAGGACAGGAAGGACAGGACAGGACATACCCTTACAAGCCTCATAATCAACCGCCAAGATACGCGCAACCTTGGACCCGATATCACCCGCCTGTGCGACGTAGGATTCAAAACCCAAGTTGACCATAACCTGGTTGATCACCTTGGCGATGTCCTCGGTCCCGAAGTCCCTGTCTGTTGGGGGCCCTGAGGAGAACGTATATCCGGGCAGCGAGGGCACGATGAAATGATAGGGCAGGGTGGCCGGGGTGTATCGCTCCTTGATGAGGGAGAGGAGGGGGAGGAATTCGGTGAAGTTGCCTGTTGGTTTGACTGGGTTAGTACTCGTACTCATAGGTAGTGTAAGATGTAGGTATAGATGTCGACGGTGGAGGTAGAGGTAGGGTGGTCTAATCTGGTCTAGATCTCTTGAAATCTTCCGACGCGACACAGAAGTTTATACATGGATGGAAGGAGAAGGAAACTTCCCTGGCCATCCGTGAAGTAGAAGAATTGGAATCGCGTCCGGTTTCTCAGAGAACAAAGCCACCAGGTGAATGTCTAATTCGTCCACGGAGTATTTGAAATGAGGGAAACCGTTGAGGTGGTCTTCCACGGCTCTCCTGTTTCTTGTTAGTTGATCCTACCGCACTGTAAACGACGAGCACGGATCCAGAAGAGGGGAAATAAATAGCAAGATGATAACTACCAGTCAAAGGTCTTCCATGCCTCTCGAGCCCTGGTCAGCCATTCGGTCGTGACACCGTACTTCCGGTCCTGCTGCTGACTTTCGAACGTTGGAGGGGCAATCTTGGAGAGTCTGACCAGAAGCTGCAGCTCTTCGAGATCCTCGTCTGGAACGTGGATTCTGAAAGGCGAGGGAGGGATCTTTGCTCCGGAGGGGACTTGGCTGAATGGAAGGGCCATGTTGCTGGTGTTCTCGATAGTGGGGAGTATACTAGGTGAGGGGTTTCAATGGTGGAGTAAAGTAGATAAAGTAGACGTGGATGCAGGACCTGTTTCTTGTATCAGTTGGCAGTATAAATAATCATCCAGATTCGATATTGAACTAGGCAGAACTGACCAGTCTTAGGCAGAAGGCCTGAATAATAATGGCGTGTTATCTCCGTCTGAGGAGATAGTCGCTACACCGAAACAAGCTTGGGTTAGTTGGATACCAGGACTAGATTGACTCATCTGCATCCTTCCACGCCAACCTGGCTATGGCAATACTCTACGAAAATACACGCAAACTAACCTAGTCAAACAATATCAATGTTATATAAAAGAATGGGCACAAAATCAACAAACCAAGCATCTGCTTTCCAACCGGGTATATTCCATGCAAAAACATATGTCCAGGTGCATTCACACATTCGAAGAAACATCAAACCACCTCTTAACCACATAACCTATACTCATCCTCCAACAGTCCCAACGACCACTCACTCATCCTAGACAAGGCAGTAAAATCACCGTCCCCTTCCGCCCACACCCCCAATTCCACTACCACCACCACTCGCCCCCGCTACATCATGCACCACGCACAACAAATACTTCCGATCCGGCACCACCACAATCTCATGCTTCTTCGTCCGCATACGCAACAACTTCACCTCGTCGTCATCCTCTCTATCAGATCCCTCGCCGCCCTCACCATCTTCCCGTCCACCGCCGGATGAGGATACCCCGTTTAGACCTTGTTCCTGTACGCCACCCGCGCTGAAGCCCGGCTCAGCCGTCGACCTCGATCCCGCCGGCTGGTTCTCCGTCCCAGGGGGCCTCGACAGCGAGACACTCAGACCCGTCGCGCTAGCCACGAAGGCGAAGACGTGCGCGGCGAGGGCTTCGGCGTGGGAGGGTTGGTAGGGCGTCGTTGCCGTCGCCGTAGATTGAGTTGGTGGGCTAGTAGCCGTAGCTGTAGACGTAGTCGTAGCTGTAGCAGCCGTAGTCGTAGGTGCTAAAGGGGAGGCGGGATCGGCGGACGGCGAAGAAGGAGAGCCCACCGCAGGGGGTTGTGCTTGCGGTTGCGATTCCGGGCCCGGTTCCTCACTCGGCGACACTCCGGGCGCGGCCGGAGAAGAAGCGGAGGCGGAGGGAGAATTCGACACCGGTTTCGAAGCGATCAGCCCGGTGCTCTGGATGATCGAGCCGTCTTTGCGGGAGAGGATGAATGTGGATTGGACGCCCGGGCGGGAGGTCAGATGCGATAGGAGGGCGGTGACATGTTGGGGGATCTGGAAGGGCTGGTTGGGATTAGCTATAGTATTCTATGCTTTGACATTGGTTCGGAGGCGGTGGTTTTGTATCGGCAGAGCTTCTGCTAATAAGGAGAAGGTCTTACTGTTGTTGATGCTGTGGCCGCCATTTTCGAGGATGCGGGGGGATATGAAGTGGTGAGGTCTGGTGAGTGCGCCAGTGAAATGGTTGGAGATGTGATGATTTCGAAGGTAGACCAGTCGTATCTCAGGACATTGCCTAGTTGCGCACTGGAAGCTGGTCTCTGAACTGAATTGAAGCTGGCCCTATTTTGTTTGTTGATTGAAGGAGCTTCGAAGCTGGTGGTCTGGGGATGACTAAGCGATATCGTGGAGTCCTGACGATTTAGGCAGGAATCTCACCATCTAGCAAGAGTGGCATATCTAGGGGAGTTAATTTTCGTTGCTACTCATTTCATATGTTCGAACTGACGTAGGATGATTATAATCGCATTTTATTTACTATGCAAACCAAACCACAAAACACACAAACAATGGTATCTTCAACAAAACAGCAAAATGCCGCGGCACGACAAACGAACCCCAAAACAGACAACGAAGGAATGACCCATAAAGGTGTACATACAGTCACCGAGAACCCAAGGAGATTACAGTTTAACATGAAAAGAGAGATGGATGTTGACGACCAAATCAAATACCCAACGAAAACATACAGAGTATACAAAACAAAACGAACCAAAGGAAAGAACGGAAGAAAGAGTGACGGTATATTTTCAGCGAGAAAGCCTCCCAGGGAATGATTGCAAATAGAAAAAAGAATGGAATGGAATAGAGATTTCATAAAACAGAGAAAAGGCTAGTTCCGGCTGATCGGATGTCTCTCAGAACTAGATTTATCCAAGATCCAGTCGAAATCAAAGTCCTCGATCATGTCTTCCAACTCGCGCACATTGGCACTGTCGTCGGATGACCCGTAGCTGTCTCGTCGACTGGATCCGGGGCTAGCGATCCAGCTCTCCTGACGATAACAAGACTGTTCTTTGGTCTTGCTGCGTCGGGGAGGCTCATCCAAGCCGGATGAGTTCGTGGACGAGTAAGTTCGGCCGGTGCCAGATGCAGACAGCGAGGTGGTCGAGCCGCCGAGCAGAGACTCAAGATTCTCTTTGACTCCAACATCCAGAGCGGCCAGCAGCGCGGCTTGGAGGATCTTGTTCTGGCGCTCAAGGTGCGCGATGCGCCCTTCTAGGTTCATGGCATACGCGCGATGCCGACTGCTCCGTGATTCCTGAGAGTAGTAGGTGCTCTGGGAGTACTGGGACTGCGGCGATGACTTTTCAACTCCGCGGATCCTGCGGCTCCGAGGAGTAGAGGGCCCGGTGGACTCGTGTAGCAGCTTCTTCTTGGAGTGTCGTGCGCGGTGGCTGGCATGCTCGCCTAGAGAAAGAGGTGCCGGCTTCTGTCGATTCGAAGAGAGGGGACGCATCTGGTGGCCTTTATGCGAGCTTCCGCTCACGCATTCGTCCTCCGAGGAGGGAAGAGGGCTTTCGGCGCAATCTGCCGGTCTCTGCCCGATGGGCAGGTCCTCATGGATGACATCTGCGCTCTGTGCGCTACTGCTGCGACAAACGCGCGAGGTGCGGTTGGACTCGGACAGCGATGAGCGCTCGTCTCTTCCATTCGAGAGTACAGGCGAGCTGCAGGCGCGTTTACCGGCGGTGTTATTGCTGATGGGGAAATTGGATATTTGGGAGAGCAGAGGAGAAAGAGGTGGCGATTGAGAGTTGGCTTCGCTCAGACGAGAATCGATGGATTCTCTACCAGTCTTTTGTGATGATTCTGTGGATGGGCGAGAAGACCTGGACGATTGATCGTCGTTTGGTGTCTTGTCTCCGCCCTTCAGGTAAAGACGGCTGGCAGACATATCCTTCATTTTCAATGCCCGCACCCTCTCCGCTCTACTAGGCCCGGTCCTAACCAGTTCCTTAGACTCGGACTGTTTTGAAAAGGTCTTGGAAGTGCCATTCTGCATCATGGCAGCCGCGTCTTTGTTCTCTCTCGTTCCAGACTGGGCGCCACTCTCCTTGGAGCTGGCGCCAGAGACTTCTCCGGATGACCGGGAATCCGAGGTACTGGGTTTAGATTGGGGAGTCCGTTGCCCGGCAGCAGTGTTTCGTTCTCGGTCCGCATTGATACCCGCAAGAGACTCTGGCAGGAGAGGCAGCGGTCGCGTGGGCGCAGGGAGAGGGAATGCATTGATGGCACCCAGTGGCAGGGAAGCGGGACGACGATTCGTGAGCGGACGGGGAAACTTTTCATGGATGGGACTGGCTGCCGAAAGCCCGGTAAGCTTGGTAGGTAGTGCTAATGAATCGGGGCTTGAGCCACTTGAAGCATCACCAGATTCATGGGTTTTCGGGGTGCTGTTGGACAGCTTCTGGGCATCACCGCATGATTTGCCCGCGGAGGCCTTGTCATCCGGCCGCAATTCCCGACTTTCAGGAGTCACTGGGAGAGCTCTGTTTGGTGGACGACTGTTCGAGATGCGCCAGGCTCCTTTGCTCGAAACACGCGGGGGCATAGGGTCAGGGAAAAGTTTGAGCGTGTGTGCAGGGGTCTGTGAAGACGCCGATGTGTTGGACGAAGTTGAATTACGCGCTGACTTGTTTCCAGCGTCTTTGGATTCGGCTGGCTTGGGTTCATGCGCTTTCTCAGTGCTTGGCTGCTCACAGTTAGTCTTTAGCTTTGGCACGATGCATTGAAACCTACCTGGTGACTGTCATCCAGAGTTGCAGACAAACCGGAGCCAGTAGCCAACTCTGGGTTCGGAGTCTCGGGAGGAGCGTCCGTCCTATCTTTTCGAAAACCAGTCTCCTGTACCTTGCTCTGCAAGCCGGAAGCACCAGCATTGCTCGGTATAGGAACACAAACATAGTCATCGCCTGCAATACTGCTCGGCTGAGTAGGCGGCTGATAAGGCGGAGGGTTCCCATCCTCGAAATGAGAAAGCGAGACCGAAGCCCCAACCAGCGACGTCAGATCTCTGATATCAATCGACGACATCCGACTATCCTTCGTCTCGCGTGTATCCAATCTCTGCAACGGATCATCCAGCCACGGCTGTCCAATGCGTTCCACATCCCGTCGTGAACTCGACATGAAGCTCAAATTCGAGCTCGACACAGTCGAGTCCAGACTCTGTTTCGCCTCGGATCTTTTCGGTTTAGGCGGCGGCAGAAACCCCGCTTGCTGCAGCGCCATCAATTGACGAGACGCCTCCTCGGCTTTGACCTTGGGGTCTACTGGCTTTTTCTGGCGCTGAGCAAGCTGCCGTAAGCGCCGGTGGCCCGCCTTCAGGAAATCGCGGGCCCCCGAGCCTTGGGCACTGCCGCTGGGAGAGGCATTCTGTGCCTGGAACAGTTGTACCAGCTCGGGGACGGTTTCACTTCTGGCTTGGCTCGCGGGCGTTTCGGGGCGCTGGGGGTCTCCGGTCGTGAGGGCGGACATGCTGCGGTGTCCTCGCCTGGACAGCTGCGAGCTCGGTCGACAGGTGGGAACGATTGGACTGGGGGCGACTAGGTTCTCATGCAACTCGTTCCGATGCTGCATAAGTGGGCTGAGCTGGACCGGTCGGATTTCAAACAGACCCGTGGTAGATACGAGAGGTCCGCATCGACAGCGGTGAGAGAGAGGAGAGCGTCGAAGGCGTGCGGTATGTATAAGGGGGAGAAAGAAAGGGCAAGCGAGGGAGGCGAAAGGAGGACCGTAATCCCTTTATACTTTTTGCGACACGATAGGGTTATTTTTGAGGTCAACAGATGTCATCAAGTAAGTCAGGCAAGAGGGCAATGTAGGCAAGCTAAGAAGTAAGCAGCAGACGAGACAAGCAAACCAAAGAGAAGAAACGAATGCAATGTCTCATGTATGTACAGGAACTCAAAGGGATGTCGCCGCTGCGGGAACTGGATGGAAAAAGAAAACTTCAAGAAGAACAGAGTAGGGGAAGCAAAGGAACTGTCGAGTTTAAGAAGAAAGACATCGATTCTCGACCTGTCACGCTACTAGATAACTGGGTGCATCCATCCCGGGCGTGACAAACCGAAAGAATGCAGAGCAGATGCATCGCCGAATGAAGAGCGGACCTCGTTCTCGATAATTCAAGAGATAGAGTTAGATCTAAGTAGTGCTATGCCACCATGCTAGGATTCATCGGCCACCAAGGGCCAAGAGAGGATAAAAATTCTCCAACAGGGAGATGGCGGCAAGGAAGGCTAGTTGGATAGACCCTTCGTAGCCGAAAAGGGGATGGAACGACAGAGGGAGAAAATAAAAACGAAAAAGTAAAAGGTCCAATAATGATAATAGAAGAAAAAAAATTCTCGAAAGAAAAGAAAGAAACGTTGAGAGCGAAGACGATCCCGTCCGTGCCAGCAGTTCGATCGGGATTCAAGATGCCACAAATGACAGACTGGCGGGCTCCATCCAGCTGGGAGAGACTATTTGATCGGAAAGATGGGTCCCCCTGTCATGGCTGCAGTAGTCCTTTTTTTTCCCTTTCGTTCTGCGTCCACCCAGGCCGTCCATTCCCAATTGGAGCTATTGTTTTTTTCTGTCTTTCTATTCTGTAGTTAGTTGGTTCTGGATTCGACGATATCGCTCAATAACTTCCAGGATGAACAAAGGGAAGCTTGGCTCCGTCCAGAATAAGGGAAACCCAGATCGGCATTTGTTAGGAGCTTGTGTGACGTCGTGCTGGATCCATTTCAGCTCCTATTAGGCTATTTCAGGTACAAGGGGACCCTCGAAGAACCGTTACACGCAAGGGATGGGATCATGGGCAGAGGAGACCCGATCATCAGAGTCTGGTCGAAGGACCCATCCGGAGGGTTCGAGATGGGGTGATCAAAAACGAATGAGTTCATCCCCTTACGAGAGAGAGCGGCAATGACGCAGAAGATGTGAGCTATCAACTCTGGCTCTGATCAGACGGACAGTCAGTGGCACGGAGGGCACGTAAGTCCGTTGACCAAAGTAAGGACCAGCGGCCACGGAGGGTGGAGCGGGAGAAGAGAAAAGCATAGGAAAAGAACAGAAAAGCAAACCTACACGACTAGTGGCAAGGGGAGCGATGCAGGCGCGACAATCATTCCAATGTGATAGATGCGATGGATGGGATGGAAGGAAGACGACGAGTCACAAAGCGAGCCTTACCGCCGCCTCTCGCCATTATTTGCCCTAATTCTTCCCCGATTCGGTGGCCCGGAGGATAAAGAAGACCAGATTCGAATCATAGCCATTTCGTCCAACTTAATTAGTATTATTCACTACTCGTTAGTATTAAAACCTAATTAGTAGACCTAACCTCAAGAACCAGTATCTAGATATCCTGTAGTCTGCACTCCATTATGTAGACACCCACGATTCTATACGTAGCATACACAAAAAGCAGGGAGAGACCCCGTGTTCTCCTACTCCATGCCCATGCCCCTTTCCTGTCACAATCCCCTGAAATCCTCGTGTCAGGACTCTGCCTGGTGCAGCATCACCACGCGCCCAAGGGATCTCAGGCAAGGAACGGCACGAAGGAAGTGCAGGGAGCGAGAACTACTGTAGAAGGGGATTGCCGATATCCACATACAGAATAAAACTAGATTGAATTAAAATAGAATAGAAAAGAGCAATAACTACCAAACTGTAACTACTCGCCTCATAGTCAAACTAGAATAGAAAATAAAACAAAATGAAGAAAAAGGAGACGACACTCCTCCAACCAGTCCAGGTCCACATCCTCCCCTTTCCCCCTTGCAGAGGACAGAGGAAAAGAACACAGATAACAGAATGCAGTAGAGAAGCCAAAAGACACAGACAAAGCTTGCAGACAGAGAACGAACGAACGAAAGAAAGCAGTTCGCGCAAATCCTCAAAAAAAAGAGGGATTTACCCTGTCGTACGCGGCTATCCCCAGTTCTCACATCCACCCACATCCCACCCCCCACACGCATATGTACAGTAAGTGGACACCCGTCTCCATCCCACACATCATGTCTCTGTCGTTCATGCAGAGTTCGAACCCATCAGAAACGATGATTTGATTATCTCCGACTCCATGCGTGTAACCGTTCTGAAGAAAGGTTTCGATCCGCCAATCGATCGTGGCCGGGAAGCTACATCGGCCGCGGCAATCGGCATGACAGGTCTTAGATCTGCCCATGTTGAGTGATCTATCGTCCAATGGAACTTGGTGAGCTGGATCTTATCAGAATCTAGCTATTTGCGTTTTATTTTGACTGACTGACTGACTGTTTAGGTTCTGCTTTTCCGTGAGGGCTTGGTTTGACAGGACATGACATGACAGAGCCCCATGATGGATTGGTTGACTGATTGACAGGTTTCGATGTCTGTGCGACCCATCATGAAACTATATCCTACTACATACATAGCAGCTGCACAGTGTACATCCATCCCAGTGGAATAATAGACGGATCCCTTCCTCTCTCCTTTTCCTTACCAGGGTTCCCCAGTGTAGTGTAGGTTGTAAGGCAGACAATAACCACCAAGTAGGCACCCACTCGTCCGCCTCCTATTGTATCATATCGGATCGAATCGATCGTACGATGAGCTCATCAGTGATATGACGGGTTCCGATCATCTGAGATTCGAACCGAGCTGAGATGGGGACTCGACTTGATGAGGAAAGTGACACGACGGCTTATAGTACCTACAGTACTTTAGTGCTTTGGGGATCTGTTTGTTTGCTTGCTTGTTCTTGGCAAATAAATGTCTTAGGCAGGCCTGTAGTCTGGTCTTCGTTAGCATTTACCTCTCTCTCTTTCTCTCCTGTCTCTCGAACCAAGTATGCAATGCAGTGCTTGCGATGCATTCATTAGCTAGAAAGAAATCTCTCCCTCGTCTCTCCCTTCCAACCGTAGACTGGCCAGTCAATTTATCAATTACATTAATCAAATATCTGTGCATGATCAGACCACGCCCAAACAATCAAATTCAACTCAACTCAGGGACAATCACATTATTAAATACAGTACATCCGTCGGGATCTGAATTAATTTCGAACCTACCCAACTCTAAGTCGTACGATGTACAGTACAGTACAGTAAGCAGAATAGTTGTTCGTTGTTGCCTACAGCACCTAACTAACGCACCCAGTATGAATCCATGGATCTAGGTATATCGCTGTGATCACGATTACGACTTGCATATGGCGATCTCTTCGAGGAAGATATGGAAGGGTCTAGGATTCTTTTCTATTGTCACTAGCTAGCTAGCTATTGGTTACTGGCATGCGTTATGTGTTTCACAATAGTACAGGCACATCAATAATATGTATGTACAAACACGCCTAACTTCTTGCTTCTCCTTCTAACTACTGTAACGATGGACCTCCTTTATCAAAGACTAGCTGAAGCAGATATATCCAACCAAGTAGGTAAGTAAATTGACACAACATATATGTATGTAAAGTAAGTACGTACCTAGCCAACTCAATGTATTCACAAAAAATCTAATGATACACCCACCCACTCATCCACCCACCTGAAATCCATGTATCCATCGATCAAAAAGAAAACTCAAAAGAGATGAAAGAAAGATCCACCAGTACCACCTCACCATCTAAGAAATTTCTCGACCGTCCACATACAAACAGTAGAAGATGGGAATAAACAAAACGCCTCGTAATGCTTTTAGTCTTCGTGTCCTGTCCTGTCCTGTCTTCGAAAACATCAGAACCCTCCTGATAGATAAAGCCTTACAAGCAGACCAAAATAAAGGGTAGGTGATGTGTTGTGTAAGTAGGAAAATAGTACAGGGCAGACGGGGAAAGAAAAAGGATACATATAGAAAAGGTAGTATGACATATATGGTAGAACGAAGAAAATGCGAAGAAATGAACGAGTAGGGATCACATGAGAAAGAGGGAGGTAAGTCCCAAAGATTCAAGACGCTCAGACAGACAGACAGATGTATGGAGAAGAAAAAGAAAAAAGTCAGCGTGTCATACGTAAGTCAGTAGGTCATCTGACCTTTCAACCTACAACCCCTGAGACGAAAGTAAAAGCAGGGAAAAGGTGTATAGTAGATATGTCCGGTCCGGTATCACAACGGCAGACGCTCATGAATCTACTTTCTCTTCGGCCTAATAAACGGATCGGCATCTTTCTTTTTACGCCTCATGGGAGGAGGCGGAGGTCTGACTCCGTTGCCTGGGCGTGGTGGCTGCCGTGGAGCCTACGCAAGGTACGAGTTAGTAAAGTAATACACAAAAGGGGCCATGTGGACGGAATCCTGCGGAGGGATTCAAACGTACATCTGTCGATGCGGAGCCTACCTCTGGGCCGCTTGGAGGTGCAGATTTCTTCTGCTTCATAGGGGCATATGCCGGCCCATCCCGAGATGGTTTGACCAGTCCCAGACCCTGTGGAATCGATTAGCTCAGAAGAAACCAGACTAACAGGGGACGGTGGGGAAAACATCATTCCGATAGCCAAAAAGAAAAGGGGTTGGGGGACATACATCGGGCTTAGTTGGAATATTGGCATCGAGCTTACCGCGCCGTAGACCCTTAGGGGCACTCGGCGGAGCATTTGGATCGCCCCTGCGTTTGGGACCAGTCGGGGCATCAGCAGGTGGCGAATTGGTACGCTTGCGTTTGATCGAGCCTTTGCTGGAATCGACCGATTTGCGCGGCTCGATCGATTTATTGGTCTCCGAGCCCGTGGTCACCTGAATCGACGGAACTTTGGGGTCATGGCCCCCGAGCTGCTTGGCACGCTGGCGTTCGGCTCTTTGCTTCTGCATATGAGCCAGGCTATTCTCCTCCCGCGCAATCTTCCCCTTTTCGAACTTGGACAGAGGCTTGGCCGACGTGCAGGAGGCGGCGAGATGTCCGACATGGCCACATTGCACACATCGCTCTGCCGTGCACATGATACGTGTATGTCCCGACTGCCCGCACCTGAAGCACGTGCTTTGAGTTGCTTCCCTTGCCTCAATATTGTCGCAGTTGTGGGTCATGTGGGAAAAGCTGCCACATTTACCGCACATGCGAGTCTCATCCAAGCCATTGTGGCCTCCCGACGGACCTTCTGGGAGTGGCATGGGCGGCGTGCCTCTTCCGGAGGCTGACACCGAGGGGGAGTCAGAGGGAAGATTATCGAGGGAGACGGAGGATGGTCGAGAGACAGATCCCACCGATGCCACCCCAGTTGGGGTCTTCGACCCCGGAGCGTCAATGTCCATCATCTCGACGTTGTTATAGCCGGTGAACTGAGGCTGTTGAAGAATCTTCAAGACGTCGCCATCTGTGTAGACGTTCCTTCGGCGGGCATCCTTGATCAAACGATTCCAGAACTCACCCTGCACCAGGGACTGAGAGTTACCGAGAACCCAGAGAGACGATTTAGCACGCGTCAAACCGACGTTCATACGACGAATGTCGGACAAGAAACCAATTCCCTTGTTGGAAGATCGAACGCAGGAGAAGATAATGACCTCACTCTCTCGACCCTGGAAAGCGTCGGTGGTATTGAAGTCGATCATATTGAAGATGGCATTGCCGTATCGGGCCGCAAAATGCGTTTTCAACTCCCGCAGTTGACCCTTGTAAGGCGTGATAATGCCAATCTTTCCAGCGAAATCGTAGCCCTGGAAGTCGCTCATCAGACGTTCGTATAATTGCATCGCGACCCTCAATTCAGCCAAGTTGACCAGTGAGTGGCCCCTAGCTGCGCTCTGATGAAGACCCTGCACATCGAAAAATCGGTACGGGCTGAGAAGCTGGCTTTGATGCCACGGACGCGTCCGAAGCTTAGCCATGTCCGGACCATCCTGCAGTTTGCTGTCGTAGAAGGCAGCACTCGGGAAAGCACTGATCTGCGGATGCATACGGTACTGGATGTCCAAGAGATGTACATCGCGCGGGTGGTTGGCCTGCATTCGGACAAACAAACTTTGTTCGTACTGGAATTTCGAAGCGACTGTCGATAAGACAGTGGGCGGCAACTGTTTGGGATCACCGACCAGGATACATTTAGAGCAGCCGTACTTCAGCGGGATGAGGGCACTCAATTCGATTGACTGTGCCGCCTCATCGATAACGACCGTCTCAAACTCAATGCTCAGATTCTGGAACATTTCGTGACCACTTCCACTCAGTGTCGCACAAATGACGTGGGCACCGTCAATGATCTCCTGCTGGATCCGTCGCCGGTTCAAGTCGGCATCACGCGCCGCTGAATGGTTCTTGTCTCTGGCATTGTCAATCTGCTGGCTCAGCTGGGTCTTCTTCTTCTTGAGCAAATCAAACTCCCGTTCCAGCTCGGCCGGAATAGGAAGGCCTTGCGCTCTGCATTGGTCGAGTCTCGAGCGCGTTTCCTTGAAGGCGGTATCGGCGGACTTGTGCTCCATGTAGATTTTCTGGAGGTCAACTTCGCCGGAGTCTTTGCGGGAACTCGAGTTCAGTCTCGCGTTGACAAGCTCATCCAGGGTCACGTCAAGAACATTCGCGTTGATAGCATCGCTTCTTCCCAATCGGATAACCGACAACTTCTCCTGCCGCCCGTGCACTGTTTTAACACCTTCCTTAAATCGCATGACCAATTCGTCAACGGCTGCGTTACTGGGCGCACACACAAGTAGCTTCTTTGACGTAGTGGTCCTTGCCGGGGGTCGTGCGCCGCGGATGGCCGTCGGCCGTGAAATTGCTACGCCCTGGTCACCGAGGACATTGGTAAGGAGAGCACCCACAAGGGCAACGATGGTCTTTGTCTTTCCGGATCCCGGAGGACCTTGAATGAGGGTGAAAGCGTCATTGTCCAGAGCGGACTTGATTGCTTTAGCTTGGGCCGAGTTCACGTTATAGTTATCCGCGATGGGTTTTAGACTGGCGTCGGAGTAATTAAGAAGGGGCGATGGCTTGGCCTTCACGATCTCTTCGCAAAGGTCATAATATTGTAGGGCCATAAGCGCGCCGTATTCACGCTCAAGCGGCGTTAAAGATGTAATTTTCGCACCATGAATTGTTGCACCCGGAGCAAGGGCATTGATGAAGGCGTTTCCAGGATTGACTCGGTAAGACACCTCAACAGTGCCCTTCTTCCTGTTGATCCCGGAAACTCTAGCCAGACAATGAGGAGCGGACGCGTTCGAAGTCGGGGCCTCTGCCTTTGACAGAAGAACGATATCTGCCTCGCCCAGACCGTAGTCCTTGGCCTCCATGGCCGGGAGAACCGTGCTAACTTCAACAAACGAATCCACGGACAGACGAGTGGCGACCTTGATTTCAAATGTTTTGAACGAATTCTCTTCCTTTGATGACTGGAACCCCTGCCAAGCTTCCAAGATCAAAAGAGGCTCGAACGTTTTTTGATACTCAATAGGATCCCTGAACGCGTTGGAAACCAAGCTGTAGTCCGTCCGCCCAGAGTTCGGCGGCAGATCGCCGTTTGCGAAAAAGTCCCAGGCGAGGATGGTCCGATGCAGCGATGACAGATCCGGTGCCAATCGCGCTCGCATGTCCTTCGCCGAGCGCACTTGCCGGACCTTCTTGACCGGGCCCTGGTGCTTAAGCGCCAGCCGTTTGCTTTCCTCGTACGCTCTGACGGCGTCGGGTTTGCTTTTCGTTTTCGCGCCAAAGAGCTCCTTGTCGAGCTCGTCCTCGCTCTCAGATTCGGATTCCGATCCAGAGGAGACCATCATGCTATCCACGGGATGGCTGTGGTCTTTACCCTTAACCCCGATGCCACTCAATCCGGATCCTTGTTCGGCGGTTTGCTCAGCAACGCCAGACGCGCCGAGGTTCTTCTTATAGCGGGCCAGCGCCGCCAGGTCGCGCTTCTTCTTCTCCTCTCTTTCCTTCTCTCGCTTCTCACGGAAAGATTGGACAGTCAGGGCAGGGTTCACAGGTGCCGGTGTAGGTTTAGGAATCGCGGGAAGTGCCTTGGCTTTCTCGGCCTTCTTTTTGGCCTCTGCGGCAACCCGTGCTTTATTGAGCTCGACAGACCGAGACAGCTGCATCAGGACATCATCCGGCAAATCGTCGTCATATTCATCCGCCGTCTTCGAGGGACCAGAGGTACCCGAAGCGTCCGAGGGCTTGGCAAATGCAGTGATGCTGCTCTGCTTCTTGAAACTAGCGGTCGACGCGGTTACTACGGGTTTCTTATAGTACGCCTCTAAAGCCCGAACAAGTTCTGCCTTCTCCCGCAAGGTCAAGATCGTCTTCGTGGTCGAAGTGACGGCGACGCTCTCGATAAACTTCAGAGCATCATCTTTGACGGCGGTAACACTGAGTTCGCCCAAACGCCGAAGAAGTTTAGACACCAGTCCCACTAGCGTAGTGGCTAGATATTCATCCTTAAGTCGAAGCCATCTAACCATTGCACTCATCGTCGTGCTTGGGGACTTGAGGAAACTCTCGCGCGCGGAGGGTTCCGAGTTCGGGTCTGCGTCACCAACAGCACTTAAGAAGACGCCATACTGGTCGAATAATAGATCGGCGAACTGGATACTATCCCGACAGAACTCCAGCATGACGGATCGGTCGTTACCACGAAGATGCCAGGATTCTGTCTGATCGAATATAGTAGTCAAAGCCTGCCACAAGTATTCCCAGAGCTTCTGCAGCGAAAGGACCTCCCTCCGTTCAGCAAGTTTGCGGGTTCGGAGCATGCCGTTCTGGCTGTCACAAAGAATATCCACAATGTCCGTTCCCGTGTGTAACATTCGAGGAGCCGAGGCAAACGTTTTCATATTCGATATCCGGCGGAAAGACCAACTGAGACCGTACATGGTTGTCGAGAAGAACGCCTGCAGTAGATGGGAGATCGCATCTCTTCTGGCGGACTGACCGCTGACGTTCTTGATAAGGTCGACAGCAGCTTGATAGGTGTTGAGGTCGGCGGCAAAAAGTGCGGAAATCAGAGCGCTGCTTGTGTCCTGGCTCTTGAAAAGTTCATCAAGGTGTTCGGGCTTAAAGTCCGCGAGGCGCTCAATTATTTGACACGATAGATGAGTAAGGTGTCCATAGATCACGTTGAAGTGAGTCTTCTCTTGGCTGGCATCACCCCTCGTAGGGAATTTCTCCAGGCCAACTAGGGGCAGTATACCGAGTAGAGCCGACGTGGAGAGAGGCAGGTTGTCTTCATGGAGATGGGCTACTACCGCGTCCCAGATAGTGGACGAATATGTACTTACCCCGTGCTGGAGAGTGTTCTGCCGCAAGATGACTTCATAATCACTCTTGAGAGACTGGCACTCAAGCGCTAGGGTATTCCGAATGACATCCATACATAGTGTAGATATCTCCTGCTGCTTCCCTTGCTCTACGTCAAATTTAGGGGGTTCGAGGATCGCAAGGATATTTGCTCCCACAACTCCCAGTGTCTCGGACAGGACAATACGTGCCACGGAACCTCTCGAAGATTCATGGTCGGTGAAGCTGCGTAGCGTATGTAGCAAGCTGATCAAACCGATGTGGAAGCAATGATACCTGGCTAGTTTGGGGAAGCGCGAGTCCTGCAGGCGATCGAGAAGCTGATACACCAAAGACCTACACGCCGATGGCTGATGCGCACCTTTGAGGGAGGACATAAAAGGGGTGATCCATGACAGCATATCTTTCGTGGCGGACTTTTCGTACGGCTCCCCTTCGGTGGCCTGCATCAAGAAGGTATCCAGCTGAGGGTTGTAGAAAACAAGCTCGATGAGAGCTTGTGGTGATATCGTTTGCATGGCGTCCCAGAAGTCCCCTGGAGCTTTCTCCAGGAAGATCTGAATAGTGTTCAACAAGAACCTCAACCCCGGTGATGGGATTCCGAGATGGTCCACCGAAAGACGGCAAGGATCGATCTCAAGGGCGCGCAAGTCATGAGTAATTTGATCTTTATCCAAGCGGCGAACGACCAGCTGCATTCCGCGCCACAGTCTCTGTATCACCGCTATTTGCGCGGGCTGCTGAGACGCCACTCGCAGCGCATCCAACAGTCCCTCCTTAACCGCCCAATCGAATTCCATCGTCGAAGGAGGCCGCGAGTACCGCATCCACGAGCTAATCGCCCAATAGCTACGGCCTTGATTCGGGTCGAACAGGAAGCGCGTCACGGCAGGGATATAGTCCGACACCTTGAGGGTCCGCTTCGTCTGGATCAGTCGAAAAGGTTCATCGAAATGCTGCTGCAACAGCGCATCATTCCGCAGCATAGCGTCGCAACTCAGCGTCTCAAAAATCGACAGCAGCGACGCCCGATCCAACACATGCAATCCGATTTCCTGCGGAGGAGCCGCTTTCAACTTTTCCGTCGCCGTGGTCAAATTCCGTGTTATCCGCTTAATATCCCATTCGTCCAGCATGCGCGCGAACCGCTCGATATCCTCGTCATCGTAGGTCTCTTTCAGGTGCTCCATCAGCCAAATTTTCCCCGTGTAGTATTTCTTGATGCAGAGGTCGCATTTTTCAAGCGAGTCGTCCAGTTTGCGCCAGATCCAGTTCTGTAGCTCCTCGACCCCTTCCTGGCTGTAGGCTAAGATGCGCATACAGGACAGGAACTTTTCTTTGCGGGTCGTCGCTGCTGTTATCACGTCCGCCATACTCTTTCCCGACTCGTCCACCTCGTTGGGATCGTCGTACCGGCCGTGGTCATCGTCATGTTGTCGGGGGCACAGGATGTGGACGTTATCGGGGAGGGCCTGGAGTTCGCTGCGAAAGACGGTCACTGAACTGTTACAATATGAAGGACGGGGGGTTGAAACAACTGGAAAGGCAATATCATCAGCTCATAGACAACTTACCCAATAATATCCATGAACTCCATGGCGTCGGTTTCAACCTATACAGGTACGCTGTGTGTATTGTCGCAACAGGTGAAAAATCACGGCATTCCTTTCCGACAATATCGGAATATATCCTCGCAGCAAAAAAAAAAATACAAGATCCTTGTCCAGTATCAAAGTCGTCAAACCATCCAGCTATAATGTATGATCACCGACACCAATATAACCATGGCTAACAATGCGAGGAGACGAAATGAAGCTTCACCTTTCAGAGGCACGCCACCATGGATAACAGCACAGTAAAGGGAGGCAGGGCTAATCAAAGGAGAGAACAAGGTCTGTGCAGTACCAGGCAGAAGGGAATAACGGGTGAGATTCACCCCAAGGCCTCCTCCAGCTTCAAAGGCAAAAAGAAATTGTGAGTGGGTGAAGGAAGAGAGAGAGCATCGGAGAAGCAGGCAATACAAAGAGTAAATTGGCACGGGCGTTTTGTGGAGTCCGATTGGCTGGGGAACCAGGGCGGTGAGGCACGTCTTGCGGCCACTTTACGCGGAGAGTCGCGTTTCTGGTTAGGGAAAATCCTAGCTCATTTACGGAATACCCCTTATTACTGAATGGTCACATCCACGTCAATAGTCAATTCATTGAGGTTTCCAATAGAACACGTAAAACCCGTAAATCTCCTCCCCACATAACCTCATTGCATGTGCTGGCTTTCGAAGCACTAAAAACCTCCTGGAGCTTAAGCAGCTCGAGATTATTATATGAAAAGCAAACAAGAAAGAGAAAAAAGAAAGGACGGATATAAGAAAAGGTGAGAGAATGCGCATTCACAGAGATGCTTTTGTACAAGAAAGAGACAGGCAGTAGTACGCCAGGATGTAGATGTAAAGGGGGCGGAAAGCAAAGGGGGATGAAGTTGAAAAACTTCAGTAAAACACAAAAAGAAATGTGCGCCAATCACCAACCAGATTTGTATACCGAACGCCTTCTATCGGGGAATAAGTAGACAACGCGGCTCCAGTAAAACAAGGAGATTACTCGTCATACAAAATAGAACAGATCAGATGCAGCGGCAATTAGAGGAAAGAGAAAAGAAAAGAAACCGACGGGTCGTAAGGACAGGAAGGAAATCAAGCGAGAGCTAATATATGAAAACAAACAGCAGGGGTTTTATACGGCATGCGTGGGAGGATCGTAGGGGCCTTTGAGTGGACTGTGGGGACTTTGCGGTTCATGAGCCCCGGTGAGTGACGATTCCACACGGGAAAGGTCGTGGGTGGTATCGAAATCATGTCGGACTCGATCAAACGAATGCCGCGTGCGCTCAGCCGAGTTCCGGACGTAGTCCACCGTTTGAGGGTGGTAGTGCTGAGTGGTATCGAGGCTGGAGGCATAGTTCGTTCCATTGCTACCGTTTTGACTTCGCGGATTATGCGTGTTGTGCGTGTGCGACGTGGGGGCGACGGATGGCGTGTAGATCTGCTGGTCATCTGAAAAGGGGTCCTGCTTCATACTAGGTTGGATTGGTTTACCCAAATCTGAAGAGGCAGCAGATTCGTCGCTGAAACCACCGGAGGGAGCCTTACTCTGCGGGGGGACAAACGCCTCGTACTGGTCCAAGTACTTGAATTTGCCCTGGGTAATCTGCTCGCGAATGATGTCCACGTCGCGAGGGAAGAACACTTTCTGGAAGGATTTGATGGCGAACCGTGGGAGAAGGCAGATCACAACAGTGATGAGAAGGACCGTCCAGAATGACAATGCACCATACACCTCTGACGCAGCCCCGTAGAACTGAGCTGATGCGGAGATAGAAGAGTAGATGCCGGTCCAGAGGAAGATCAGCAGGCAACTAATGACATTGATCAGCACCGTCAACCAATCCCACCGATACTGGTTCAGCATGATGTAGGCGTTGCTGGCAATGACTGCGCTGGTGCCGACGAGGACACCCATTCTCGTCCGGTCACTGATATCTCTTCCGTCGGCGTGAACGAAGTTCCCGGGCTGATACAGAAGGTATGGCATGAAGAAGCACATAACTGACTGGTACAAGCCATCGGCCATATACAACCTGCAGTATGTTAGTGTCAACGCAGGATTATATCAGCACAGAAAGACTACTTACCAAAACTTAAGCTGCGACCATTCCTTTCGCTCAATACCTCTCATGTACAGTTGCGGGACGGCAAGAGAAACCTTGTCATCGACGTCCTGGTCAAAGATTCCCATCAGAATGACAGGCAATGACGTGAAGGCGACGTTGACCAAGACAATGTACGTATAATCGAAGAGATACGAGCCATCGAAATCGTTGTAGAGCGAGTACCAGAAAAGCGCAATGGTCCAGACCAAGTTCTACCAAACGTTTAGAAAGAGATCAAGCGAAGGGGGAGGGTTCTATCAAGATAAGCGTACCTTATAGAAGAAATTCGCGATACACTCACCCATGCGACGGTAAGAGTACCTTCCGTGCACGAGAATGAGTCGCTGGAGGAAGCGAAATTGTCCGATGGCATAATCCGACGACATGGCCGCCTGACTACCTTCTTCTCCGATGATACCAACACCGACATCGGCCTCCTGGATCATAGCAACATCATTTGCACCATCACCAATGGAGAGTGCCATGATGCTCAGACCGTTTCTCACCATGCGCACGACGGCAGCTTTCTGGGCAGGACTGACACGACAGCAGAGAATGGACTTGCACTGTTTACACAGGAGAAGGAATTTCTGTTTCAACTTATCATCAAGCATAAGCTTGAGCGTCTCGCCATCGATAACAACGGCATGGGTCGGGGCTGGTGGCGAATGATCACTGCGGGCCGCAACCAGCTCCTCATCGGAGCCAGTTAACCCGAACTTCTGTAGCTGCTTGTCGAGCTCTTGTGCCGCCCGTTGTGGCTGGGATTCGGGAATATTAAAAACAATCAATTCCATGTCGTTATCGAGCAGGTTACAGGAAAAGCCGATGTTGATTGCAGTTTCGACTTTGTCACCAGTAAGGACCCAGAGTTTGATACCGGCGTCCGCGAGGAGAGAGATGGTATCCGGGACACCGTCCTGAAGTCGATCCTCAATCGCAGTGCCACCAATAAGCATGAGATCCTGTTCGATCTCACTTGCCACCTGCTCAAGCTTCTCCTCACGGCCGGTGAGCGCGGCAGCGGCAATGTCGTGTTCCTTACTCCATGCACGATATTCCTCCTCGCTGAGTTGCCGATCGGCCACACACAGCGTCCGGAGACCTTCGCGGGCGAATACTTCCAAGTGTTCCGCAGTTCGTTTTCTGAGGTCTTGCTGCTTGCCGGGGGCCAGACGCGAATAGATGATACTATCGGCACCCTTGCAGAACAGTCGGATCGAACCGTCCGGCATGCGAATGATTGCACTCATTCGCTTTCTCGTCGAGTTGAATTCCAGGGTGTTGAGAACGGTGTAGGTTCGTTCTTCGCCCATGACGTTCAAAATAAGGTCGTCATTCGTTCTGCCAAGCAAAGTAAAACCACAATCACGAGCGGTGCTAACCAAAGCTGCTTCGTCGGGGGATTGCGCTTTGAATTCAATCTGTGGGGGGTCTCCAGGGGTGTGTTCGGTGATGACGGTGTGGCAGACGGCAAGAGCAAGCATGAAGTGCTCCGTGGCCTTCTTTTGGGCGACGCCCGACTGGCCGTCCAGATCCGCGACGTAGTTTGATGAGACGAAAGTCAACGCGTCGTCATGTAGATAAGGGTTGTCATGGATTCCGCGAAGCAGTCGAATCATTCGTTCGGTATCCCTGGCGATTCGGTCCCGGGCGGCGGCAGCCACAGCATCAGCATCGCCACCTTCTCGGCGTACCATACCGATCTGAGCTTCCGTGAAGGCTTCACCGTATGAAACGCCGTTCACCGTGCATTTCTTGAAGTCCATGACGTTTTGAGTGAGGGTACCTGTCTTATCGGAGAAGATGTACTCAATTTGGCCTACATCATCCGAGATATTCCAAGACTTCGGAACGCAGGAAATGTCCAGCTTCTCGTAGTACATGAAGACATCGCTGTGGATGAACACGGCCTGGATTGTACGAACGATTTCAAGAGAGATATAGAGCGAAATCGGAACCAAGTTCTGGAACAGGATCAGCGCCACCCAGAACGTGATGATACCAGTGATCGCCGGCGTAGCTCCATAAGACTCCAAATCGAAATAATTCAGAGACTTGTTGTTGGAGTCCCACGCGACACCGTTGACGATACCGGAGATGAGACACATCGCAAACAGGAGAATGAAGTTGTAGATGACGTTCCAGTTGAGATCCTTGGCGAGCCGGGCTCTCTTCGTGGGCGTCGCACCCGAGTTCAGCATGATCTTGGTTTCCTCACCAGTGAAAACAACCACACCAAGGGCCCATTCGGTGTTGCGGAGAGTGCAACCACGCAGGAGAATGTTGTTGATGGTGATGGGTTCCACCATTTCCTTGCGAGGGGCTTCCGGGAAATCCGGATCGCGCTGGTCCCATCGCAGCGCACCGTTGTAGGCGTACAGATTGGGGTGGGGCGCCTCGCTATCGATCACGAATTCGGACTTCTCGCAATCTTTGGCGTGTCTGACTTGGCGCCCGCAATTCAGAGCTTGTCGGACCTTGAGGTTGGTCTCGCCATCCAAGCTCTTGGTTTCCACGTAACAGGCACCGTCCGGGTCCGAAGTAGACAACACCACGACGTCGGCCGGAATAGGATCCCCATTGTACAATCGGACGAAATCTCCAACCTGGATACTTTTCCAGAAATCGCGTTTAAACCGAGCCTTTCCGAGGGTCTGCTTCGTCTTGTCGACCACGCTACCACCTTTCCGAGGAGGCGTGGTAGGGGTAGGCGGTACAGCCATGCTATCCCGCGCTGCCTTGTCGGGGTGCAGATAGTGGGCGTCGTTTCCGCCCGGCAGGGGCCAGTCTGGTCGTGCTTCGGGGGTCGGGGATGAAACGGGAGTCATTTGGATGATGTCGTCTGCGGGCTCGCCATCGCCCCGTTGAGAGTACATCGACGCTCGCGGGGACACGGTGGTCATGAAGGATGCGCGCCGGTCGCTTTCCTCGGGCGTCGTACCGCCATTCTTCTTCTGAGACAAATTTTTGAAGAACCTGTAGGTAAATATGGTCGCCCGAGTAGAGGCTTTCTTGACCCGACGCCAAAGCGACACATTGTCTTCGGTCGAATTGACGTTGTTCCAATCAATTAAGCGGTAGACTGGAGAATTATTGACTTCGTTGTCGAGTACCGTTCGCCGCCAATCCTCGATCGCATCTTTGATTGAGGTCACCACTACGATGACAGCCAGCGGGACAACGTTAAGGGCGGGTGTATCGACACCGAAGATGGAAAAGAACTGCATGATTGATTAGCATCACAGGGGAAAGACCCCTCACTCCTTTCGAATACTGGACGCGAAACAGAGGACGTACACCTAGAATGATAATGAACAAGAAATAGATATTTGCAATGTTGTGAAACTGCAACCAGATGTTTTTCGGAACGAACGATAGAGGCGTATACTTGGCAGTCCTGATCTTGTTCCGGGGATACGCGGCGCTGGGGTGACCGTCTTCATCTCGTTCCGATTCCGGGATAGGGATATTGAAATAGACCCTTCGAGTACTCGCTTCGGAATCGCCCTCGGCGTCAGGGTGTTCGGCGGTCGGAAGATTGCTGGCCGTGGACTTGCGCTTCTCATCCTTCGATTGCGTCTTCTTATGAAGGCGATCCATGATGGACACGCGTTTCCGCACGCCGCCGGTGCCGCCGACCCGCTGCGTTGCCCATCGTTGTCGCTTTGTCGGCACCGAGACGTTGCTGGGCACCTCCCTAGCCTCTAGACCGGGCTCGTTGAGCTCTGCGCCAAGATGTTCCGAAGCCATTTAGGCTAGTTGTGACCCTCGCGGGGGCATGCAATGGGCGACCGTGCTGTGTTTCTCACGATGGTGGAGGGAGAGCATCCGCTCCTACGAGCCGGGCCCCGACGATGGCAGCCAGATCCTCGTATACTCTCCTTTAGTGTCGGCAGTTCAGCGGACCAAGGGGGGGTGGTTGGAGGAAGCGTCGCAAGGCAGTTAAAATATATACAGCGGAAATTGCGACTGTAACTGTCGTGGTGGGACACCAGGACGAGAGAGCTGCAGTCCGAGGGGAGCGAGGTTGGCGGAGGGACCCCAAACCGAGTTGGTAGAGGGTGGATGGCAAAACGAGCGGAAGGGTAGGGAAGTCGAGATAGGTAGATTATCGGAACCTAGATCATAGGAGAATTGACATGTACGATTGAAAGGGACGTGACGAAGGAAACCTAAGGCACGGGGGAGAAAAAAAAGAAAAGAAAAGAAAAGGGAAAAAAAGGGCAAAGCAAGTTCACGGAGGGAAGTGAGGGTGAGGAGAGAGAGGGAAAAGCGGACAGACAGCATTGACTTACTAGAGAGAGTCTGCTTGGCCCCGAGGAGGAGAGAGATTCTTACGGATTACCAATTTACCTTACCTGCGGGCGGGATTAACGGAGTGCAGGCGGTGCCCACGGGTGCTTGTCAGCCCGGTACGGTACGGTCACTGGAAGGGAATCTGCGTGGAAAGAAGAACGCGTAAGTTTCCCATCAAATGGATCGTCATCTTAATAATAATGGATATCAACTCTCGGTTTTTCTGTCGTGTTTCATCTACATCAATTTATCTGGTGAAAAATCTATTCTGCAGTCTCCTGGGACCTACAGGCTACAGGTGTCACCCTGTCTGTTCTTCTTACTTTGATTCTCTTCAATTTCTTTCTGTCCCAAAAGCGCCCCAACCCCATCGTTGGCGGTTTTTTATGTCAGATTAATAGATTAGTTCATGTCTTATTTACATCATTCTTTTTCTTCAGGGTGCCGGGCAGGGCTGCATAACGGTAAGATTACCAGCCTAGCTTACCGGACCTCCACGAGGGCAACAAAGCAGCCCAGCCATGGATTCTGGATATCGCCAGCCTCGCAGCATTATTTGGTTCCCCTCGAAAAAATCTGACGGAAGGTGGTGGCAAGGACGGTTCAACGGTCGCCCTGAAGTATACTCTTAGTCTCTTACTCAGTCTAAGATCCGGTAATTCGGAAAGGTTCGTCGTGCGAAATCCATGTCGGACCCTTAAACGGTTGACCTGATCTATTATGGATTTAATCAGTGTCTAACAATCTAGACTCCCTAGTACCTACTAAAGTAAAATGCTCCCCGGGTGCCGTGCCCCCCGTATCCTTATTCCTTACCCGAGCTTATTCCGCACGGGTCATTCGGTCTTTTTTTTTTTTTTCTCTCTCTTTCTCTTTACCATTTTGTTCTTTTTTTGATGTGAACATTTATTTCTCCGTCAAACCCCCCAATTTGGCCACCTCGTCAACCGGAATTAACGACCCTAGATCGATCGTGCTTGTTGCTGAGCTGCCAACCTGGGGAATACCTGACGGGCAAAGCCAGCCGGGCCGGAAGCTACGGCATGTACACTTGTACCAGCAGTTATGTACCGTCGAGGGAGAAACGGTATGTCCGGTGTCATTATTGGAGGCGGACCAGAATGTTACCCAGGGAACCTGGTGATTCTCGTCGGTGGCAGTCGAAGGGCCTGTCAAATGAATATACACCGAGGAACGTAGAGGAGATATACTTAGCACGGAGTATGTTGCCTCATAAACGCATTGTATTAAAGATTAATACTTGAACAGTGCCAGAACGACGGCTTCCATGGGAGCCAAAGTGTCACCCACTTTCCGCGAGTCGGAGAATGGATCGATGGGGACTGAAACAGGCTAAAAGCTGTCGGAGACGGCACATGCTTATGCCAGGCGGTCCACTCGCGGAGCCCTGGCAGAGGAGGCTGTTCACTGTAGGAGACTACACGGTACTCCGTACGGTGTACATTTTATCCGTACATGTTGCATCTTCTTACTCTTTTGACGCACATGGACTGTGCATCGTAAATTAAATATAGGTCACCACCATCTCTATACTCCGTAGTACTTCAGTCCTGCCCGGAGATTCCTTCGGATCGAGGCGGTTGTCATACCAAACAGATGGGAATTCCTTGGGTTAACGACCGAGTTCCCCATCCACGACAAAACCCCCTTTTCCCTCTCCTTTTCAGGGCTTGGCAGGCCTGTTGGATCGCTCGAAGCAGTAAAGTCGGGCTCCATCCTGACGGTGGTTGTCGGGTACTTTTGGGACTGTGATTGGGGCTGGCAAGTGATCTTCTCTCGCTGGATGCATGTCGATAACCTCAATTCTGTTGGATTAAATTTCTGCTATGAGACATATTCAAGGTCCCCCCCTTATCCATTGGTTTAGACTCATTTAATTACCAGGGTAATTTCCTTGGGGCTCCGTCCGTTACGTGAGCAGTGCACGGTGGGATTTTTTTTTCTTTTCATTCATTCTTCCCTTTTATTTTCTGTGTAATTCTGGAATCCCTACCCTTCCGATCGGTAATCAATTCTTTTGACTTTCATTGTTTATCCCTTCAGTGCCGGAGGCATGGAATGGGAGAAAGTACGGACTACAAGAAGCCATCCGGGGAGAGCCGACCGAGAACGAGAAGAAAACGAAAGAAAAAAAAAATGGGTGCTTTAAATCCTTCTCCGGAATCCCCAGACGGACAATGTTCCGTCCATTGCCCACCATGCCAAGTGGCATAATTCATCGTCATCCTATTTCGTAAGGTCGTGCAATTGTGTACACAGTGTCATCTTGTTAGATTGACTCTCAGAACACCGGAGTAACCCCTCTGTATACTTCTGGTTTCTGCTGATCTTTATACTTTCTCACAATCTGATGTCAGATGATTGTCTCACCCATACCCCGTAAATGTACGCGGCTTAGATACTATCTACTCAGGAGTCAGGACACGCTCTGTATGACTTCACCCAGTAACTCGCGTGCGATGTTTATGACAGGCTGGCGTTGCGGTCCGATCGACCGCGAACTGGTGTGGAGAACGGCGAAAGGGCTAAAGTTCGATCTGCACTTCCCAGCCCCTTGGCCGTCCACGGCGTCCAGTACAGCCCGTCGGCAAGGCGGAATATGTCAACTTCCGATCCTCCATAGATTGGCCAGGGGTATCAGGCAACGGGGAAACTGGCTCAGATGCGGAGATCTGTATGCGATTGATCACCGATCAGTCATGATGTTCCTTCTCCTGAATTTCTCCCAACATAAATAAACTGTTCGGAGTAACTAGCTGGTTACTTAAAGAGGAACATGTCTGCCTGTCTGCCTGACGTACGACAGCGAGACCGAGAGGGCTCGGCTACTTGGCGCAGCATCTCTACAAAGTCAACTCGAATGCATCGTATCGCAATACGACTACGAAGGACTTGGTGTGAGGCTGTATCCTGTTAACCTTGCTCAACCTTAGATACGGCGTCCATCAGGCCCAATCTCCCAACCCCGTAATCCATGTGCATCAGAATCAACGGTACGCATCGCTATATATAGTACCATATTACAGATTAGCTTTCGCCTGGCAATTAGAGTAGTCTCTGTCTATCAATAGACCGTTTCAGCTTTCAACTCTTCTCGAACATGTCCCCGAACTACTCTCCTAGTAGCTCCTATCTATAACCGGATGTCGGGAAATATATCTTGGTTCCATGGTACGACCTGTCTGATGTTGCACCGGTTCTGAAGAAGGGTTGACATCATTGCGCCGCAGCCACCGGAATGCGGGCCTCGAAAGAAGCCTCCAGCCGAGTTTTCTGTGCTTTTTCCATCTGGCTTCGGCGCTTGAGGGCATCTCCGCTCCGATATAACCCCTCTTTTTCTCGTTGTTCTTTCGTTCTAAAATTACATTAGTTATATTCTCCGTACTTAGTATCATATACCGAGTGGCCTTACTCAATTTATTCTGCATAAACTGCCCTTTCTACCCATCACACGGAGCTTCCACCGTGGACTCAGTGCTTCCGGATCGTCCGGACTCCGACGGCGTCGGTCCCGAACGCCGACGTGCAAAGGCTAAGAGATTTCTGCGCTGGGATCAATCTGGACGAATGTAGAAGCTGATGGCAAGATGGATTGCCGGTACCCGACTCGTACAGACCAAAGAGAGACAATTTGTCGAGTCAGCAGTGGGGACAACCAGATACCTAGTCGAATACTGTCCGGATTGGGCTCCCAGAAGGAGCCGCTCTATTGTGCCTCAGGCATCAAGTGTATAATGAAGATGTACGGAGTTCGGTTGACGCTGGAACAAAGATCTCTTCTGTTTGTAACCAACAAAGATTGTAGCAAATAAAGCGCATAGCTCCAGAGAATACGCCCTACTGTTTATCTCTGTATAATTGTTCATCTTCATCCTATATCAGATAGATAGCATCATATTCATAGAAACATAGAACCTACTGAGAAAAAGTGCTTACTAACCGCCAAGCCCCCCCCACCCTCACCACCTGATTGGACCAGGCCAGGCCTAGCGCCAAACAAACCGAAAGGATATACTCAACTCCCGCGGGACCGTGCATCGGCCTTTCAATCCCATCAACTGCAACTTCAATCCGAACACGGGAAGCCCGGCATGCCTCCACGAGGAATCTCCCGATACTTCAAACGGCCGGCCTTCTCGCAACAGGATGACGATCGCGCGTCCGAAACGCCCGCGAAACCATCTTCCCCGGCCCCGGGGGAGTCGTCTCCACTCACGGAGCTCGAGCTCTCCTCGTCGTTCTTGTTGTCGAACCATGCCTCCCCGCAGGGCGCTGATGACTCGGCGTCGCAGCTGAAGCGCTCGTTGATGCGCGCTGCTGAGAATGCCTCGGATACCCCGAGTGAGCCCGAGCAGCTGGGTCCGCTGGATTTCGGGGATGGGGGTGTCGCGGATCCGCCGCCGCCGCTGCCGCAGCAGCACGGAGGGGCAGGAGCCAGTTTCGACCATCTCCCGCAGCGCATCGTCAAGAATGGGAAGGAGGTTGTGATTAGCTCTGATGGCGAGGACACGGATTCCGTGGGGTCACTTGAGGCGCCGGAAGCGTTGTTTATGAAGTTCGCGAAGCCGTCGGCGGTTGCTGCGCGCGAGAAAGAGACCGACGACGATGTGTTCGCTTCGCCGCGTTTGAATCATGATCCGAATAGCGGGAGGTTCGGCAAGGGCCGCAAGGCGCCGAAGGTGTATAAGAACACGATGGACACGCTCGTTACGCGGGCGGTCGATGACAACGAGACTGAGGCTAGTGTCGCCAAGCTCAAAGCTGCGTTTGGACGCGACCAAGCTAGGGACGATGCTGGCGACAATCACTTGGACGAGGGTGTCTTGACGTCGGCGCTCGGGGAACAAGATGGTGAGATGGAGATGCGGCGGTTACTAGACGCGGTCCGAAGAACTGAGGCGTTCGATCTGGAGAAGATCTGGACTTTCTTTGATTATGGAAGTGGGGTGGCTCCGGCGCTGGAGTTTCCTCGAGATTCGGTCAAACCGGGAACATATATGAGTGCACTGAGGGGTGAGTTAATGTCTCTGCGTTTCATCGGGTGGTTCTTTCTGACCATTCTTACAGAACCCGACTCGCGGGAACGAGCGTTTCACTCGGGCATACTTGACTTTGCGCTGTCGAGGGGATTTCTCACGGATGATATACTTCTATGGATATTTCACTCTGGTTCGTATACCAAACTTCCACCAAGAATACTATGCTCACCTTGTCTTAGTACCCTCAGAGCCTCGGGAAGGCCTGAGACATGCTTATTGCCGGGCATTTAAGGTCAGCTCTGAACCCATTGATGTTGCTGGTAGTCGATGCTAACTATCGCAGCACTCCAAGAAAGAACGCGTGGAATCCCTCATACGGCCTGATACCATTGACGTTCTCTTCGAAAGACTGGGAGCCACCAAGAAAGCGCTGGCAGTTTCTGACCCTATTGTTCCCCACACGCTTCCCAAGGGTCTGTCAGAATCTATGCATCTCATCTGAAAGGTCTAGCTAATTGATCAAACACAGGCAATCTCCCAACGACGACTATCCAACATCAGGCTTCCTTACTTTCTGTTTTAGAGCTGCTCTCCGGCATAGCACCACTGTAACGCCCACCCACACCTGTCTACCTCCAAGCACCCAACCACTAACCCATGCAGACTCTCAGATGATACCCGCGAACACACCCTCCTCCTCCTCTTCCGCCTAACCCTCGACGTCTCTCTCACCAACGACCCAGAAATCTCCTCGGCGCTTGAAAGAACAATCCACGACCTATTCCAAGGCATCCCTGAAGAAGCCGACGATGACCTCGTAAGTCCCCCTTACCACCCATAAAACAACCCTTTCCAGCCATTCTGACCTCTAAACCAGGAACTTCGCCTCTGCACCACCCTCCACACTACCATCAAAGACACCATCCTCCAAACCCGCCTCCTGAAACACATGCTCCCATCGACCAGCCACATCGCAAACTGGCGGTCCCGCCTCGCCCTCTCCTACATCATCGACTCCGCAACACCCCTCTCCGAAGACCCAGATGTCATGCACACCCTCCGACGAATCATCACCGCTCTCAAGGACCCCCGCTTCAACATCAAACAACACAAAGGTGCAGCAGCAGCATCAAAGAACCGACACACTCACACCGGAGAATACGACTACAACGACCTCGCCGCCATCACCTACCAACTCAACGTAATCCTCGACTCCGGATGGTCCGGCCTCGCCTTCCCCGATCGAGACGCCAAACGAGCATTCAACGCAGAACTAGACGTGTTGGCCGACCGAATCAAGAAGATCTTCACGGCGATCGAAGACTCCGGGGCGTCGCATTTGAAGCGCACGTTGACGAAGGGCGCGCTGGAGGCGTTGCATTATCGGGTGGTCTACTCGGTGAGGACGAAGCCGCCACCGAAGAGGACGTTGTTTGAGAGTATCGATACGGGTCAGAGTCGGGAGCAGAAGAAGATGACGCAGATTTGGAAGGGCGTGAAGATGCAGGGGGAGGGGGGGATTCCGATACGGGGGTCTCACGAGGTGCAGTCTTGATTGATTGATTGGGTGATGGACGGATGGGGTTTTATGTATGTTGAGGGGATAGAGATGATTTCTTATAGCTGTATCTAGCTACTCTTCCAATATTTCGGATTAATGATGTATATGATTGATAGCTACAATTTCTCTTCCATCACATGTTACTTGGTAGCTTTCCCCAGATAGACTTGTTATAGACGGTACGAATATATCTCGGCAGATTGACTTGTCTCAAACCATCACCCAGGCGACCAGCGCTGCATTCCCATGCCATTCATTGACCTGTCTCTTCCGAGATCAATTAGAACCATCAGCTTGGACTATACAGAAATCGGGATCAAGACCAGAGAAATAACTGTAACTGTATACAAGGCTATGCTGATTCTCCGCAAGGTAAAAGCTCAGAAAAAGGAGCAGTCAGTAGATAAATACAAGAAAGCCGCAACAAAAGAAGATCTGAAGAGAAAGAAAAAAAAGGCGGTTCAAAGGGAATCACGAGGCGCGCATTATCCTGAATTTAATCGTAGAATCTCCGGTTGACGTTCTTGCCAAATAGCGTCTCCCTGACGGCGGGGAGAGCTTCGATCTCGAGCAGCCGCAGACGTTCCTCAAAGGTGTTGTTGATCTCGATTTTACCCTGACAACCCAGGATGACGACACCGCCGGCCCTAAACAAGGAGAGAATGAAGTCAGTAACAGCCTGGAGCAGACGCAAAACGACACAGAAGAAGGCAACATACAATCCCTCGGGCAACGGCTCCTCCTCATCCAACTCAACCTTCACCTCCTTACCAACGACCTCCTTGAACTCCTTCTCCGCCTCCTCAATTGCCTTCTTAACCGCATCGAAGTCCTTCTTGCGCGCCTCCACGCCCACCGTCTCCTCATTCAGCGAGTACAGGCCCTCGAGAATCAACCCCTTCAGCACGGTCTGATACTTAGCAGCATCCTGGGCCGCGACGCCGGAGATCTTCTCCCGCGCCTGCTGGAACAGCTCGTCCAACAGTTCCTGGCGGGCGGAGAGGACACGCAACCGGGTCTTGTTGGCGAGCGTGGAGCGCGTGATCTGCTGGGACATGGCGGCCTGCTTGAACTTCTTCTCGTACAGGGTGTCGATGGCGGCGGTCTCCTGGCGGACGAGCTTGGATTTCTCGATCGCGAACTCCTCGTCGGCTTTCAGTTGGATCTCGCGGGCCTTTTCGAGCGCTTCTTGGCGGATGAAGGCGGTCATTTTGCGGAGCTCGCCCGCGACCTGTTTATTGGGGTTGCCCATCGGTTATGGTTTGTTCCATGATCTTGTGGGGGACGGTGCTGGGTTTGGGGATTGTGATCGGGCGCGGGGGTCCTTGGGAGCGTACCTGGTCGTCGGAAAGTGCATGGGTTTGCGACATCTTGACGGGCGGGTGTTATGACGTCTAGGATAATTGTCTGAGTCGAGAGTATGTCGGATAGGAGTGGGGAGTTGGGAGACAAGTGGCGCAAAGAGTCGAGCGTCCCAGAATGCGGAGTTGGAGGTGTCTGGACCGGAGAATGGCAGCAGACATGGATTAGCATAGCTCGCGATGTAGCAGCAGGGGAGGAGATGAGGGGAGGTCCAGAGGTTCACCCCGTGGCCATTTGGGGGGAATGGAGGGCGTTGAATAAGGGGAACAAAATCGAATGGAATGCTCACCTGTACCGTACGGGGATTTTCTGGGGAAAGATCGGAGGGGGGGTGATGTAAGTGAGGGAGAGAGAGGAAGAGGGAGAAAGAGAGAAGAGAGAGCGAGAGAGGGAAGGTTACAGAGCAACGTCGAGCGTGACGACCAGCAAAGCGGATCTGCTGACGATCGGGTCACCACCCGCCTTCCGCAGGTCACCCACTCCGTTTCAACTTATCTCCCTCCCCTGCTTTCATTTCCCCTCCACCCTCGTCTATATTAACTACTCTGCTTGTCTCGTTTCCGCAACTTGAAGACATGGCGACTATACTCTGGTCTGTTTCTCGGCTGCTCTAATGCCCTCCCGCGTCTGGTTCTTGTCCGCCACGTTGCGACCAATGCACGAGGATACTCGAGATGGGCAATCTAGGTGACCTGTCGCCCCAAGGGAGTGTTGCGGTATGCTTCGATCTTTACTCGCGGTTGAATGTACAATCGAACTGACTGGATTGGTGATCTCAGGTTGGGGTGGTTGTCGGCTTGATCTCGACTAGTCTCCAGGCCATTGGCTTGACCCTACAGCGCAAGTCGCATATCCTCGAAGACGAAAAGCACGATTACGATCTACGAAGGCCTCCGTATAAACGTCGAAGATGGCAGGTGCGCGAGACACAGGACATCTTCCATGAGAGGGATCTTGACTGACCACCTACAGCTGGGAATGCTGATGTTTGTCGTTTCCAACATCGTGGGAAGTACGATCCAGATTACGACACTTCCGCTCCCGGTACTCTCGACTCTCCAAGCGGTCAGTATACTTTCCTTGCTTCCCACACGGCCTTGCTGATGAATGGGCACATAGTCGGGTCTGGTTTTCAACACTATCTTCGCCACCTTGATCTTAGGTGAAGCCTTCACTAGATACTCCCTCATCGGCACCGTCCTTGTCTGCATCGGCGCACTCTTGATTGCGATCTTCGGCGCCATCGGGGAACCCGCGCATACACTCAATCAACTGCTCGCACTTCTGCAGCGACGAGGGTTTATTCTATGGATGATAGGAACGGCGGTACTGGTGCTGGCCATCTTACTGGGTTCCAAATCTCTTAAATATTTCACCTCGTCGCGCGCCAAACATTCCAGCACCCGCCATCCGTGTAGCCCTTGTCTCCAATTGCCTGCAAGCCGAGTTCGGCTGATCCGTGGATTGTCCTATGGTCTGGTCAGTGGGATTCTGTCGGCGCACTCGCTTCTGTTGGCCAAATCCGCTGTTGAGTTGCTCGTGCGGACGGTCGTGGACCGCGTCAACCAGTTCAATCGGTGGCAGTCATGGGTTATTTTGATCGCTATGATCTCTCTTGCCTTGACGCAACTTTTCTATCTCCACCGCGGCCTGAAACAGTGCAGCACCAGCGTTCTCTACCCGTTCGTCTTCTGCATCTATAACATCATCGCCATCCTGGACGGACTTATCTACTTCCGCCAGATGTCGCAGTTGACAGGCTTTCACGCGGGACTGATCGCGCTCGGCACCATCGTGCTCCTAAGCGGCGTTCTCTGTCTGTCGTGGCGCTTGGAGGTGGTCGACAGCCACGCAGCCGTGACCGTTCCCGCGCCCACCCAGACCGCACTGGGACCGGGGATGCCTGTCGTCGACGAACATCCCCATTCTCCCATCGGCCTGGAGCCCGAGGAAGACGAAGAAAATCAGATTGGCGAACGCGAACCGCTTCTGCGAGCCGCTCCTCCACCCCGTGGTCTTCCTCATCGACGCACCCCCAGTCTCCCTCTCCTCTCCCCGTCACACCAACGGAGCTCCACCGACGTTGACCCAGCTTCGATCTGGGCCGAGCTCGACGATTCCGATTACGAATATGCCGACACCGACGTTCAATCCCCATTACTCAACCGGGCCGACCCATTCCAAACCCGACCACGGAGCAAGACTGGCCGAGACGGCTCCCTGCGTGCCTCTCGGCACCATCCTCTGCGCCCTCATCGACTGTCCCTTTCCGAGCGCAGAACTTCCGCCCCAGCTGCCGAAATCCGCAAGCCTCAAAGACGGCATCTTGATTCGAACACCGTCCATCCCCTGGCCCGGGGATACGGTACGCAAGATGACCGGTCCGATCAGGTCTTCTCATCTAGCCAAACTCATCATAGACATAGCCACAGTCACACACGCCACGCATCATCCCCGAATCCCACACATACCTCAAATACCCACAGCCATTCTCAATTTCACTCTCGACCCCGCCCCCTCGCAGGCCCGAGGAGTGTTCTCAACACCGCCTGGAGAAGTCTCGCCCGGTGGACGGGATACGGACGACGACGGCCCTCCGAGGACCCTGAGGCTCTTGATTCTCGATTTGAGGATAGTCACGGGCTATAAAGTCGTCCTTCGTTTCCTTCTCTCTCCCTCTTACATCTACTCCATTCGCCCCATCTACCTATCTACCTACCTCCCTACCATCCATCCATCTTGATCCCATCATCTCAGAATATAGAATACACAAGCAAGTCAGAAACCATTCATTCACATTTCCATTCCAATACTTGATCCGCCACATTCATTGCCAACTGATCGATCTGATAAGATTTCCTGTATGTATGTATGTTCGCACTGTACAGTATAGTATACTACCTATGGTTCCCCTACTTTCCATTCATCATCCTATGCCATATCGTTAAAAATCTATCTTTATATAACTATAGATCGCATGGGAAAAAAAGATTGTTCACGTCATCATCTACGTTCCCCTTCCTCTTTTTATTCTCGGTTGAGTTTGTCTGTCTCGACACTTCTACTCGGTGTTTGTTTGTTTGATTCCTTCTGTCTTGTATATAGGTCTTCCTACATACATACATAAGGTTTTCGCTACCTTGGAAATGGTTAGATCTAGATTGAGATAGGTAGAAAGAACAGTGTTAGAGAACCCAGTATACGGAGAGCAATGTAGGTAGTCAGTCGTGCGCTTCACATAAGATGATATGATAGATATGATAGATATGATATGATGATACATACACAGGAACAAATCCGTCTACTCTACTCAATATCACGCTAGTATATCATAGATCAATCCTCAATTGTATTGAGTTTAAGACATCAAAAGAAAAACTAAATAGGTACTAACTCAACAGAATCAAAGATCAACTAAATAAACCACCTGAAACAGAAGAAACAAGACAAGAACCACCGAAGAAAGAAACCAAGGCAAGACTAAACGCACGAACCAAATGCAATAAAACATCGACGAAGGTAAAGTAAGAGAACCATGCATTCAAGACTAGAAAAGAAGAAAAGAAAAAAAAGAATTCTCCAATTTCTCCATACCATACATATACTGAATTAAACGACGAAGCACAACGACAACTGAAATACGGAACGCAGGAATCAAATCCATCCATCCCATACCAAGCATATCTCAGATAATATAAAGGTTACGAGCATCAGCATCCCCTTGGAGTTCTGAATACCTCCCACCCAGTCCCGATGTAGGTCACTTCCTCGAGTCTCCTACAATCGAGGGCTGATGTCATTGTTGCGGCATCGGCAACATCACGCCAGATCGAAATCGAGACGAACGAGACGAGATAGGAGAGAAAACAGAAAGACTCAGAGTCGAGATTCAGATCAAATAAGAACTAGGTGGGAAATTAGTCAAAACGCAGGATAGGAACAAATTATGGAATAAACATAAGAGGTAAAAGATAACAAAAACAGAGAACCACTTCGCCAGCAGAAAACAGAAGAGACAAAAGAAGAAAAAGCACCAGAAACACCGCCACTTCCCCTGTTCGTCTAGCTGATGAATTAGGAGATAATGAGATGAACAGAAAGCAAGAACAATTAGAAGCCCTAGCCTTCGAGGGAGGTCCAGAATAGAATGAAAACGCTCGCATCCATCGTGGTTCATCGTCAATTTGAAGCTGCTTCCCTGTCTTTTTTTGTTTTTTTCGGGTTGTCTTTTTCTTTTCTGCTCAATGCTTTTTCTTTTCCGGAGCACCTTTTTTGCTTGTTTTGTTTCTCTTTTCTTGACTCCCTGTCATATCAAACTCTCACATGTCAACGGTTCAAACAGCACAGGAGACACGCAAACAACTAAGACCACAACTTAGACTCGTGCAGATTCTGGGGATTCGGGGTTTTTTTTTGAGACAATTTTCCAAGGATTTTTTTTTTCTCGAACCAATGGCTCGTGATATACATTGGGTTACAAAAGAAAGGGGATCAACTTCTTTCTCGTCCTCGTTCGAATGGTTCTCAGATGATATACGTCAAGACCGCTTCTTGCTTCTTTTTTTCTTTTTGGTGGGTTAAGAGAGTATTCGATTGTTTGGCAAAGGGGGATAGGGTTGTGGGTATCAAAAGAGAGGCCCGGAAAATAAGCGGAGTTGCAACTTGTTGAAGATGGAAACAAGGATGCGATCACAGATTGAATCTGGGACCCCCCTCGGAAAGCTTCCTGGAGGACGAATCATGCGTAGAAGCGGGCAAAAAAAGGATTAGATAGAGCGCCACTACACACCTACGCGGTGGGTTGATGCTGAGGGGGCATGCGGTTGCCTACAGGCATACCGGGGTACTGCCCGCTAGCCTGCTGTTGCTGCTGCAGGCCTTGGTAGTAGGCCATCTGCTGCTGTTGTTCGTTGGTCATGTAGCCAGGGTGAATCCCTGCGGGACGAGGCATGTTCGGCTGCTGAGCGCTGACATTGCTGTGAGCGACGTCCTCGGGCGCCTCGGCGGGCACCTCAGGGGCATCGACGCCGTTCTCGTTGGTGGTAGGATCGGGAGCGTTCAGGCAAGCCTAGAGATTAATGACGAGTCAGTCGAGATCAGATTAGAACCGTGAAGCTTTGCGCGCCTCGGATCGCTTGCAGTAGCAAGGACGGGGGAGAGGTCTCTTGACTCACCTGAATGAGGTTCTTGCCCTCGGCCTTGGTCACCAATGGTTGAAGCTTGGGAGTCGTGAAAGTATAGACGAGACCGGTTTCCGATACGACCAGCAGCAGGACCTGGGTACCCGTGAGGACGGAGAGCTCGTAGGCCTAGAATGCGACCGCATTGGAGTGGTTAGCTAAGAAATCCATTGGACGCGACCGAGCGAACATGCAGCCCCGACGAGGGGATCAATGGGACGGCGATCTCATGGAAAAGACCGCGGCAGAGATGTGAAATAAGGAGATGCAAAGCGGCTTTGCTCAGTGCAAGAAGAAAAAGGAATGGTGGTTGAGACGAAACGCGAAAAGAAGCACGTACCTTCTTCATGATACCCGCCTTCCGCTTGGAGAAGGTGATGTGGCGACGCGACTTATCCTGGATGAACTTGATCTCAATCTTTCTGCGCTCGCGACCGGGCTTGTCATCATCGTCGTCGTCGTCGTCGGCGCTCATGCGAGAACGCTTGGGACCGCGGTTGTCAGCGGCGCCGTTACCGGCGGCCTGCTGCAGGTCATCCTGGGTGGGAGACGGGTTCTCCTCACCGACGGCAGTGATGTCGGCCATGATGGGTAGCGGGACGGGCGAAGGGAGGGCGACAGGGAGGAACGGGGGGGAAAGGGACTTGACGAGGCAGGTCAAGACCAGGCAAGAAGAGGGAATCGAGGAAGGCCGAAGTCTGGGGGGAGAGTGAAGATGCCCAAAGAGGAATGATGCTTTTGAGGGGGAGGGAGAATGACCAAATCGAGTAACGCGTTTGCTTCGCAGGGTTTGGGTTCAGGACGAGAGAAGGAAAGAGGGAAAGTAATTCGGGGGAAGGAGAAAGTGTTCGAAGAGGGCATGGCGCGGTAGTGACCTGGGCAGGCGGTGAGTCACGTGGTTGTCTGGTGGACCTCACTTTCAGGGAACTACCAGATAACTTCCATGATCCATCCACCTACAGTACATGTACATACTACATAGGTAACTACTGTTATTTCTTATCAACGCCTCAGGCAATTATTTCTCAATTTCCCCCTCTTTTGTTCTTCTTCCACTTCCCTTTCGCCAGGTTCTCCCCTCGTCCGGTCTGCCTGACCATACCGGTATCATCCCAGGTTTGTCCAGACCCAGCGATGGAGATCCTCGGCCTTGGCAGTCTCCGTAATTGGAGCAGCCGCCTGCAAGCATTGGAGATTCGACGCGACGGCCAACTCAATCCGCCCCACTTGGCCGTATGCTTACCGGCTCGTACGGTGTCTCGCCCCCAACTACTGTACGGTGGACTCAGTACTCACGCAGTAAGACTTTAGGGACTGGCAGGCGATAGGGGAAGACCGACGGGGGCAACCTACCCTAAATACCCTAATTCCTAGCTCAACCCTGAAGGGACCTGAAGGGAACAATCATTCCTTTGTCCACTTCTGCAGAAGAAACCTCTTCTTTCCCCTCCCTACCATACTACATACTACTAATTATCCCCCCCTCAATAGTCACCAGCACCTACGAGATAGTACATACATACATCCTACATAGTTGGCGGTATTATAAAAAAAAATAGTTCAAACCAATAATTCCCTACCAAGCCTAGCCAACCCCGCCAATAATCGCTGCCGGCCCTGCAGCTAGAGATGTCCTTGCCCCGGTCAACGTTCTATTTTAATGCCCACGAGACTCTCTCCTTGGTTGTCGGTCCCCTTCTTTCCCTTCCCCTCCTTGGGCTCTCATTTGGTTTTTTTTTACGGAGTAGTTGCTTGCCCCTGCTGAGTGGTTCTGCGAGCGCGCTCTGCCCTCCCCTCCCCTCTGTCTCTTTATTTCCCTCTTTTAGTCACTGAATGAGAGAGAGAATGAGTGAGAGAGAGAGTGTGTGTGTGTCAAACGCTTGATCCTTCTCTCCCTCCCTCGTGCTGCCCTGTCGATCGTAGATGTATCAAATCAAGCTATCAACCCACCCACCTACCTAGTTATCCATCCCCATAGTTAACCCCGTTTGTGCAAGTAGAATCGAAATCTATATTCTGATCTCCACGAATGGGTCCGATAAATAGATACTTAGTACTCCGTACTAGATAGAGGCAAGATCAGGGATGGGAAGGGTTTGTTCTATATTTATATCTTCCCCTCTTGAATCTTCAAGTACCGAAGCACTAATTTGACTAACTATACCCGACTATTTCAATATATACAAACAACTGCCTACAGTACCTTCATATCTACCAAACCATCAAATGGAAGAAAGACAAGAATAATGTCAAGTTCACCACAGAAGCGCACAGAAATAGATCCTTGGTATAAACATCCATTGTACAGTACATATGCCCCAAAAAGTCAAGAAGGGGAAAGAAAAGAAAAGCCAAGTCCGATCAAGCTCCTCGCTGTTCAACCCGAACGGACAGGAGATTGTATCCACGGCTGCATAGTACGAGATCAGAGCGACCTACCAGATAGGACCTTTATACGGTGTCTTAATTTGGGTTTATTTAGGTACGGGTATCACTATTTATCTACTGTAGTCTAGTTACATGGTAGGCGTTGGATATGTTGGTAGTCACTAGTTACTACCAATATTTAAAGTAGCCACGAACATATATCTAGCTGGTATTTCAGGTATGGATGTCCTACCTATATAGCGACATTATAGGTAAATCATCCATCCGCCAAATTTTAGTAAACCGTACTCCGTGTACGATGTAGAGGGAGGCAAGTAGGAACCACCCAACAAGGAAAACAAACTCAACCAGGATAACGTTTACACATACATAACCATGAAGTCATAGATCATCTCACCCATAACCCGAGTACACAAGCCATCTACAGTAATAACTAACGACGCGCAGGCAAGGAAGAGAGAAAGTCAAAAGGAACGAGAAGGGATGATTTAACATTGCCATTTCTTGAAGAACGGCCGAACGCCTTCCGATGGAGGACAGACATCCTGGACAATTCTCAACTCAACACTAACAGCCAAATTCCCAAGTCAACAATCAATTGAATGAATCGAGTCGACCAAGGCTAGGCAGAACAGTTAAGATTAAGAAACAGGATTAAACGAGAACAAAGCTGTCAATATGAAACGGGAATCCGAAACATCGAGTCAGAAGTTCTAGTTTCCCGTCCGCTCCGTGGAGCCGACCGCGTACACCATCCGTGCCAACGACACCATCGGATTCATCCCCATAATGGCAATGGCACTATCACATGGCGTGATCGCAAATTAAATCAAACGAGAATAGATTAAGAATCTAGATCTAGGACTTAACTTCATAATATTTCTGGCATAATGGCAAATGCGCTAATCTCCAAAAGCAAGACAGACGGACCTGAGCACCAGGCCGGGAATTCTATTTTTACAAATGCATCGCAAGCAAAGTCTCGCCGCGTAGAGCAAACACGGGAGATATAGGAGCAAGTGGAAAAGAAAAAGAAAGAAAAAAAAATAAGAAAAAGGAAAAGAAATTGACGACTCGTGAGTGAAGTTCGTGGAGAGCACCGGGTTAACTGATGCTCCTGGAAACCACCGTTTGCCGATCTTCGACTGCGCCGTTCATAGACTCCGCCAATTCAACGCCGGCAAATGAACAATTCAAATATATGGATCGAAGGTTTTTCCACAGTCGAAGATAAACCAAAGAATCCGTCCATGCACGACACATTCTTTTCTTCTTTTCATCTGTTGATACTGGCAGTTCTCTGTCCCCGAAACAAAGACGGGGAAAAATCGAGGCTTGGTTGGTATAGGTGAAGATAAAACTTGAAGAAAAGAATAGAAAGGAATGTAAATAATGTGCAAGAATCGAAAGCAAAAGAAATATAATAGTAAAAAGCAATTCACAGATCCCAAGGGCCAGCCTCAGCATCGGTTGGGTGTGTGGTTTTTCTCATTTCCCGTCCATACATTTTTCGAAAGCTGATTTAGTGCATCCGGGTGGGACGAGCAGCGTAATCCCGAACACCGGCACCACCACCGCCCTTGGGTCCGAGCCAGACAATCTCGATGACGCTGTGGCCTTCATCTTCCTCGCGAACGTACCACTGGTGGACATTGTCACCGACCACGAAGGCTTCTCTCAGCAACCAGCGGTCCTTGAGGATACCCTCCTGATCGCGAAGACGGAGAGGTCCGAGACGGCTCTCATAACCGCGGGGGTCCTCCTCCCACGTCTTCTCGGCGTGGTCGAAGTTGATGGCATCGTCGGGGGTGTTCTCATCATAGGTGTACTTGACGAGCGAGTATCCATTGGTGAAGACCCAGAAAGTGCGGGTGGAGCGTCCGGTCGAGTTGTTGATGAATTCCTCCTGGTCAAAGACCCAGCGACGAAGGACGGACTTGCGGCCGGCGGCGGCTGCCACGGTGGTCATCTTCACAACGTCCTTAGAGTACCAACTGTTCCAGTGGTGCAGGGACTCGATCTTGCGGCCCGACTCATAGACACCGTCGACCTCACCCTTCATATCCATCTGGTATAGAGAAGGCCAGAGAGTCAGATCCGTGTCACCGAATCGCTGGATACACTGGCCAAGTTTCTGATCACCGGGCTGTTCACCCCAGGCCTGGCATTCATCGTAGTACTGCTCCAGGACGTCGAGGAGAGGCTTCGAGACGAAGACACCGGCACCACCGAAAGCGATGTGGCCGAAAGTGTCAACCTGCCAGCTGGCTTCGGACAGGGCTCCGATGTAGTGCTTCTTGTTAACATCGAAGAGCTTGAGTTCCTTGGCAATGGTGGGGAGGGACAGGAAGAAAGTGTCATCGTCCATGAAGCCGAGCCACTGGGTCTGAGGGCGCTTGGTGCGGATGTGGTTAGCGAACGCTTCCACCATGCCGAAGTAACGGGCAGTGAAGTCGAGAGGAGACTGGATCAGAGTGACATCCAATCCACGGTTGCGGAAGTAAGTCTCCTGCTTGGGGATATCGTCATCCGACATAGGAACCAGAACGACGATGCTGGCCTTGGTGTTTCCGTACGAGTAGAGGAGCGAAGGAAGCAAGCGATCGAGACGATCGGCGGTGGTGGCCAGACCGAGCAGGATCTTGTCCGTTTCTTCCACATCGTCATCCGCAGCCACATCGACGTCGATGATCGGAGGGCAGGTCGATTCCAAGTTCTGCTTGTTCTCCGGCGAGATGACCATGCCACGCTCGAGAACAGTCATCGGAGGGAGGACGGGGACGTCGATGTCCTCGAGGGAGTTGAATTCGGCGTCAGCGTCAACATGACGAGGGCGGAAGTAGGCACGAGTGTAGTTCTTGCGAGGGAGCCATTCCGTGAAAGGCAGGGGAGCCACAGCACCGGGATCCGCGTCACACTGCACAGGCTGAGGCGGAGACTGCAGCTGGATCTGGGAGGCACCGGAGTTAGAGACGCGATCAATCGGGTGCTTAAAGCGCATGAAAGCCGCCCGATCGAAGCGTTCGATGGCCCAGAAAAAGAACCCTATCGAAAAGAGGGCCACGAGGGGGAAGATAGTCTTGAGGCGAAACATCGGCATTTTGGTGGGTGTATTAAGGGTCCCGTGTTTCAACATCAAAAGAGATTTCCGTTTTCTTTCTTCCACGTAGGAGATAATAGAATATTAAGTGGTGATAAGTATCTGAAAAAAAATAGTCGTCGTTCGTTGTTACCGGGAGGAAAAGGTGTCCGTAATCGCACAGCCGTTACCGCAAGGAACCGAGAAAATCGACGGAAATGGAGCAAAAGAGTGGAATTGGCAACCGAGTCAAGAAAAGAACTCTGAGTTACCGAAAGGTCTGTCAACGAGAGGCTGGCAGCGTCGAGACCTGCGACACGGTCACAAAAAGGGGGTTGGCCGGTGAAAAATATAAGAAATCCCAGTCGCAGGACAGCACAACTCCAAGCCAATAGGAGAAAAGGGGAAAATTAGACACGAGAAAGATAGCGAGCACAACTGGACGCCGTGTCCAGGGGGCCTTAGAAGAAGATCAGGCTGGAGGGGGGAGGGGGTGGAGGAGGAAGAGGAATGGAGATGGAGCGATGTTTGAAGCTTGAAAGGTTGAAGAGAAAAGAGGAAGAAAGGGGGAGGGAAGAAGAAAAAGGAAGAGGAGGGGAGTGAGACCAAGAGATGTACGGGAGAGTACGTAGTAATCGGAGGGCAAAAAAAAAGAGACCAAAAAAAAAAAAAAAAAGCGGATGAGGGAAGGATGAAGACAGGAGACAGAAAGCGATCCAAGTGGGAATGCCGACTTGCTGGTCCACGGGTTGGCTTGGGGCCTGAGCTCCTCCCACTGGGTAATTTAATCTGCAGCGTATTAAGCTCACCCGTCACGCTGTGGTTCGCTCTGCCTGCGACTTTTTTTAATTTCGATTTTCTTTTTCTGTTTTACACGGAGATAATTTTAATTTTAGTCGCCTTTTGGTTTTTGATAGTTGGTGGCGTTTAATTTGGACAGCGGATTCACAGGGCAGAAAAAGAAAATATAAAATAAAATAAAGAAGGATCTGATTTTTTGGGGGCTGATCTGACAGAGGGGATTCTCAGATGAATCGATGTTGGTCAGAATTAAGACCCTTAAGAAGTTAAGACGATTTGAAGGAAATGAAAGAAAATAAAAGATAGAAGAAGATGGATGGATTTATCTACGGCGAATCTTCCACGCCTCCCGCATTTCCTGGCACTTCCCTCTTATTTTATTATTCTGTTATTATGACGACAAAGTCCATTTACAGTTTTACTGCGTACGCAGACGTTTTTAAGTGCAGATCACTAACCAAAGGGACAGCCAGACGATGGATCTTCCCTCTTCCTCTCCACCGGTCCTGTATTTTTCACTTCTCCAATCTCCCGGACCCTTGTGATCGTCCTCGTTCTTTCGCTTCTCGTATGTCTGTACGACGGACGTCATGGCACAGACTAGCAGTCCGCGATAGAACAGTCTCGGACGAGTCACCGATCTCGAAGTCATTTCCCCAGCCTCGATCTCTGACTACGTACTCCGTGCTGTGTACGATGTCCGGAGTGCATAAGTACGCAGCAGGCGGCATGCAAAAAGATATCTTTAGATCACATCCTATCGGCTGACCAAAACAAAGAACAAACCAAACCCCAAATTCAAAAGAAGGTTAAGATTCAGAGGAAGAATCCATCGAGGTGCATACACAGGGAATATTTTCCACCCGTGAGAAGACCAACCACCTGATCTCTTGCGTGGTGCCGATTGCGTACTTCGGGGACTTCGGGGGTTTTCTTTTAATATTTTAACTCTTGTACGGTGTATAGTCAGGGTCTTGCCGGGTACCATCTGTCCCAAACGGCCGATCACCGTTGTTCATGATCAATCTCAAACGACACAAGATGTTACAGGTTACCCGTCGGGTGTGGCCTTCGGTTGTCCGTTGTCACGACGGGCAAGTAGCGTCTGATAGTGCCTGAATAGTGAAGACGCACCGACTCCGTCCTGATGAACTACGAGCAGAGGATGATGGCTGGGATGGATTCTTCCCTGGCAGCTCCCGTAGTCTAGAAGGAGAGGAGCCCGGAAGTGGAGATGTTTCTATTCTTTCGCTTAGTGGGTTGAGCCGGACCCGGTGGTCGGGCGGACAATCCGCCCATTGTAGTACTCTGTTGGCAGTGGTGGCAGCCGTTGGGAAGGCTAGACCGAGTGCATGTCTCTGATGTCTCAGAGTACGAGTCGACAGTCTGGTTGTCTATATGGAGTCAGCAGACTGACTCTATTTGCCTACTCAGTTACAGCATACAAACTCTTCTGATAGAGTAGAATTCCCAATCGAGCCAGGAATGATAATAGATGAAAATCAAATAAAATCAAATAAAAAACCCCCCAAAGTTCGATCGGCGCGGCTTCCCGTCAGGCCGACCAGTCAGACCGGCCACTTTCCCAGGGAGCCCCACGGGCCGCGTGTCCCTTTCGCTCCCTCCCTGACGATGATTGCGGTGGTTTCGCCTCGTTTGGTCTCTGTTTCGGACGTCTGAGATGACACCTTTCGGTCTTCGTATCTCTGAAGGCCGCTCGCTAGCCTGAGTAGCCTCACCGGGCTATCTGCTTTCCCTTCTTAGATCGGTACATACTGTACTTAGTCTCATTGTAGTCAAGTATCCGTACGGCGTATCTGGCAATCTGCATCTCTCTCTCCGGAGCTTAGACCAGGCCAGACCAGCCCTGGGAAAAACGATGAACCGTGGGATGACCTCCCCGGACTGGTGACGGGTGACTGGGAACTGGTAAGGTACGGGACACGCACCCTCCCAGCCCCCGTAACCGTCCCTCGGGTCCCATTAACAGGTCTGTCTGCACCGCCCCCTACTTTTTTTATCTGAACTGATCCCTGACTGCCAGAGCTGAATATATCAGGCTCTATCCTCAATTCCTCGGCAGCCCTCTTTGCCACCAGGGCATGACCACCTTTAAGCCTCATGATTGGCAAATGAGCTGCCTGAAAAAAATGATATTCATTATTCAACCTGACTAAGAACGACTCTGGGCGACAGGACGAGTGGACTAGCCCCGACACTAGGAACGGACGGTACCTGTTCACTAAGCGCTGGGTGGATCGGGATCAACGGGTTGAACCATCCTACGTACGTACATTGCCATCTCGGCAATCCAATCACGTCGGTCGCAGGAAGCAGACACTTGCTCAGAGGACGCGTGGCAAAGACGAAGAACCCGGCCTCTCGCTGGGAAGTTGCGCGCAACTGTGCAAGGCTTACGGTCAGTTGTCCCATTCGTCCGCCGGTACGATGATGTGCCTGGTTGAGATATCACGATGGCGATGGCGATGGAGACGATGGCAACATCCGATGCTGCTCCGACCACTGGTGCTGGTGGCTGGTGATGCGGACTATCTGCTCGACCAAGGTAGTCCGTCTACCTAGTCCGATGATCGGGTTGCGAAAACAAGCCACTTGACTATTCGGGGGATGAGGATCGACACGAGTTCTTTATTTGTACTCTGATCTGCCAGAGTAGTTACACCGAATGATTACTCCTACAGAACGAGGATGGAAGGGAAAGGGAAAAGTGTCCATCAGGTAACGGATACAACATTAACCAGAGGCACTAAGGTGACTGCCGAGCAATTAAGCTTGAACGCCGGCCTTGGCAGCTGTCACGAATATACGAGGCCCAGGACCATCCCTTTTTTTCTTCATTCGGAAAGACTTGAACGAAAGCGCCGATGGCCGATGCCTCGAATTACCTGTCGGAATTTGGCGCCGTTACGTCAGTCCGGGGGTGGATGGCAAAGGATTATTTTACTTGCACAATTTTTCATTATGCCCCTGATCTGCAAAACTGAGGACACTCCTCTTCAGAAAGTGGACGGCGTAGAGATCCGATTCGCTATCTCCCCTACCTATTCGTCTCAGTATCTTCAGAGTCACACCTTAACCCCCATGCCAAGAACCAACAATCCCCCGTCTGGAAGGGAATCCCTACCCGACCCAAGAAAACCCGATGTAACCGCCATCAGCCCGTCAAAGGGCAAAGACCCAAAGGGTCCGGGGATCCGCTTCAGGGTCCAACTTTACAATCTACTAGTACTGGACCTGGTTAATTTCAACGCGTAACCGGTTTTTTTCTAGTGCTCTTTTTTTGCAAACTCCGATCTGTTTATCATTACTTCATCCGGTCTAGAAGACGGAAGACGGAAGATAACCATCGAACAAGAGGTTGGGCTTGGAGGCTTGCAGGTCTGTTTACCTCCGACACTTGCGAAACATAACAAAGTTAGACTTTTCGTCAACGAAAAAAGGTTGGTCACTAAGGTTAGGTTAGGTAGGACAAGGCCAAGGCCAAGATAGCTTGACTCCTGTACAACTCTAAGTCATTTTTATTCGAGGCTCGTTCTTGTCCGTCGGGACGATCCCCGTCTTCAATCTGTGAGATACGTACACCTCTGGGATTAAGTTGTCGATGACTCTGCTTAATATATCGAACCGTCTGTAGCCTTGTAGCTGTCCTAACTGCATCAGGCGTTTACGTGCTCACACTCAAACACGAACCATGTCATCCGTCTGAACCTTACTATGAATCATGTAGTCAGAGTGCTTGTGGTGTAGTTGCCGTTTGACTTCTACCTCGTCTTAGGTATACGGATTGCTCATATACCCCATGTTCCGTATACAGAGGCTGCAACATGGTAGCCTGATTTACGGAGTAGTTACTGCGTAGATATTAGATACATCCGTTTGTGGAGCGTAGCCTAGCCTTGTGGGCCAGAGCTGGGTTCAGTCGAGACCTGAGACAGTCACGGTTTTATGCAGATATCTTCCGCGTCATGGATTGCGGGGTGGGCAGGGATGTCTGAGAACACGGAGTATCCGGACACAGTACGGTGTAATCTAGACTGCTTTACCTACTTCGTAGATCTTAGGTAGATTCATTGCGTGTCCTTTTTAAGACGGAAGTTGCCTGTTGTGGTTAGTGTTTAGTCTGAGTATGGGGTTCAACTGAGATGTGAACGTGTACTCCGCCGGAGTGCAGAGTATTTTGTTCAGAGGGGGGAGTAGTTAATATTAACGTGCGGTTTCAAGCCAGGTTTGATATTCGGATGATTTTTAAGGATGGTTTCTATTTATCATCATTAACTATCCTCAGGTGTTGATTTGGTAGCAAGCGAGATACTATCTATATTAGCGACTGGAAGATGTCCTCGGTGGTATTCTATGTCTTATCTTGCTAAGCTTCAATGAACTGGCTCAAAGCCAGCGCCTGTTCAATCAATAACCCGAGATTCAACACACTCAGCAGTCGGAAAACAGATGTATCCAGGAATTGACTAGTTAGTCTACGGAGTATCCATGACACATGTCTCCGGAATACTTATATTCGATGTCTGCACCGTCCTCTCGAATCACCCACCATCCCTATCCATGACTTTTCATCCCCGGCATTACCTAAAAGCCCATGCTTTCATCACCATTAAGAGATGGAATCCTAGCCAGTCTAATACAGCATCTTGGTCCCAGTAGCGCTCATCTATGACAATTTCTTCTACCAACAACAGCCCTACATCGTCTGGTGACCGTTTCATTTAGCCTTGAATAACCTCACGGTGTCTCCTTGCTTTCAGAACCTCGAATCCAGAGCCCAGTTCCCATGCATGTGTGTAGTATTGGATTTATCTTAACTTCCATCATCCTGCAGATACGATATCCTCGTGCTATGTTATGGCATGTTGTGTAATTCTCTTCCCTTCCCTTCTGTTCTCTTATGTACTGTGCTGTGCAGTGCCGTACCCTGTTAAGTTGTGTTGTATTACACCACCGGGTCTGATTTGACTGAATTTAACTTACTTTGGGTCCGAAGTAGGGTAGTTGCATAAGGTAGTTACACGTGTACGCATTCTACCGGTAAATGCTGTTATTCAGGGATTTAAAGGAGACTGCATATGTATTTACCAAGACCTAGATACAGTGCTTAGCGCGGATAGATGCATAGTACACGTATTTGTGCAGCGTAATATTGTATAGTGGAATGCAAGACATGACCTTTTGAAAAGTCTGAGAATACCCCCCTTCATACAAGACTATCTCTGCTTATGGATGGCGATACTACTGTAGGTCTCTGAATCCCACTGATGGCTTGATTCGCGTCGTACGGGTCTGGGAAGAACGTTGCTGAGGTGCTGAACACTTAGCGTGCAGTGAGAAATTGAAAAAGGCATGAAGATGAACGTGTAGGTTAGGTATCACTTAGTTGGGATTGGCTGACTCGACCGGGCAGACAAAATTGATAAGGCTTAGTGATAACATGGATCGAAACTATTTTTGAGTAGAAGAAACGAAAACGGTGTCGATGACTGTTCCACTATAACGTGACTGGACTGGCTGCTCTAATATGATATGGTATAGTGCCCCCAGATTGAATCCGCTCCAAACTTCTATACAGCCCCATCGGGAAATGATAACTGCTTGAGGCAAAGCACATTATATAATTCTTGGCGTTGACCACCTTTTAGTCCCCTTTAGATGGTCTCATTAGGCGAAAGGGATAGATTCGGACATCCCTGGTAGTCACAAGTATTCTGCGACTCGGAATTGGCAACCATGCAAGAGAGCAAGGGCATAATCTACCAACCTTATAAACCTCCGTCCCCCACCAACTAAATCTATCCGCAGCTCCTGTATAAAACACAGTAAAGAAAATAACCAACCCGGCCAACGAGACCGACGAATCTAACGCACTTACCAAGGACGTAATTATAGCTGCGCCACCACCCATTTTCTTTGCGACGAACAAACACCCCAAAGAACAGACCAACGATAGCCCAACTCCCGTAGTTCATGCCCGTGGCTGGAGGGATGTAGTTCAATCCTCCCAGAAACAAAGGCACGTTGACGTATCGCCACATGGACTTCGGGTAGCGGCGTTCGAGGAGGAAGACCAGGATTGGAAGGGCGCCGCCTAGAATCAGGATGTAGAAGAGACTTCTGTATCCTGAACTGCCGGAGAAGAAGCGTCGCGGGCCGATCGCGACCCAGATGATGCTGGTGTTGAAGTCGGTGCGGGCGAATGGGCATGAGAAGCCGTTGATGGCGTCGGTGGTGCAGATGCCTTTGATGTGGCCCAGGGCCCAGTTTATGACTGCTACTTGACAGATGGTTCCGATGATGATGCCGACGCATTGGGTTAGGAAGACGGGGCCGGGGGATATCTGATATCCTCAATAACAGAAGAGTTATCGTAGTGGATATACGGTTGATGGGATTCACTCACACCATAGAAGCTACAGAGCTTCATATACGGCGAAAATGAAAGCCCATTGGCGATTGTAGTATACCAGAGTCCAACAAACCAATTGTTTGCGAGAGGCTTACTCTCCCAAACGAACCCAGCCACGATACGACAAAATATGTCAACCCCAATTTTGACGTTGGCAGTGGCATAGATAAGAGTCACCTGTAGCTCATTAGCGATGCCATCCATGTCTGAGCAGGCGATAGAGATAGTGAAACGCTCAAAGTACCGGAGAGAAGAAGATAGCACCGACCAGCAAAGCAAACAAAACCCCGTACCAACGCAAGTCCAGATTATAGAACTCGATCGAAAAGATAGCGAAGAAAAGTCCTAGAGCAAGAGCCACCACGTACCACCACATGGGGACGTCGTCGGGATTCCGCACTCTCTCTTTCGTGGAATCCATTTCCTTCACGAATATCGCACGGCTGTATTCCCAAGCACGGCGTGCTGCCGCTGAAAGCACATCGTTATGTTCGAGACCCATCCAAACAATGAGCGAAGCTAATGTTGCAATTGCCAATGCACAGGTATTCAGGGCGTATGTAATAGGCATATAGACCTGATTGAAAAATGACATCAGTATACAAGACTGACAGGTGCTTTGAAAGACCTGAAGCAAACGCTAGAAAGTTTCTTTATTACAGGTGAATAGTTCTCGTACTTCGCAACGTCTAATTGGAAGCCCGTTCCCTCACCCAGGATCCTCGACACATTGTAAACAGCTCCCGTGTTGTCATAAACTAGCACCAGTGTTAGGACAACACTTGGTGATTCAAGCGAACTGAAACGTACTATCAGAGCTTTGAAAAGGCAGGTATCTTGTGTTCCACACATTCATGTAGTAGCACGCCGTGGCGACTATGTACACCAAGAAAACAAGCGCGCCGGCGACATTCGCAATTGCCCAGGACGGTACAAGCAACGGGGACGAGACGTGGGCGACCTGGCTCCCTGAGAAATATAATTGTCATTGCCCAAATTAATTGCTATAGAAATGGGGAAGGGTACCTACAGTCGAGAGTGAGTGGTAGAGGTCCCATGCCCGATGAAACCCTGAACACTTGGTTAACCACGCGATTGGAAGGATTGATCCAACAAGGAAAGCTAAAGTAGCCCAATTCCGGAAACAGGAAATCAGGTAGCCAGTACCAGAAGAAGGATCCCACGAACACAACGCAGAACTTCGTAATCATCCTCTGGACCTGGTGTGTGGGTTGTTAGAATACTGAGCGGAGAAACACTGCAAGAGAGGGAGCGAGGGTTAGCATACCAGGCTCTCTTTTGGCTGCTGTGTCTGTTTTCGTATCCATGCTGGTGGGAATTCTGTTCCGGACAAGCAAGCTGGTTTGGCATATCGTGTGATCGTACTGACCCTGCAAGTGAAACTGTAAACGACTTCTCCCCAAAAGAGCTCAAACTAAAGCAGTGCAGTTTTATGAGCACAATATTGGAGCCCTAAAGCAATATATGGATATGTGGATAGCAGCCACGGCTCTTTCATTGAGCGGTTCTGCCGTTTGAGAATGCTGTGGCCTCTATAGGTTTTTATAATAAACTTGAAGGTCAAGTCGTATTCGAGTCATGTATTAAGCTGATAACCGCAAAAATATAAAATCTCATCATCTCAATAGAAAGTTGATTGATTTTCTTCATTGATAAAACCCGAACAACAAGAGAGGTGTGGATCAAAGTCGGAGATCCCCGGGGGATGAGTACGGTGGCGTCGGAGAAGATAAATCTTCGGGATTGGGTTATTGTTTGAATGAAATAGACATGCTATTGTAATTCTTTAAAAGAGGATACACTTCCAGTTACGCTACTGCCCACATTTGTATGGACATACGTGGCATTTTAACTCAACCTGCTTCTTTAAGTGTTTTGAAATCGGCACTCTATCTTGCTATCTTGCTAAGATCACCAAAACATGAAATCACCAATTTAAGGAGAGTCGGTAGGAGCGGAAGGTGTCAAAGATGAGGATGACGAGACAGGACCCCAAGGGCTTCCGGGCCAGAGCTCTTTCCCCCAGAAACGCGCATCATCCCAATATTCATCCGGCCCCGTACAATACGTCAGGCCCACTACGAGACTTCCATCGCAGTCGTCTGGTGACAACGAAGGATTGGCATCCAAGAAAAGCTCTCAGTAACAGTGTGGTATAGTCCGCAGAACCAGGCGGAGCCCTCGGCGACAGTGGCATTTTCCGGCGGACCAATAGGCTCTGAAGTATAGCCTGTACTAGCAGGAGGACCGGAACTTCTCGCATTGCTGACGAACTTATTGTCGTCGTACGTGCCTCCCTGGGGTGAGAGACAGATGACGCTGCCTCGGATCTGTCGTGCGGATTGGAGATGCCAGCAGTTGCCGTCGAGCCAGGGATTGAACTTGCGCACACCGCCATACTTGACGAGGCCTGAATCCTCAATAGAGAAGCATGTGTCGTTGTCCTGTAGGGTGTATATGTTCTCGCAGCTCAACGGGATGCAGATTTCTCGGCCGGCGATCAAATAGGAACAGTCGTAGATGAGTTCTGAGTTTCCACCTTGTATGGCGGCCGACGCGACGCTATACTCCAGCGCAATTGTATCGCATGTGTCATTTTCTCGTATAATGTAGGTCATATCCGTCAGACACATCGGCTTCGACGAGTCAGGGATCTTGACCAATGGTTCTGGCAGTTCCGTTGATTTATTCAGCCCACACTCCTTGTTGATAATCTCTAGGTTCTCCTGAGCCCGTACATCATAGGCAGTGTATGCGCTCGCCTGCATCATTATGTATTTCTGTTTAAAGCAGTAAGAACACATATCTGCTGTAGACATGGACCTTATACTCGCGACGGTAGGGTACTCGTTAATGATGCTTTGACAGTACTGTCCCGTCTCTGGATCTTTATGACAGGTCTGATTGTATCCGGCATATATGTAGCCCCCATTTCTTGATGGTTTCGAGAAACCAAGAGTTTGGTTGATGCAGCTAGTGGAGACGTTGTCGAACCAGCTCTTCAAGCTGTCTCCACAGCTAGGGGCGCAGATCATGTCGGCCTCCATGGCATCATCAATGTACTTACCAACGTTTTGAGACTTGAAGGTCTTCAGGAAAGGGTGACACCGGATTGTTTGCGAAAGGGCTGTTTTGCAAGCCGAGGTCAGACCCGCAACATCATTGAGGTTGTCCAGTTCATAAATTTGGAATCCAGGGAATATATCTCCTCCAATACTTCGACAAGCGACGAGAATGAAGCACGAGAAAAGATACCAAGTCTGGTAAGTAAGACGCCCAAGCAAACGAGGCATTTTTGGAACGCATTCAATTGAGGAGTTGGGATGGCAAAAAAACTGGTATGTCACCACAGCTTCTAACCAGATAATGACACAGGATGTAGACACAAGCCTAAATGGACTGAGCCTGCTGTAATCCGGAGAATATCCGACCTAGGCTCTCAACAAATAAATTTTATCCTTGTTAATAACCTAGCCAATTCATTATATGTACCTTGGGTGTAATCCTTGCAATGTAGCATTTCTTAATGAGCGTTGAGGGCCAATACAGGGACAAGCGCACGCTTTGTTTAGGCGAGATGCACCACATGCTGACCGTATTAAGAAGGTTCGTGTTATGGAGGCTCTTTTGGTGCAAGATCTAACCCAAAACCAATTGGTGACGTACAGTAAAAAGGGGCTCGGATACCTGGACTGAGTGTAAGGCTATTACAAGGTGCCAGGGTCCAGCCGGAGATGCCGAATTAGGGTTAGCAAGGCTCGGGGGAGGTAAGAAGCTAATGACTAGGAAGGTAACATCGGGCCAAGGACTCCTTAGCATTAAGCCTCTTAAGGGCGTAGAACAGCGCTAAAGCATATGAACTATGGTACCATAGCCCTAGGGAATTCTACGAGGCCTATGGCTCGACCCGATAGATCTGCCAAGAGCCGCAGTTTTCAATAGTCTAGTACTGGTCTCTTTGATAGGCCAAGCTGCATCGGTTCGATCATTGTATACGCTAACATGAGATTAATTCATTTCCACCTCAGGTAGCGTGCGGCAGTTAGCGCATTCGCTAAGGCAGGCATCTATCGTTTCGAGGATACCTATCCTAGCGCAGTTGTATTAAGCTGGCAATGGGGTTATACAAAATTGGATGACCGGGGTGCGTGCTGGTTTTAACTATATTAGCTATCGAGCGCCCAAGACATGATGGACTCGCTGACGCTTTGTCTACGATATGATTCAAATCACTGCGCGGAGGTGAGAAATTATAGACCAGCCAATTATGACCAAACGGTATATGCCTTGGTTAATAGTTTTTCTACTTTTTCTATGGCTTTGCATAGGGTCAAGCCTCCAGAAGTGCAGCGCGGCCAATCCATGTGCAAAGGGGTGCTGCTCAAAGTAGGTTGCGTTCAAATTGGAGATGCGATGGAGGAATCACTAATCGCATGTTACTTTTGATTAGATCAGGCCACTGCGGGGTGGGCGATGAGTACTGTGTGAGTTTATATACTGGCTAACGCAATGGCGCCGTGCACTGACATATCCAAAGGCAGCAGACACCTGCGTGGGTAACTGTGATTACATGGGGACTATGGAGTGTGACGAGAATAGGCATTGTGCTAGCGGATGCTGTTCGAAATTCGGAGTGTGTGGACTAGGCCCAGAATGTAAGTTCCTCTTATGCTTTCATACCAAATGTCCTCACTAACCTAATAATCTCCGATAGTCTGTAGCGAGAAGAACTGTATCTCTACCTGTGGTGCTAAATCAGAATGTGACCCTGGGAACTGGGGCTCCACATATGCGCAGTCCAGCAGCTGTTTGCTTAACGCTTGCTGTAGCAAGTCAGTATCTCGTCGGGAAGGACAGAATACAGATGACTGACACTCGATTTTAGACATGGGTTGTGTGGTACTACTGAGGAGTTCTGCGGTGAGTTCTCATATCTTGTCCTTCAGTTTACCGCACATACATGTGTGGCTGACAATGAGAATTCGGCGTTTATCCTAGGGAACGAGAAGATATGGAGACCTTCTTGTCCGAATGCGACCTCAATTTCTCGGGTCGTGGGCTACTATGAGGGTTGGTCGGACAAACGTTCTTGCAATAAGTTCTATCCATTGCAAATCCCACTAAATGTATACACTCACTTGAACTATGCCTTTGCGACCATCAACCCGGATACGTTCGAGGTTGGTCCGGTAAATGGAGACGAAGCAAAATTCATGAAAATCCTTTTAGAACAGAAAAGGGAAAGGAATTCGCCTCGGGTTAACATTGCCATTGGTGGATGGACTTTCATCGAGCCAAGAGAAACCCCCTCGAAGCTCGATTTATCTCGCTCGAAAGACGTTCAAAAAGAGACTGGACCAAGAGCGACGACATTTTCCGATATGGCCCGCTCAGAAACGAAGCAAAGGAAGTTCTTCAAGTCTCTTATCTCATTCATGGCCACCTACGGATTCGACGGAGTCGATATCAACTGGGAGTTTCCCACCGCAGATGACCATCACGGTCGTCCAGAGGACTTTGTTAACTTTCCGAAGTTCATGGCAAACCTGAAAAATGCGTTGATGTCTACCGGTGGGCGAAGTGAGTTAAGCATGACGATTCCAGCCTCTTATGGGGACCTCAAGTACTTTGACATCAAAAGTTTGGCGAAGCATGTGGACTACTTCAATTACATGTCTTTTGACCTTCATGGAAAATGGGATAGAGGTAGGCAACTTTTAAAAAGAACAGAATGAGATTTGGGCTAAGATGTTTTACCAGAAAGCAAACGGAAAGAACCTTATCTGGGCGCCCATAGCAACCTGACAGAAATCCGACACGCGCTGGACTTGCTCTGGAGAAACCGTATCAGTCCAAGTAAGGTGGTTCTCGGGGTACCCTTTTACGGCAGAAGCTTTGCCATGGCCAATAAAAATTGCAAGGAACCTGGCTGCAAATTTGCTTCTGCAGGAAATCCAGGAAATTGCAGTCAAGACCTAGGCGTTCTCATGAACAGTGAAATCGACGATATCCGCGCAAAGCAGAAGATTCAACCCACCTTGGACAAGGAGGCCGCCGTGCAAATCCTGACCTGGGATAATCAATGGGTCACGTACGACGATGAAAGTACCATCAAGTCGAAATTGGACTTTGCCCGCACTACCTGTTTGGGCGGAGTCATGGTCTGGGCTGTGAGCCATGACACTCCCGATGGAAATTACTCCAAGGCACTAGCAGGGATAACACCATATCCCCTTGACCCGTGGAAGTCACCTTGGGATAACTGGCACCGGATCCCTTGATCGAGTCATATTAGATTTAGGGTGGAACTGTAGAATATCAGCCTCAATGACCGGCTGGATGCTGGCACCTGTGCCGATTCCTGCGATCGGCTCAAATCAAGTATCAAAATATAGTCACACAGGATTGGTATCTATACTCAATTGGTACCTGTTTTGCCAAGGTCGCCACTACTTGAGGACAGCAAAGTAGATAGCTAAGAGACATGGACCTGACTAAGGGTTGAAAGACTCACGTGTTGTACGACGGATCAAGTGGCGGCGGATGGATATATCCTGTGTAGCGAACATCAACTCGCAGACAAATCAGATTAAATTACCCCTACTGCGCCAAATGATTACTAGTGCTGAGCCCAGTTGGGCCTGGCTAACTTAAAACCAAGCAGCGCCCGTCTAATTTGTCACCAGAACTTCCCCATCCTAGAAATCGCTGATGGATGCTTTACCTTCGGAGCTAATTGAGCTAATAGCTCTCTTCGTACGCTCACTTGCCCCATCCTGTAGTGACCAGACTTGACGCCTAACTCACCGACATTTAGCTCAAGGATGAGCTGCAGACTCTCCGCGCTTTCAGTTTAGCTAGCTCTAGGGTGTACCAGCTGACTGCCCCGATCATTTACAGAACAGCCATTATTCGATTCTCTGGCTTCTCTGAGCTCCAGAAAATAGTCGCTGAATATGCCGAGTCAGGCCTCGGACGGCCTTTTCTGACCCATGCTACGAGACTGGACCTTGTGGCCCTACCCAAACAAGTACGCCAGCTTGGTGGTGGCTCGGGTCTACATCGATTCGAAACGCGGGATAGAAGTGTTACCATTGAAGATTTCCAACCGTACGGTGTCGGCTCGTTCATGGAACGATTCATGTCTCAATTCGATCTTCCGGGGTATGGACGCCGGCTCGGGGGGCTCCCTGGGGCCTTTTCCAAGAACGAGTGGCAGCCACTGGTTTCGTTGGTCTCACGGCTGGCCAAACTGAAGAATATGCACTATGCTATACGCAACTCTTTCCCTCGGTCCTTACTTGATGCAGTGCAACAGCATCATCCGACCTGCGGAATCTATATCTGGAGCCCCCAGACACCACGCCTAGACATCCCGGGTGTAGGTCCGATAAAAAACACGATGAAACTGGGTGGCTCGCTCGTTAACGACCTGCTAGACATGGAGGTGCTTCGCTCTCCCTGCCTCCGCGCCATTAATCTAGATTATCCCATTTTTGCTGGCTACCCGAAAACCCTCCATCTAGGCATGATCGTACCATACATCATTCAAGCTCCCGACATCAAGCATATTTATTTGAATTTGGATGGCGAGTGGGGAGTCGAATTTCGGAAAACTATCCAGAGCGTTCCTCAACATACTGGTGATACGTCGCCGCTTGTGGGTTTGCATTCCTTCTCTCTGCAATTGTACCTGCTCGAGGACCTGGCCCTGTCCCAATGGACCCCGGTGATGGATTTATCAGCCCTCAAGAGCCTGCATATCCCCATGCTTGGGTTTTTTCATTGTCCATCTCATCTCAATAACGCAGTATCAGGCCTTGTAAGCCTGGAAAGGCTATGGATAGGAGCTGATCCGGGACACAATGGGTGGACTACTTTTTCGGAGGAATTGCGTTCTATCTTTCAACGACTGAGGCCATTGAAATATCTCTGCATCGAGGGCCTCGAGCATATCTCATTTCTTCACGATATTCTGGAGCGACATGGTTCGTCCTTGGTAGGCCTCATGCTACCACCCGGCCGCAGGCGGGCCTCGATCCCTCAGCATCCTCAGTATGCGGGATACATCTACCCTTTCGTAGACGACACCCATTTGCAGAGAATTGCTCAGCGCTGCCCCAACCTGAAAGATTTTCGTGTCCCGATCCGTCGATCGAAGGGCGACCACGCGGAAGTTCGCACTTATCGGGCCCTAGGTAGTTTCCCTAGTCTACAGAACCTGATCCTGGACCTGTACGGAAACCCGCGACCTGTACTGTCGGCTGAACAGGGGACTTTTTCAACTGAGAACGTGGGGGGGTCTGATATCCCGCACGTCAGCCTGGAAGATGCTTTGATCAATTTCGCTACTGATCAAACACTAGCCACCGCTATCTGGACGGAGATCGTTTCTCACCAGCCATCACGGAAATTGACACGTCTTCGCGTTTCTCCCTGGGGATATGCAATCTACGATATTGAAGAGCGGTACGTACTGTTGCACCTAGCTCGGTCGTTCCTCGTTACACGCGGCACGCACGGCGAGACGGACGTGGTGGAGATCGGAAAAGAGGAAAATGAGGCCGATATGGAAGTCATCGCAGCGCCAGACGAGTATAGGCAGGCGCAACCTTTCCGAGTACCCAGACGAGTCACTCGATTGCTTCACTCGATCTGGCGACCGACACCTAGCCACCCGGACTGGACTACAACTTGGAAGAGCTTCCCCTTGCTAACCGACATGGATTAGCCTTGTGATTGATAGTCAATGTGCTCAGGTGCCTTGCAGTCTATATTTTAGCTTCCGTACCCCTTAACTTATCAAATGGCTGTATATGTAATCTTTAGCTCGGTGTTTTACCTTCACCCGCGTGTTAGTGCAAATTTAGGCTTTTTAGGTACCCCAGAATGCTATGTAGCTGTCCTTAACCTCTCTGACTCCTCTAAATATCTCGGTCCCATACACTCCCACACATGAGCCACTTCCAGAGACGCTTGATTTCGTCTTGTTAAAGACAGATACCATTATTTTAATGATGTAAATTACCCCTTGATCTCCGAGACAGAATGCCGTGCCAGAAAGGCTAAGGTGAGCTGTCTAAATCCCCAACCGAGGCTCGTAAGTGACACTAAATATCAGACAGTGCTCGAAAGAGCGTCCTTCATGCTACCACTGTCGATCGTGGAATAGAGCATGTATTTATCCACCGAAGCCAACTAGGCCGCCTTTGACACGAGAGTTAGTGTTCCCTGGCCAATTCCCCACTTTCTTAGGCTAGACAGGGGTCCTAACATTCATAGACACCTGACTGCGGTCGAAGACCGTCTAAGCACTCTGGAGACGGCAATGCAAAAGTTGTTTCCGGATGGTCAGATGGAAGTGAATATCCGTTCATTGTTGACAGATTCTCTAGCTACTGAATTATCAGTGGACTCTGTTGCTCAGGACGCTCCTGTGGCTGCCATGCAGCAAAGCGATACTGTGATGGGAGACGTAACTCAGCATGACGGGGGCCTCGATATCCCCGAGCTCCCGGATCCGTTTCTCCCAGAGGAAGATTTTACCATGGATCCGAACTCAACATCTCCCATTAGCCATCTAACCTCTAGTCTATCGAGTAATCAGAGCTCAGCTTCGAACGAAGAAGCCTACATTCGGTCATATTTCAGCACTTATCATCTTCTTTATCCCTTTGTTCACGAGGCATCTTTCATGTGGCAGTATCGGGAGATTAGCTCGGTAGCCCATCACACCGCATGGCCAATTCTCTCAAATATGGTTGTGGCGATGGGGGCATGGTCTACTGGAGAGGACTCCTGCAACATGAACATGATTTATTCCGAAAGGGCAAAGAACTGCCTGAAGCAGATCTCGGTGTTGGACAAAGGCAACGTTACCTTGTTGCAGGCTCTCTTGTTGCTGAGTGCGTATAATGAGAAACGCGGTAACCCGAAAGAAAGCTGGAACTTTTTGGGACTTGCAGTTCGAATGAGCATCGGCCTTGGACTCCATAGAGAATCTACATACACGAGCTCTAGCCAAAGCCTGCTGGAAAAAGAGATCCAAAGAAGAGTTTGGTGGAGTGTATATTGCACTGACAGCTGTTCCTCCAAGATCCACGGTTTACCGCTACTACTTCCGGAAGACAGACTGATCGCAGTTCGACCAGTCCTCAACATTTCTGACGAGGTAAGGCTATTAGGGCTCCCTGCATTTGACGAGCAGTACTCCAACTAACTGGATACAGGCTCTTACTCTACAAACAACTACACATCCACCAGAGACTGAAGATCTTCCTATATATACTGGCTTGATTCAGCAGGCCAGTTATCATCGGCTGGCGAACCGTATCTACCGTCGACTACTCTCCGTCGACCAAATCAGCGCACAGGAAATGAAGTCCCTAGAGGACATGATAGACAATTGGCACATCAACTCTTCTCGATATAGCTTGCCGTTCAACTCGAAACAGCTTCCCGAATGGGCTATATTAGCCCGTGACCGGCAGCTTTTATGTGATCGAAGTCTCCGACTCCTCGTTCATCGCCCAGTACTGCTGCGCCTGCTCGATAAAAGGTGTATATCTACATCTATAGAGGGGGTCGCCGAGGATGGAGGGCTCGCTGAGCGGCAGTGCCGGGTCAACGCCCTTCATACTGCTCGGACCACGATCAAGATCGTGGCGAACTTGATCAGCGAGGGTCGATTCTTGAAAACAACCCTTTCGTTTATTTTGTAAAGCAGAACCATTTTACCGTGCAGGAAGTCTAAATACCTGGGTCGCTAATTCTTCGCAGATACGCTCTCTTCCATGCAGTCCTCGTCCCGGTCATTCACTTGAGAGTGGACCCCTCCGTGCCAGATTCGATAACTTGGCAGAGAGATATCGAAGAAACCCGAGAGATCCTTGCGCAGCTATCGCTCGGCAACGACGCCTTATCGTGTCACTTTCTCGTGATTCTCAACCAGATCTGCTCATCTACAATTATTAAAGAGCACCATGAGAAACAGGAGCATTTGAAACAAGAACATGAAACCCCCCCTTCGTTCCCAAGGATGGTTAACCCGGCAGACCTCCGAGCTTCATCTAATGATATCTTTGGAAACCAGGAGCTTGGGTTCATCCACGCATACTCTTCCAAAAATCATCCCGCGGTTACATTCTCGGAATGGATGCACATAAACCGATGATGTACCTATGGTGGTATATTCTTGCTCGAAAGACGCCGTTGGCAAAACCACATATTGAATACTAACGCGAGAATGGGGATATTTAGTTATCTTTGAGTTGGCTACGGGACTGGATCTTGGTGTCTTTGCTTTTGCTGCTGATTTCGATGGTGTGTTACTAGTGGGCCACTCGAGGCATAGGTTTAATTGTTATCTTAAAGACATCAATAACTGCCAGAAGCGCTGGCAGATGTTGTTTAAGAATCCTTTGAAGTACTCAAAGAGAATCTCTAGGTTGCGCTTAGCCATTAACTCCAAGGATTTCAATGTTCTAATACTATTCCAAGATGCACGGTTAATGCAAGCTTCGCATTTCGAACCAACTAGTGAATATATTTAGCGAGTGAATCGAGTGCCTACTTATGAATGATCTGTCGACCTTGTCCCTTCATATCAGAATCGTTCTTCTGTAACCATTTCCCCTAATTTTTCAGACCTTGTTGACTCAAGGCCGAGCCAAAACAGGCAGCTGTATGATCTAGCAATCATCCATATCGGACTTTGAATACATATGTCCACTCTCTTAATCTTGACCCAAGATTCTGGCAAGGTTTATAAGCTCAGAAGGACATTGAACTAGACATAGTAAGTTTCGCCCTCCCCGGTGACACGGCAGTTCTGGAAATCTAACCTCATGCAGTATGTCGGATCCCGCAGAAAGGCTCTTCGACGCGTCCTCTAAGTGGTCTATATAGAACGGCATCCTTATCGGCCTACTATATGGCTTCCGGTTCGGCTATGTCGTATAACCTCTACGAACAATATTTCGCGGCTAGTCAGTTTCCTAGATGTGACCGGCCAGGTCTTGCCTCTATCATCCATAGATCAGTGTCTGATAATTGCGGTGCTCTCCTGTCCTTGGTTCAAAGAACCTGGAAAAGAGGGAAGACTTAGCAAGCACTCATGCTAGCCGTGACTATCGGGGTGAGTACGACAAATCACTATAACATCTGTGTTCGGAAACAAAGCCATGAGAGCTTTCGGCTTATGCTGACCCAGATCGGCGGTTCATGCGCCAATCGGAAACCCCGATACCAGCTGGCAGTTAGTATCATGCCTGCAGAAAGGAGTGAAAGAGGTACGATGTCGCGTTGGCTCCCAAAGACTAAAGTACCTGGTCGTATGGCGGCGACGTGCCGTACGAGGGCGGTTCGAAGTACGTATACCTCAGCGACCAGCAAGTCGCGTATCTGCTGTGCAATCCGCAATTGGCCAATTGTCACGACTGCGGTATATGGTGGTAAATAGACCTGGCCCAGAACAGGACTGTTCGCAGAACTATAATGCCGCGTGGACTCCCTAGGGTGGTGCCTGGTGGGATTTTGAAGAGACGGAAGCGATAGTGGAAGCCGGATACTCTGATCCTGTGGCATGGGATGGCCGGTCAGCTATAGCAAAGCGTTGAGCACCATCCTTATATCAAATGTACCCCCATGGATCAAGAATATATGAGAAGTTCGCCGAAAAAAAAAGTCCACGATGCTACAGTTAGTTTGCTACAAACGCGGCAGACTTTACTGCTCCTCCTTGTTTCCAGGTGGTTTCCCACCAAGGTAACGGGAGAGACATTGGCTCTGATATGAGACAGTCTTTCGAGTACCAAGAAGACACACATTCGATCTAAGGTACGAAAAGCCGTTTGCTTTCTGAGGACCATTGGCCTTGTTTGTGTCCATTGTGAAAAACATCATGTACTGTATGACCGGGAAGACCCTCGTTCAATGCCAATTCTTGATAGCACAAGCCTCGAAGAATAGCGCCAGCGATTAAGGAACGGGAAGCTGGTTGGATAGCTGATTCATAGTCTCAAGAACATGGGTCTAGGCTCTAGAGTGAGAAGATACAATTCGCAATGCTCGAAGATATCTGGCCAAAAAGGGAAGACCTGAAACAAATGCATATTACTATCCATTGACCAAGTCTGGGGACAAGTGGCAAATGTTTGGAAGAACACAAAAGATTTCGACTATATCTATATGCCATTGATCACATACAGCTCGGCAATCTGGTCGAACCTTCCAGAGATCAACAGGGGTCTGTGCTCGAGAACGGAGAAACGAAGAAGAGCGTTGCTGTCCTTCAAGGGTTCTATGTTCTTTGTGGAAAGGACCTGGGAAAAGTAATGTCCTGGCAACTGAATCGGCCACCCACCGCGTCAACAAATGAAAACATGCAAGTGTTTACGGGATTATTGAACTGGGGCACAGAAACTCCCGCAACGGATCTAGCCGACATCACCACGTACCCGTATCCGGGGGAAGCAAAGCTTCAGCTCAGAGAACCAAGCAACCAGGTTATTTGTGATGTGCCGGACGCAGAAATCCCAGTAATCTTCCGAGATAAAATTACCACCGACGCGGAATCTGATCCTACCGGTAGACCGGTTTCCCCGACAGAAGCCGGAGACGAAGAAGAAACCGACAACAACAACGGGGTATTCATGCTAGTATTGGAATTCCAGAAGCACCAGCATATTTGCCTTTTTTGAAGGATATAGGCCTTGTGCTCTTCAGGCACTGAAAAGCAAGAGGATTTGCATGCCAAACAGGTAAGTGGGTATTCCTGCACATCCGTAAGACCGGGACTACCTGAGGCTAATTTGTCGTGCACAGATAAAGAACGACCATTCTTGATACATAACTGCCCATCTCGTTGCTCTCGTGGAAAATTCTGGTCGTAGGCATGATACTACCCCCTCTGGAGGGCCATTGTTTACTGTAAGCCCTCAGATGGAGTGGCTCAGGCACCCTGTTGGAGCCATGCGGGACAAAGATGGGGATGAATAATGCAGATCTCTCGCAACAAGCTCAGAACTTGATGGCCAAGTTAGCAGAAGTTAAGAAACAGCAGCCGGCTACCAAAGATCAACCTCTCGATCTTACCGAGAGGAAGCCTGGCAACGCACCTGTCGCCGACGAGCCTGTCGCTAATTCCCCCATCAAAGAGGAAATGAGCCGCAGTCCTTCTCCCTCTCGTCGTCGCCAGTATAGCCGTTCTAGCAGCTACACCCGACGCCCTCGACTCCATCGCCACTATGTCTTTACTTCGTCTGAAAGATCCCATTCACGTAGACGTTCTCGCTCCTGACGATCTCACTCCCGTCATCACCGGCGCTTGGATAATCGTCTTTTGCCCGATACTACGCGTTGGCTCGCCAGTCCTTCGAGACCTGGATTTTCCTCTTTCATTCATTTGCTTCGCGTTGCCGATCACCATGAGACTCATGTCGCGTGCCCGTTTTCATATGGTAGTTTATGTTCTTGTTTTTCTTTCCCTTTCTCATGATGAAAAAACCCCGCTGCCAAGTGTCGTCAACTTGGCGCCTTTGTTCTGTATCTAATTGCCGAGGACGCCAGTGAGGGGGTTGGCCACTCTGTTGGTTTTATCCTATTCGTACCTGCAAGGTCCTGGCAGAGGACGTGAGGCATCCTCTTAGATGACTGGAATGAACAAGACACTTTAAATTTAGACCTCCCTAGATTTACCACTCGATCGTAATTTAACGTAAATAGCGAACAGGATGGCAGTTGGCGTTATTGCGGTCGTCATGTGCTTGTTCATGTTCCTGTTTCATGCGAGTACAAGGGGAATAAAGCGGCGTGCATTAAGGCTATGAGCATGGTTGATCGGAAGCTGGGCAAGCTGCGCAGATTATTGGATCTGGAAGGCCTTTAGTTTACCAGTTAACCAAGATGACGGAGTACGATAGATGGAAGCTTACAGAAAAACAGTTGTTCCAAAGAGATAGATGGATTGTGTTAGATTCTATGAAAGTATGAGGAGAGCTATATAGAAGTATAGACAGAATAGCGGATCATTCCTCTTCGTAGGCACCTTCACGGTCCTCGAACTCCATGAATTCGCTTTCGTTCGCCTGGGCACCCATCACTAGCCTCCATGCATCTTTCACCACGTCGATCAGGCTATCATCAAAAGCAAGATCGAGGTTGGGCGGCGGGAAGCAAAACGTATCATTGGAAAGGCGCGTGAGCGAGGGGGCTGGTGCTCCAGCTTGTGTGCTGGCGTGGCCCAACTGCGTATAACGCAGGGACCACACAACAGCTGCATCCGGATCGGCGGTTGATTCAAGAAGCTTATGGATCGCCTGTTCAATCAAGGCCTGACCCTCGGCACCGGGAGAGGCAATGCTACCATACAAAACACCTAACACAGTTAGTTAGCATTGATGCAAGACCATGCAGCGTGGCAAGTTTAAATGAAGATGCTCATGATCAGATTATAAATTTTCAACATAGCGTTTCAGGCAATGTAGATAAGTAAATTTAAGAAAGAGTCATCATATGAGCAGGGAGGCAGGGGCAACAAGAAGGCCAGTGGCGAGGGAATGATATTGATAAGAACTTACTTTGTCCTGACGGGCATTCCCCAGTCTCGCTCGAATGTGCCAAGATATAGACCGGGGGCGAGTCATCTGCCCGCCCCAAGGAGCTCGCTGGGAATACCACCACAGCTCCAGCAGGGACGGGGGCACCTTCAGCTGTGACTGGGAAAAGGTTCTCGAGTGGAGATGAAACAATCGTAATTGACTTAGCTACTTTGTCACAAGTAGGACGTTCCTGGTTAGGAAGGTCCCACTGAGAACCAAGCACTAATTTTGTGTTGATCGTCTCGTCGTTAGACAGGTGCACATCAGCACGCGCGACTCCATCACCCGTTTCAGTGGAGGGATTCATAGACTTGATGCCAGCATTCAAGACATAGACTCCACCACCGACAGCAAGGGCGCGGCAACCGACCTGGGATAGCTCGGCACCACCGCCCCATTTTGCCAACAAGCCGCCGAATCCAGGACCGAACACGCCAATGGATGCAAGGTGTCGCTTGATGCGGGGCACCGCAAATCCAGCAGATGTTTGCTGAGGAGCAGCTTGTGACAATGCAAGAGAGAGCAAGGGATCGTGAAGTTCAGCGGGTACGTGAAACTTCGAGTTGAGGTACTCCGGGAGAGAAGACGAAAGATCTTCCTCCTCGGAACCTGCCTCATCTTCTTCAGGCTTTCCGATATGACGGAGAAACCTCATCAAAGTCCGCTTAGACTTGACCGTGATCAAGTCATCCGCAAAGATGTCTTCCCGACTGCTTGGTACTCGGTACAAAGACCCGCTGCCGTTGTCATCACCGGACGAAGTTCGGTGAATCCACCAGCTTCCGACCGCTTGAAACTCTAGCTGGCGGTAAACCTTTGAAGAAACCAAAGTAGGCAACAGTCGAGATCGAGAATAGATGAGTTGCGGCGAGAGTGACAGGGTATAGGCCCTGGAAGCCGACAACCGGGTATTATCCTCCGGGCAGTGGATAACTGCATCTTCAAAAGGGAAGTGTTCGGGCTCTAGCTTGTAAAGAAACGTCAACAACATACTTGACTATTTTATTAATGCCGACGCTCACCTTGATTTACTTTGGTAGCCCATTCCTGGGCTTCCTGCAGACTAAATGCTGCCTCCGATCCCCCATAATAAGGGTTCCGGTCAACATGAAGTACCTTCTTTCCTGACCGAGAAAGGGCACTATTTGAACAAATTAGCGATTGAATGTTGAGCATTGTAGAAATAGAACTCACAGTGCCAAAAGTGACTGGGCCAGACCGGTGCCAGAGATTGTTACATCCCATGGCGTCTCAGAAAGCGACTCCATTCTGGTGTTGTGGCCGATGATAGCTGGAAATCAGTCAAGTTATTGTATTTACAAGGGTGTGCCCGGCTATCATCACGTCGGGTGACACGCTGTTGAATGCCTCTGCAGCAGGACCTTCCAGCCCATGAGTGGTGCGTAGAGGATCATTCGTTCCGAGAACGAAAGTATTTTTCGAGGGAGAAAAGAAGACGAAGGACACGCGCAGAAATACTGCGGGACCCGCTCTCGTGCGTCACGTGTTTGGAAGCTCCGTAGGTGGGGTCATCATGTCGGCCTTGTTTTTATGGCATGTAGCACAATATCATTACGGGATAATCTGTCATGAGTATGCTGATTAGGCACTGCTCTGACATGTCGTGGTATTAGATATGTCAATTTTTTGTGAAAGGATGCCATCTTGAACTCCATATACCTACATTTTACTGTGCGGAGAAGGGTTGTTATTGACTTGCCAAAGCTCTCCAGTGAAACTGTCTCGGAGCACAAGTTCAAAATGCAAAATCAAGATAGAAACAGACCTAGCTTCATTATATACCAGCCAAAAGCCAGCGAATAAACACTCCCTGCAAGCTCGCGTGGTATCTGGAATCCATACTTCGTGCTCCCTTTACGGTATCTCAGTGCCTAAGGCAGAAGAGCCATGAGCCATTCCCAAAGTGGCTAGACTCGGTCATCTGCGCGAGTTGAAATTTGCGCGTCCGCTCAACTTCATTTCCTTTCCTCTTCATGCCACTCCTGGTGCTCTGCATGGGCATGCTACCATCTCACCATGGTAGTTTGTCTCTTTCGTGCAAGCCTTCACTGGTCTTGTCGTCAACGGGAGTGGTAGAGAGAACCTATCACTCTGTATCTGCTGCTCTAGATTGGAAACATCTGATAGAAGCAGTTCGTTTTGTAGTGATACATTATATTACCATAATTATTCTCTTGTCAATCCTGAGCCTATGCTCTGTCTAAGTGATATTGACATGTTTGTAAATCAGTATACTCGACCACTACCAGAGCTGTGTATCCTTCGCAGGGTGCTGGGCGATTGTGTGACTTCCAATAGTCAAGACGTCGGTCATCTCTCGGCGTGCAGCGAAGCGGCGGCACCTTGGGGTTTATACCAATGACTAGCTTCTGTCTGCACCAGTATGATGATCTTGAACAATATGCCTGCTGGCGAGGAACGACCGCTGGGTTGGTTGAAGTTCGAAATAAAGGCCGGCCAGATTGGAGGCGTATCCCAGCGGCCAGCTCACTCTTCTCCTCCCTCTTCCACAACTCTGGCGCGAATGATCTTGACCTCGTCTACCGGTCGGTCCTCGCCATTTGTTTTGACCAGTCCCATGCGCTGGATCACTCGCATTCCGCTCTTCACGCGACCGAAAATAGTATGTTTTCCATCCAGCCACGGGGTTGGCGCAAGGGTGACGAAGAATTGACTGCCGTTGGTATTGGGTCCGCTGTTCGCCATACTCAAGATGCCGGCGCCGGTATGCTTGAGGCCGGCATGGATCTCGTCCTCGAATTTCTCGCCGTAGATCGAGCTTCCTCCTCGACCGGTGCCGGTAGGATCGCCAGTTTGTACCATGAAGTTGGGGATGATACGATGGAAGACGACGTTGTTGTAGTAGCCTCTCTGAGCAAGGGTCGCGAAGTTTTTGCACGTCTAATACTCACAATAGAATTAGACTTATCCACTTTGACTTGAAAACATGAATACTGACCTTGGGCGCATGCTCATTGTAGAGCTCCACGGTGAACGAGCCCTGCAGGGAATGAGCGATTAATCGAGATATGAAAATATCACACGGAGTCTCACCATGCTCGTATCAAAAGCCACGTCTGTCGCCATTGTAAATATGGGTATGGAAGGGAAAATGCCAGTTGAATCGCAAGGAACCGGAAGTTGATCAACGGAGTTTCTCTGGAACTGTAGGCGGCGGGGAAATGCCGGTCTTGGCATGTCCTGCATGTCATCAGTGATGCAACCTGTCGATTGTTTTCTCCCATATAAACACCCCTCACGGAGCCATGATTTAATGGCTTCACAGTCACGATAACCTCAATTTATCATCAACTATGAACAATTGAATCTTGTACTATCCTTACCTTTAAACGATCTCAAACTTCATCGCAACCATCAGGATGGACGAGGTCAGCCCGTTTGCTGAATTCCTGGGCCAGGCGATCTACCACATCACAGCTGTCAAACCTCTCATTCCGACCTACGCGCATCTCCTTGTTTCCGCTTTATTCCCGATCTACATCGGTGCCCATGCTTCGCTTTCAAGACCAAACTCTGCCGCGAAACGCCCCAAGAAAACTGACGATGACGAGTCCGACGACGAAGACGAAGACGACGAAGAGGAGGGAGAAAGCAAGGGAAAGATGGAGTCACTAGAGCCTAGTGATGCAATAATGTTTCCTTTGACTGCCGGTCTGACTCTTGGTGGACTATACTTGGTGATAAAATACATGGGTGCTGAGCTTCTGAACAAGATTCTGGGCTTTTATTTCTCTCAGATGGGCGTGTTCTTCGCCATAGCCTTCTTGCGGGATGTTCTCTCGGTTTTCCGGTCATTTGCCTTCCCACGGACATATACATATGATGGTGGGCTCTGGAAGGTGCAGCAGTTGGAGCGCGTTTTCACAGCTGTTGGCGAAACTGCTCCTTCACAAGTCCGACGCTCTCCCCTTCCAGGCATCTTTGGTTCCTTCCCATTGCCAGACTCCACTATCGACCTGCTCTGGACTTATCGCAATGCGATCTATCAGAAGGCTAAATTCAAAATCAACATCCACCGCATCTGCAAGGCCGAAATTTCAGTGGACATGCTGGACTTGTTCAGTATCTTGCTGGCCCTGCCGGCTGTGGGATACTTCGCTTTCGTTGAGAAGCCGTGGTGGTTAACCAACTTCCTCGGATTCAGCTTCTGCTATGGGGTTCTGCAGTTTATGTCGCCGTCTACCTTCCTCACTGGATCCCTCATCCTCGGCTCGCTCTTCTTCTACGATATCTACTTCGTCTATTTCACGCCGTTGATGGTTACAGTTGCGAAATCATTGGATGTGCCGATCAAGCTCCTGTTTCCTCGGCCTGCAGGTCCAGGCCAGCCGTCCGACACTGTTTCGTTGGCCATGTTGGGTTTGGGCGACATCGTCATCCCCGGTATGATGGTCGGCCACGCACTTCGCTTCGATCTTTATCTTTATTACCTGCGGAAGGGATACCAGAAAGCGAAGGCTGAAGGTAACGAGGAAGAGCCGGTCAAGCCTATCTATCAATCCGCTAGAGGGGGTTGGGGCGAACGTTTCTGGACGAAGCCCATGAAACCGCAAGAGGCTGAGCTGGAACCCCCTTATCAGGATGCTCGACTCTTTCCCAAGACCTACTTCAAGGCTAGTGTCGTTGGGTACCTGGTTGGAATGATCGCAACTCTTGTGGTCATGCAATGTTTCAACCACCCTCAACCCGCTCTGCTGTATCTTGTTCCCGGTGTCCTTATTTCTCTTTGGGGTACCGCCTTCGTCAAAGGCGAAATCCATCACATGTGGAACTTCAGTGACAGCGAAGACGACGAGGAAGACGAAGAGACCGACTCTGGTGATAAAGAAAAGGTACACCAGGAAAAGGACAAGAATGTTGGTTTCTTCAGCAAACTCTTCAATAAATCACAGAAATTAGCCGACAAGGCGCAGAAGTCGGAAGAAGCTTCCAATAAATCCGCCGATGGAAAGAACGATAAAGCTGGGGACAAGAAGTCCGGTCAAGATGGCAAAGCCCACGAGGATTTAGATCTGTTTTCTTTCTCATTCTACATCCCGCGCAAGAGCAAGTCGGCAAAGTCGGCAGCTAAAGCTGCTGAGACTGACGGGGCTACCGACGATTCGAAGAGCTCGTCGACTCGTACTGACTCTCCCGTGGAAGACGAGAACTGGGCTGTCATTAGTGGTTCGAAGCCTGATAACGAACCTCCTACCAAAAGACAACGCAGGAGCCCTAGGAACACAGCAAAAGCTACTGCTGAGTAGGGGTATCAATCCGCTGTCTGTCTAGAAACTGTTACATTTTCTTTGTACTCTCGATGAAAAAAGGCATGGCTAGAGGCGTTTGGGCGGAATCGATGCCTTTTTTGTTCTGTTTCATATTCCAGCGGTCCAGGTTTACAATGGCTGCTGCCCATGCGAGATATATCAATACATCATGTTCTGAAGGACTTTTTTCAAAATCTAGTTGGTATCATCAACAGTAATCATAGTTAGGTAAGGTCTCCAAAGCCATCCTTCAACATTGTTCCAAGATGCGCTTCACATCATCCCATCGCTGCGCAGACACATCAATCAGCTCCTTCAACTCACTGCTATCCACCGCCAAACCACCATTCTTTTCCATCCTCAAGATCGTAGTCTTCCCCTTGCCGCCCTGCTCCTTATCCACCACAATGCATACCCGCTCCTGGCTCAAACCCTCCTCATAACCATCAGGATCAGCGAGAACCCACCTCCGCTGAATTCCCTGTCTCCGACTCTCCGTAATCTTCCTCTCCTCTTCCGCATCAGGGATAACCACAGCCCTCCACCCACTCGCCGCATCGGCCTCAAAGACAGCAAACGAGCTCGCGACTGGCATTCCACGCAACGTCAACTTCTTGGCCTCTGAGACTGCATCCGAACACACCACCGTCTCGTTATCCACGTCCCACCACGCACGCGGGAGCTTCGTGTCCCGCAACGCGGCAAGCACAGAGGCCCACGCTGCGTCAAACGGGTTCCCTGCCAACGAAATGATCATGACGTCAATATAGAGGACCCAGAACGCCTTGATCTCTTTTTCATGCTGCTCGGACTCGGCATCCACATCCATCTGCTCGCTCTCGTTATGCCGTTCTAGCTCCTCGCCGCCTAGGTTCGGCGCCTGGTACCAGATCCGCAAGTCGTCGGCCCGCACAAGTCGCGAGCTATGCAGCAAAGTGAGGATCTGGTGGGAGAGAGACTGTGCCAGCGACGAGGGCGGTGCGCCGGGGACGAAACCCGGAGCGCATCCGGTGCTCAAGGAAAGGTTGGGGACCAGAAGGTTGAGGTCTTCGATTTGGGATTCGTTTCTGTCGGAGTCGTCGGTGGAGGTCTCATTCACTTTTCGGCGCTTGTTGGCTCCCTCCGTTGATGAGGGCGCGGACCGCGATACACTCCACGAGGCAATGTCGTCTGTGTGCAGGATCTCTGCGCGCACGCCGCAGACGGCCGTCGTGTCGCCGGCTCGCACCACCGCGCTGCCATTGGTGTGCGTCAGGGAGCCGGTGTTTGCGGAGGTGATGCGAAATTGCGAGGGAGCTCGGCCGTTGGCGCGGATCGAGGGGTGGTTGCTTGACGAGGGAGGCGATAAGTGGGCGAGAAGATAGGCGTGAGGTTGCAGCCGGGCGAACTGGGAGGGGGGGAGAGAGAGGGATGGAGGGGTTGGTTGGGCAGCGGTTCCTGCTGCGGAGGCCATGATTTGAATTGGTCGTAGCAAACAAACTTTGGTAATTTACTGAACGAAGTGATGGAAGACGTAGATTGAGGATTGAGACGGTAGACTGTCGCTCTTTGTTCGAAGGAGGAAAAAGAAGCAGCAACTTATTTTTCGGCGGCAGAATAGTTGCCATATCTAAGGCGGTGAGGGTGAGAGTGCCGCAGGTTGACGATGCCTCCCTCGCCTTGACAATTACTACTACTCCGTAGATTGTTGCGCTCTATTGCATTTGTCTTCATCGAGTGACTTACTAGGCCGCAGGTCATTAATGCATCTCATGAATCTTGAGAAACATACAATCAATCTGGTTCCGTGTCCGGTGATCAAGGCACTGCCTGATACTCCAAGTTCGACACCAGCATTTCGTTGGAAACTCCTTGGGATGCTGGTTTGCTCATGGGAGAATATGCTAATTATGGAACAACTATCCAATATAGCTAATCATCTTCCCCAACTTATGCAATAACGCCGAGATCCGTTGCCCAGTGAGCTCATTCAAAAAGGACTCCAAGCAGCGGATACTCTCAAGCAGCAATTGTGATATCATAAGGAAATTTGATTATGTACTCGTCTAATCTCTCTATCTTAGGCATATTTCTCCAGATCAACCCACGGCTCGCTTATTAGTTGTCACGGGATCGTCGCTTCGTCTAAATATAAACACGAGATCTCGGGAGCCAGAATCTGAGTTTGGCCCGCTAAATGATGCCAAATAACTACATAACGTGGAGACTTATGCAAATCGTTTATGACACGATGATTTGAAATCAGGAATCAGAAGGGAATCTTTGGATCTTTCACTCGTGAATAATGTGGTTTCCCGTCATCGACCGTTCAAAATGGACATCGACCTGTTTCTCAGCAGCATGGTTCTCCCAATACAACATCCTTTCCCTTCATATCTCCGCTGTATCCGTGGAGAAATGGACTATTTCCGTCTATGATCAAATTTCCCCGTACCAAGTTGCCCGAACTTTCCATGACCCTTCCTCGGGCCATGTTGTTGTCTATCCCCGATGATCGTTTAATCCAAACGCCATGAAGCCCCAGGAGTGGCGCACTGAATACTTGGGACTCGTATTTCCTGCAAGATGATACCTTCTTGGTTCTAGTGTCCCATGGAAATCTTCCTCTACAGGCATTAGTGGGTCCTCTTCTAAAAAGGGATGATGCTCTTGTGTTGTGTTCGTGCGAGATCTAAGCATGGGTAAGTATATGCTTCAAGGCATATATACTGTTGCTGGCAGTATGAAATTCCATATACTCTCTCTCAAATTTCATTGACTCTGGATCAATATCGTTGAGCGTTTTTATATCAGACACGGTATTCCGTGGAGGGAAAGATGAACACAACATATCTAGACGAAACCTGCCAAGCTATCAACCCTAGGGGCATCTCTCCACCACCCCAATACTCTCTTCATGAGCCTTCTCACAATTTTCAAGCAAATAACGACTTCACGGATAGAGCCCAACAGACTCATTTATCGACGGACGACAGCCTCGGACATCTCACGGCATCCAACATTGTGCCAGACGATGAGTCAACAAACTTCTGGAGCGACGAATTCACAGCCAGGGTAGTGCTCTCTTTACTTCAAAGGGAGCCTTTGACTCCTTTGCCGCGTCCGATAACCCACAACGATATCAACCTACAGAACACGCCTCTTCTGACCTGCGTTGTCTGCTTCGAGACGTTCAGGGATGACTATTTCCCAAGCACACCAATCACAGCCGGCTGTGATCATACCTCTATAGCCGGCACACAAATCTGTTTGGGCTGTCTTCGTCGGTGTCTTGACACCCAGTTCTCTTCTCAGGACACCAGTTCGCTAGCATGTCCTCTCTGTTATGAACAGCTTTCCGATGAAGAGGTCTATCGATGGGCTAGCCGGCAGACATTCCAAGACTATGATCGTATGCGGACATGGCAGCTTCTAGAGGAGGACGCCGAATTTGTTCCCTGCATTCGGGAAAACTGTGGATATGGACAACTACACGCCGGGGGGCTGGAGGATCCGATTGTGGCTTGCGGCTCTTGTGGCATGAAAACATGTTTCATTCACCGACAAACACCCTGGCATGAAGGCATGACGTGCACGGAATACGAAGACATGATAAATTCAAGAGAAAGCCAAGAAGACATTGAGGATTTTCACGACAGTGAGGGCCAGGAGCAGTCCAGTAATCACCCGAGCAATGACACTCAGGGGTCCACTCTCAACGGACTTACAAGTATAGGGACGATAGAGGGGATCACATGGCCTTGCCCTAGCTGCAGGTTTCCAACAGGGCGGCCAAGTGGTTGCAAATTTACTAGGTGTATGTCTTCTCTTGCTCCGTTGTCTTACCTATGCCAGAACTGACCGCCGTTGGACTCTAGGCGAATCATGCTTGCATGAATGGTGTTGGGACTGCGGTATCGATTGGAAATGGGGACATCTCAATGTGGACTGTGTGGTTTCTCCGCTCTGAGCGATTATGTATGTCGATAGCATCAAAAGTTCTATTACGGCGCAGCTGGTCTAATGCATGATGCTGAATATTAACCGTGAAAGTTCAATTTGTATCTATCCTTGATGTCACATTGAGATCAACACTCTTCTCAAATCAGAGCACGCGGGGTTAAGTTCACTTCATCCATAGTTGGTGGCGAGCAGTTTCCAACATCAGAGGCGCTTCATCTACCGGTTGGACGAGTTTTTCCACATGATATACTTGGAAAGGAACTATCAAGCGCACCACTGAGCGAGTTCTCCGACTCGTGATTCGCTTCCTGACTTGCAGTGTATTAACAGCGCTTTGACCGGATGTTGGTAAGGGAACCTGCGTCGAATCTGCGCCACAGCCATCTCAATCACCGTCATAGCACGGTCCGGGTCCAAGTTGTAAGACCTAGCGAATAGGGACCAAAGCAATCCGCGTCACCTGTGAATTGATGGAGACATGAGCCTTCCAGGGTGTACTCTCGTCGTATAGAGACGAACCATTCATGTTGGGAGATCCGGATGGAGCCGAAGGTGCCTCATACTGATAAGCGAGTATGAGAAGGTCACAAAGAGCCCGTTTCCTAGGTGAAGGCGTTCAAAAAGCCAGTCTTTTCCAGGGTTTCTCCCCTAGTGACTGACTCTGCATCATTAGCGTGGGCCAAGCCAGCGTATCGCAATTGAACAAAAGAGCAACACGGCATCCCATCCGGCATGCACCGTGCATATACCAAGAAGTAGGACTGGGGCAGAGAATTCTTCACTCACCGATCGACATGAACCATTAGCCCCCGTTGGTGACGAGTTCTGCGCAAAGCGAGTGACGAGCGCAGAATTACCGCCGGGCAAGTCGAGTGGCAGCCAATGCGAGGATCCCCTGACGAGCAGCAGGTGACAGCGCCCGCCGCTCGTGCATTAGCGGGGATTTCGCCCGCATTCGCCGTCGAGGCCCTCGAGCAATTATCATCCTGCATTACTCGCACTCTCATCGTTGGTCGACGCCATGTTAAGCTCGATGTCCTTGCTAGTCCGTCTTCCCCTCCTCATCTTCGTTGCTCGTCCCTCTCGTCTGATTTTGCTCGCACCGGGGTGATCTTGCCTTTGTATCATCCATCCATCCACCCTTGCTTGCTGTCGCTGGTTATACAGTTCTTCTTCGATCAAACTCAAGAGATAGTTTTGCAACGATTGACTACTACAATGATTGTTCCGACATTTTGAGGAGGTCGGCCTGTTGGAAAGGAAGCGGCGATAAAAGCAAGTCAAGAGGAATACAGTCAGCTTTGGTTGACGTTTGAACAAGAAACACTGGAAGCGTCACGGTAAATAGCGCCATGTCCGGTATCTGGCATGCTGCTGCTTCAATTGCGAAGCGAATCAATATCCCGATCATTGCATCCAATTCTCCGGCAGACATCGCTGAACAACAACGAGACCCGTGGAACCAGTCCGACAAATATGCGTTGGGATGGGTCTTCTTCTCCGTGATCCTACTGGCCATCACTACGGTCATTCGGTTCTACCATGTATGGGGCGACAAGATACGGATCGCACTATACAAGGAGGATGCTCCTGCGGCTTCTCCGTACGTCGGGTCTCCTCAGGACGAATATGAGCTTCCTAGTGCAGCTACGGACAGTTCAACTACTCAGTTCTTCCCTGCTCATGGTCCTCTGCCGAGCAACAACAACACCAACGCGAAACAACAGTCGTCAGTGTCTACAATTGCACCGATCAACAATACCATCGCATTTGTACGCTGGATCTTCTATCGACCACTTCCGGTGATAGAAGTATGGAAGTTCCGCGTCGTGCTTCCGTCATTGGGGGCCTCCGCTGTTGTCCTTGCAGCCTTGATCTTTGTTACTCTCTATTCCTTCCTCCCTCAACCGCTTTATTTTTCGTCCATTGCTCTGGGATCTCCTCCTTTGGCCATCCGTGCTGGGATGATTGCCGTGGCCATGATCCCCTGGATAATTGCACTCAGCACCCGAGCTAATTTCATCACCATGATGACCGGCATCGGCCACGAGAGACTAAATGTCCTTCATCGATGGGCAGGCTATCTGTGCCTGTTCCTAAGCCTAATCCATATGATTCCATTCTATGTCACGCCTATCTGGGAAAGCGAGTCCTTTGTGTACTACGAGCAGGTTCTTCCGAATCACATCTACGTTTACGGAACCGGATTTGCGGCATTTGTTCCTCTAGCTTTCTTATGCCTGCATTCTTTACCCATACTACGATCCTGGATGTATGAGCTATTCGTGGCAGTGCACATGCCAGCATCTATTGTCTTCCTCGCCATGCTCTTCTGGCACTGCAAGAACTTCTTGACGTCATGGGACTATTTATGGGCCACTGTTGCCATCTGGGTGATGTCTTTCATTGTTCGACTGTTCTACCTCAACTGGACCAATCCATTCCGGCTATCATTCATGATTGGAGAGGAGTCTGCAATAACCATCCTTCCCCAGAACACAGTCAAAGTGACAGTCGCAACCCGAATGCGATGGAAACCGGGCCAATATGTCTACCTGCGCATGCCCGGTATCTCGCTTTTCGGGCGCCACCCATTCACCATCGCCTCTTTGTGCAGCGACGACTTTCCCTCCGAGTATGGCGAGAATTATCGGGACTTGGCCCTCGTCTTTCGTCCTTTCGGCGGCTTCACTCGCCAGGTCTTCCTCAAGGCCTTCGAGTATGGTCCGTATAAAACATGGACCGCCTTCCTAGAGGGTCCCTATGGCGGCATGCGTCGTGAAATGGCCGCGTTCGACGACGTGGTCTTCTTCGCTGGCGGAAGCGGTATCACCGCAATTGCCAGCCAACTCCTCTATCTGATCAAGAAGATGCGGGACCGCAAAGCAGTCACCAAATCTATCCGAGTGATCTGGGCATTCAGAAACCCCGAGTCAATCGAATGGTTCAAAGAAGAGCTTCGTATCTGCCGAGATTTCGCACCTCCCAACTCCGTCCACTTCCATTTCTTCCTCACCGGCTCCCCACAATACACCGTTGATGGCCGGCTGTCCGAGGACATCGTGCAGGAGAAAATCTACAACACCTTGCAGGTGTTTGACAAGCGCAACTCCGCGTTCATTCGCGAAGAAGCTGCCGGCGACCCGGAAGTCGAAAAGGAGCTTCGTCGCGAGAATGAAGACGCTATCACTGCGCTGCCGCCCGTGCACACCCTCCCTCACATCAACACCAGCAGACATTACAGCCCCATGGTGAATAATCACCAGTTTCCCTCTCCTTACACAGGAACGTCAGATAGCAATGAGAGTCTGCCATTCGATTTCGGCTTCTCTCACTCCCCGGCTGTGTCTACGCGGTCACTTCCGCGCTATGCCACCTTGCCGCAGCAGAGACGCAACGGCTGGCGCATCGATTACGTGCGTCCGGATATCCCACGCCTGCTGACCGAATATTCGCGGGGTTTCGGTCGCCGAGCCTGTGTTTTCGTCTGCGGGCCCCCGAGCATGAGAGTTGAAGTTTCGCATACGACAGCGCGACTTCAGCAACAGGTTATGAATGACTCGTCGAAGGACGAGATCTTTCTTCATGCGGAGAACTACAGTATCTGATCTGATCTGACGTGTGCTATTTCTATTTTCTTTTACTTATTTATTTATCTTATACAGAAAATGCGCTGGTGAATGCTCTTGTTTGTTTCAACGTCTAATGTATGATGATGCCCGATACCCGTTTGTTTCCAGATTGGGCTTGTCCTCGGTCTTGACGATAATGTTTTGTTTGGATGTATATTTGGGGTTACTTTGCACATAGGAAAAGCATTATATTTTCTTTATTTCTTTGCTTCCTTCTCGCTATTATAATTCTGATGATACATTGTGTTCTTATATTGGCAGCCCTATACAGTTCAATTATATTCAATCATGTACCATTCCTTGCATCTAGAAATAAATAAAATGAGGAATGTCTCTAGGCTGTTAACTAAACACATGTATGTCTCAGATTGTCTCTATATGTCAAGAAACAAGGCAGGTAGGAACAGGGTAGCGTGAGCTGTAGGTCTTGAGTATGCGACTTATCGACAAGGGTATAAATATCATGTGAAGATGCGGTAGAAATGAATGGAGAGGGGCAACAAAACAAAACAGAATGCAAGCAAAAAGAAAGAGCTGAGTGCCACATCCAAAAAGCCCCGAGATCCCAAAAAGAAAAAACATAACAAAACATAATACTATTGTTGCGGTTCATCATCTGCCTTCCGCTTCCGACTCGCCGCATCGTCGGCATCTAGCAATTTCGAGTCCGAGAACGTTGTCACACCATGGTCGTCGTCTCCATCTTCATCGTCAGCTTCGACCTTTTCCCAATCATCATCACCGTCCTCTTCTGCCGACGCAAAATGTTCTTCGTCTCCGGAGAGCTTCTCTTGTTCCGGCGCATCCGGTTTCGCGTTCGCGGATCCGTCGTCCTCGTCCTCATCCCATTCTAGCGTTAACTTCACGATCCGTGCACCCGACGGCCTCAACTTCCGGTAGTAGTTCTCGACTACTCCCGTTTCCACTGTAAAGCCGCGCGAGACGTACCATTTCAGGCCCTCGTCGTTCGCCTCGTGGACATGTGCCGTGACCGTGCGGATATTGTAGTGTCTGACGAGTGAGGAAACGCGATACCCAGACTGCAGACCGGTCTTGCTCCCCTCCGACTTCGACGAAGCAGGTGGCGGTGTAGAAAAGAGCAACGAGTTGAGCAGGGACGCCGCGATACCGTAGCTCCGATACGGGGACAGCAGGTGCAGCGTCTGGATATACAAGTTCGCGGGGTCTCGCTGAGTTTTACCCGGGAGACGTTTCGCGGCCATAGGCGGAACAGGCTCCAGACGACAACGAATACCCCCGATGACTTTGTCCGACCCCGTAGAAGCCGCCGTGGCTGGGGATGTTGCCGGCGCCGCGGCTACCGGATGATCATGATATATGGCGACGCGCGAGACGGAAGCGATGACCGGGTCGGTGATGGTGGCGGTGTAGAAGGAGTTTGGATAGCGGATGGGTAGCAGGAGGCCTGTTATTCGGGACAAGGAGGGAATGTGAGCCGTACTGACCGGTTCGATGGTGACGTGGGGATGCGGAGTTGGGTATCCGGACGCGATGGCGTGAGGGTACGCGACGGGGTGGTAGGTTGAGTCGCCGGGGCCTGTCGGGGGCTTGAGTTTCGCGGCGATGGTGGCGTGCGAGGCATTTTGCTGTTGGAAGGCGCTCAGCGACGGAGGACTTATGGGGGATTTGGCGCGTCTGGTGTTGGAGGATGGGGATGAGGAGGAGGGAGGAGGGAGTGGTGGAGAAGTGGGCGGCTGCTTGGATTGATGCGCCTTTGCGAAGAACTGATATGCCATGGTGGTGGAGGGGGGGCAGATAGGGTAAGTACAGAGGAAGGTGACAGAGAGGTCCAGTGTTGTACTTCTCTCTCTCTTTCCTTTTGATCCACATAACACTTGTCACGAGAGAAGAGAAGAGGGAGTCAGGAGGGGAAGTCACTCGACGCAAACAGCGACAAACGCGGAGATGAGATAAGATAAGATGGCCCGGTCGGCGAGACTCCAGCAAAGGCAAAGGCAAAGGCCAGCGCAAAGCCTCGCCGGTCTTCCCTCCCAAGTCCACCCCAATCTGCCTGCTTCCCCACGGACAAGACTCGGTGGGACTGCCGGATGCTGTTTAGATCCTGAATTTTTGGATCAGTTTCTTTCGGTATCTATATATAGAACCCATCTCTCTCTCATGTGAACCAGGTAAGCCGGTCCTCTCCCTGCGAAATCGAGTTCTCCGCTGATTCTCCCTACCGTAGGCGTTTCCCGCCACCGACAGGAGAGTTTCCCCATTCACTATCGACCGGCAGATGGACTCGAGGACCTGCACGTGTTACTGGCCACTCCGTTGAGTCCTGTCTTCGCGATCGATTGTTCCGCGCGCGCTCCTGTCTGGCTTCCGACTGTCCGCCCCGTCCGAGCACGAATCATTGGTCTTCCCCGTCGCCGCTCATCGAATCCTATCCTCGGACTTCACACCGCACGCACGAGTACATGGAGTCGTGTTGTTGACCACAGGGATATTCGCTTTGGTATTGCGCGGGCTTGTTTTTGGCCATTGTCTTGGGTAGTGGGTCTATAAACCGTGGTTAAGGTTAGTCTTCTTGCGCTGCGCATCATGGCGGCATTAATGGAGCTTGGGATAATACACCCTCGGTGATTGTTGCGATTCTTATTGCTCCTATTGTTTGGCTGGCAATAGACATCTGTCGCAGCCAGGGTCCCTCGCTCTGACAACCTGTCTGTCGGTCTCCTTTTCTTCTTCCACTCGTCAACTATCTCTATATCCTCTTTCTCGTCGCCTTCGGACACTCTGTCTTTCCTGCTGGCTAGCTCCTAACGTTCTCGCATACAGGATACACACATACATACACCGACAACATGGGCGAATCAAATGGATCGGGAGAACAAGGTAGCCCGTATGCTTCGGGTACCATTGCAAAATTGGTATGTCTAGTATACGCGACGGATCGTATATCGGGTTTCTCATTGCTTGAGACCGCATTACTGACATACTTAGACTTCCGATATTCTGAACGACACCTTCTACAACATCGTGTACGATATTGTTGCCAAGGTTCATCGAGATGAGAAAGTCGCCCGCATGCGCTCCGCCGTCGTCGCGGCGAGACAAAAAGCCGAAGATGAAGCGGCCAGACGTCGCGAAGAATCCGGCAACAAATCTACCAACCCGCTAAACTCGGGCGATCCTGACTCTGAAGAGTTCAAGGATCTTCGAGTGGAAACTGATGCGGCCATTTTCGAAGACAGCAAAGTCTACCTCAAGGGGAATCCGCTTCAGACAGTCAAAGACGTCGTCTGCCCTGATTGCCGGCTACAGCGTCTGCTATACCCGCCCACTGGGGTCGGGGCGCGACAACCGCCCGATCCTTATCGAGAATACTGCACCGAGACGCCGATGATTAACAAGCCGGGTCACGACGTACATGGCAATCCGTTCGCGACCGACAAATTGAATCCCAAGAAGAAGAAACAGACCAATTCATCTAACACTCCGGCATCGAGTCCTCCTACGACGCCCGACGGCTCCTTCAAGCACGCGGCACCGGAGAAAATTTCATTTCCGACGGTCAAGTGCCCGCAATGTCCGAGATACTTCGTCGTGACGCGTGTAGCGCAGCACATGGATCGATGTATGGGACTTTCTGGTCGGCAAACCAGTCGAAACAAAACACCCATGGAGAACGGCACCAGCACGCCCACATCCGCTCCGCCGAAGCGGCCGTTAGAGGATGATACGCCGTCGCCGGCTCTCACGAAGAAGAAAAAATTAGGGGCTCCGAAGAAACTCTCGGGAAAAAAGCCACCTCCTGCTCCTAGCAGTAAATTAAAAAACGGCCTCACGCCTGACATGGCCGCTGCCGCAGATGCAGCAGCTTCAGGAGACGCCGACATTAAAAGTGAGGTGAACGGAGATTGACAGTTCTCGCTCGTTCTCATGTCTTCCTTATTTCTCTTTCAAGAGTCTACACATTATTCTCACAGATACACAGACAGTTTCTGTATCGGGGACGAGATCTGGACATAGTCTCCTTGTTTCTTTTCATTTCATTTGTTTTAACGATATTGACGTAAATACTCGGCATCAAAGGCGTCACCGGGGACTTTGCTCTAGTACACAGTCATGTCGAAAAATCTGGGACATGCTCGGCGTCGTTTCCTCTCATTTTTGTGCCTTTTTTCCTTTGTCAAGAACTTGATCGATGTGGTTTTGTTTTTTATCTTCTGTTGAAGAATAGATGATGATGATGCAGAAGTTGTGCAATATGCACTGTATGTACATTAGTTTGGCGAGTACCAGCACCAGCATTAAGAACATTTGCGGTTAATATTATTGACTGTTTAGCAAGATTTTCGTCCTGAGCGCTAGTTCCTTACCGACTCCATAAGGGGACGAGTCAACATGATACTCCCTGACTCATAATGACTGATGAGGTCATGTTGGCCTGAAGAATACGGCCACCACGCTCTCCACAATTCCGATAAGACAAACGCCAACCACTTCCGCATCTCATCTTCGTCTCCGATCCACCTCTTCTTCAATCTCTTTGTTGTCCATTAGTACACCCCATGGCCGATTCATCCCTCCTAACATGGGGAGTTCCCCGCCTCTCCCAGATCCTTCCTTTAGACGACGACTCCCTCAAGCAGATCCTCTCCTACGCCGCCTCCCTCTCGAAAGATGAAGGTGCGGAGCATCTCAAAAACCTCCTCGGCGACTCCCCCGCCGCATTCGAATTCATCTCGTCCTTCAGTGCCCGCCGTGAACCGCCTGCTTCTTCTTCTCACCGTACACGAACCACAGACTCCGAACCACCATCACGAACCTCCAGTCCAGCAGGATCCGGAAAAACCACCAAGAAAGGCAAAAAGTCCAAACCACCGCTTCACAGTGCCGGTCCCGTCCGACAGATCGAGAACTTCGGGAATGTTGCAGGCGGGTATCGAAAGGCCGATCAGGAGGAGGATTACATGGCCGCGTTCTCGGGTGGTCGCGCACAAGGGAAAGATACCAAGCAAGGCACCGCCGCGGGGACGGGGGTAAATACGAGCTCGTCGGAGTCGCGGCCCAGCGCACAGTTTCTGGCGCCGTCGTCGCGTGAGGAATCCTCTGCTTCGTCGTCGCGGGCGCCCTCTCCGGGACCGAAACCGGGTGCTACGAGCAGCAATAGCAGTAAGCCGCCGCCGTCAGCGTCGGGACCCATGATCTCGGATTACCTACCGAATGTGAAATCGAAGGCTGCGAAGTCATCGTCGTCGCGACAAGGCGGGGGAGGAGGTGGTGGATCGTCGAAGGGGGCCCTCACCACGAGCAATATCTCAGATTTGACGGCGGCGATCGCCGCGCTGGAAGTATCTACGAATCCGACGCTTGGCGGACAAAGTCAGAAATGCAACTGCTACGCGTCGTTACATCCGTTGTTTGATGCGGCTCCGAACTGCTTGAATTGCGGGAAGATCATCTGTTCGCTGGAGGGTCTCCAGCCCTGCTCATTCTGCGGGACGCCGCTACTCTCGAGCGAGGAGATTCAAAGCATGATTCGGGAACTGCGAGCCGAGCGAGGACAGGAGAAGATGCGCGCTCATAATGAGAGCGTTCACCGGGAAGGTGGACCAGGGCAGGGACCTAGCAGCGGAGGAGGGCCGAATAAGCTAGATGCCGCGAAGGCGCATCGAGACCGACTGCTTCAATTCCAGGCTCAGAACGCCAAACGAACCAAGGTCGTCGACGAGGCGGCAGACTTCGAGACGCCGAATGTTGCGTCTACGTTATGGATGAGCCCCGCACAACGAGCACTCGCGTTGAAGAAGCAGCAACGCGTACTGCGCGAGATGGAAGAGCGAGCACGTCCGGAATGGGAGAAGAAGCAGACTGTCATGAGCTTGGATATCAAGGGCGGTCGACTCACGAGGGTGTACCAGTCGGCTGGGCCGGCTGAGTCGAGCCCATCTGCAGAGGAACAGGAGGAGCAGACGCTGGCGGAAGAGGCTCTCAGTCATGATACGGGGCGAACGGGCAGCGGTGAAGCATTCAGTCGGAATCCTCTACTTGCGGCTGGCGGACTGGTGCGGCCGGTCTGGAAGACAGCAGATGGGAAACAGCCGGAGAGAACAGCGCGCAAGGACCGAAAGCAAACGTGGCGGCGGGTTCAGGATGACAATGATGACAATGAGCAGTGGATTCTAGACGGTGGTGCGCATGGATATTCGGGATGATAGACATATCTTAGTATCAACAATTCTACGGTGTCCCCGGCGGAGGAAAGACCAGCATAGATTCGACAAAGAACACTAATCCCTGGCTTTTGATCGTATACAGCCATAGTGCTGCTAACTGAGCAGGGGTCTCGGGCTAGATTTGGATGAAGTACAGGCTCCTTATTTCTACGAAAAGAGCATCTGGACTAATCATGATCAACTCTCCAAGAACGAAGGTTAATCCATTAAACGAGACCTTTTTCAGGAAGCTCTAAGTAATTGACGAAACAAGCATCTTCTGATCAACTGGACTAGCATTCGCGTGAATCTGCCCAGAGGTGGTAACGCGAATTACTATTGATCTGTAACTCCCGTTTGCGTTGGCTATCAATGCCGGCTCCGGTTAAGGTATAGTTCCATGTAGCCCAGAGGAATGTTTCGTTTTGGATTCCCCTGATGACAGGTACGAATTATTGACATGCTCGTCTATAACGACTAGATATATACTGCCTTGAGTCATGTGATCTATATCTTATGAAGATTGTCACCACCCCAAACCTGATGCCGCCAAGGATTTCTGTTACATGGCTATGATTCTAGATACCTTTTGGATCTCTCGGTCATGTTGTTGCTATCAGACCTCGTTGCCCCCTAGTCATCTTGTCGCTTCAACCAGGTAGTAGTTGTCAAGATTCCCGCGGTCTACATGCACAGCCCCGAGTTTGATCGGGACCTTGTTCAATACATCATGTTAAGGGCATCGGATGGGACATAAAGACACTAAATAAAGTATTTGTTTAGTGTTGGTCTGTTAAGTGAATATGTTAATCTATAAAGATTTGACAAAATTAATTTTGGCAGGGCTTTTTAGCGTACAGCTGAAAAAGTGTATAAAGAATCTTTGCTATAGTATATGAACAAAGAGAGATGGATTTATATTATGGAAAACTTCTAGAAAGCAGAATTACAAAGTACGGTAAGATTTCCTTGTTTAGACTTGATTTTTAGAGATATAGTGCATGATACTTTTAACATTATAGTTAGTAGACATCTTTTTAGGAGATATAATAATATAATTTATAATTATAATTTTTAAGGAATAATACACTTTCGTGTCCATGCTCCTGCTTGGCTCCGGCCCAACGAACAGATTGAGCACTGTTGCCGCACTCGCACTGATGTCTTTGAAGTAAGTGCATATTCGTGGAATTTGCGAATTTATGAAGATCCTTGATCCTTATTACGATAATAGTTTTGTGAATACATGACTACTGGTACCCCGTGGTGTGCGTATGGACGTAGGTATAGCCAATCCTCAAAGATGAAAATTTGTCTGACAAGTCCGATTATAGAATGTAATGTTTTTGGATGCGCCTGCTCCGGTGGCTACCGCAAGTGATGGATTATACCCATAGCCTGGCTCTCGAATCAAAGGTGAATATGGGCTTTTTCCTTGGAAGTGGCTTTCATCGCTACCATGAGTGCTGGATTCAGTGATGTTGCAAGAGATATTCCTACCCTGCTTTCTATACTCTTCTATTCTGTCTGTTTGCATGCGAATGTCCACTGCCTGTCATTACTTGAAATTTGCCCCAAGTTTACAGGAATTCTACACGAGAATTAAGTGAAAGACAACATAGTCATGAGTACATTCAGCGTGTAGAGCTTCAGAGGAGAAGTCAACTGCGTACATGACGAACCGACTAATCTACCCAGGCACTTATACGTAGAGGAGGATTATGTAGAGAGAAGTCAATGGGAGCATTGAGATGTCACAGCCAGAGCCGTCTAGTATTTGTTGTCAAGATGCTAATCCTCCACGCCCCTGAACTATCATGACGTTAAGATGTCCACAAGTCAAGACTCATTCTATTCATCATGATCCATCTCAAATCCACACTCCCGTCTCGCACAGCGGTAAACGAAGCCTCTGCCCCATTCCCTCTGTCCACGGGAAATCTCTTCACAGTCACACAAAGGGTTCCCATCCCTGACACCCTCCCAATCGTCAAAAACCATCACCTTGGGACATTCCTCGCACGTATAGTACCATCGGTTGATATTATATTTGTCGTTAGTAGGCCGGGTCTGGTAGTGAGCCATTCTATAACGGCACTTCGGACATCGAGGTGGGCGCGAGAAAAGCCGAGGGATTGCTTGTGGCATTGTCGAAGTGGGATATAGCCTGTGGTAGGTTAGGCTAGCCCAGACCAAGTTGTGTGTAGAAATAATACTAACTCAAATGCAGACAAGGCGTAGTAGGTGTGTGAGTGTTTGAGAGAAGAAGACTTTGGCTAGTGATGGGATGGTGAGGGGATGGAGGACAGAGGGCCTTTTTATGCTTTCACCCTTGGGGCTTCTCTGCCGTCATCTCTATGAGGCATTTTCACACTGTACAGAGACGGGCGAAGCGCTCTTCTAGGCAATCGCCCACACGTCATCTCCCTCAATTGTAGAGGCTGTAATTCGTACATTAGGTCCTTGGGGGTGACCAGCTGGACAGCGACAGCACAAAGAACGTTGCGGCGCTGCACTTTTGATGCCCGACAAATAGGATTCTTCGATTCTCACTTCTGTAATTGGCGGAGCTTCTTTGCTTGGCATCAGCAGTGACATGGAGCGCGTGTCGATGCTATTCCGCCACTTTCGATGCATTGCTTGGCGTTGCATCGACGCGAGACGCGTCTTCAATCGATCCCTCCGTCCAACGATATAAAAGTCGCAACTGTCTCTCCCAAACTTAGGATTCTCTACTGTCCTAATCACCTTGATTTTCAGTCACATACCCTTTATCTATCATAACCTATCTTGTAATTCCATTCCGCAATCTTAAGCCGCTCTCCCTTTCGAGATGCACGAATCTCAATTTTCAGGCAGTTGGCAATCTCCCGACAATGATTGCTCCGCAGATATCGTGGATATTCCCTCGGACCTGAACCGTCTTTTGCATATGAATGTGTGAGTTTCTCTAGCAAATTGCAGCAGCTGACAGAGCTTGCACTAGGCACCTCAAGACGTCAGCGGACTGCGACAGAAGAGAGAAATTCCCACAGACCGCTAAAACCATATATGAAGGGGGCGGTGATGGTGCTTGACATCCACTGTAAATGTCCTGCTCGGAAAGACGTGGACATGAATGAACACTGTCGCAGAGGACAATTAGGCTTGCGCAATGGACGGGGAGACAGCTAAAGGGAATCCAAGGATAGGATAATGGACAGGGCAAATTGTCTTTCCGAGTATATGTTATTATATCACGCGCAAAATAAAGCCTCGCAATTAGATGCAAAATCCCCACCTGTCCGCTGCATTACTGCTCGTAATGTTCAGCTGAAAATGCTTCTCCCCGGCAGGAGTTGAATCGACTCTCCTGACGACGTTTGGTGCCCGAGAAAACTAGTCAGCGGAGGATGGTTGAGTGCTGATGTTGTTTCTGGGTAGTATGATGGATAATGGGTCCTTTGGTCAATTGGAACCTAATCAATTTCTGAGTATCGAGGGAATCGATTCGCCTCCTGTACGCAATGCATCTACGCTGGAGAATGCAGCGTTAAATCTTCCTCACATACCGGGCATCGCCCATAATAAGCCCCACTTCTTCACCACTACGGCTTATACGCCAGAAGTCCGGACAAGCGCGCCATATAGTCCAATCGAACAAGGTTTGGCAGATCAGAGGATCTGCCTGAGCCTCAACCAGAGCCCTGGTCCCTTCATCCGTGAGACCAGCAATCGGTCAGTACTCGGCATAATTCCCACAAACCGTCGCGCACTAACAACGTATTCAGGGGCAGAGTTCAAGGAGGCGTGCTTGAAGAACCGGAATTATCAACACCTGCACTACAGGTGCAACAAAGACCCCAGGGCTCTCAGAGGATTTTGCAACCAAAGTCTACTGACCGCTCAACCACGTCGCCAAGCAAAGGACCATTCCCATGTCAATTCTGTGAAAGAAGCTATTCCCATAGCCAATCTAGAAGAGCACACATGATAGCCAAGCATGGTGAACCCAAAAAAAAGGCTGGTCGACCGCCAACCTGCTCTAGACCACTTTAGAGTTGCCGAATCGAACTGTGCTTGGATGTTATTAGGGGGGAAGGAAAAGAAAGGGATAGAAATGACCCAGCTTGCTAGGGGGGTCGACAATGCGGAGTACCTGTGTAACTACATGATGGGGTATTTAGGATGGACCCCTAGATGAAATTCCTGAAACCACTATGTTACTTTTCTCTCTGACTGGCATTTTTACTTCGTCTAAGCTTTTCATCAGCAATTATTGTCAAAGCTTTATGGTTTCTTGGGTTATCTTTTAATATAGATCTATAGAGAGACAAACAAGTAATAATTTCGCACATTCGAGTTCTATTTATGCCATCTTCTCTCATCTAATCATGACTTTTTCCAACGGGCGCACTAACCGCAAGCTCAAGTCCTCAGCTAGAGCGTGGTGATCTCCGCACAATGAGAGCTTACTCCCACTTCTTCATCAGCGTGTTGGCCTCAATCTCGTTGTCGAAGTTGACCAGATGAGTCGAGTGGCACCAAGGCTTAATGCTCTCCTCCTTGCGAATAGTAGCAGAGAAGAACGTGCACCACTTCATACGCGGATAAGCCTCGTTGATCTCAGCACGAGTGGATTCGTGGATCATGCTCCCGAAATCCGTAACGTGCGGATGGATCCCGGTGTTGTCGTAGGTGGTGGCCAGCTGGATGAGCTGTCCAATGTACGTGATGGTTCCGTCGACGCCCATATCTTCATGGCGGATGATGGCCTCGGCAGCGGCCTCGGCCTGATCGGTGGTGGCGCCGAAGTCCTTGAGCACGATGAGGGCCTTGATGCCGCCGTAGATGTCAAAGGACATGCGGGTGGCGGTCAGGTTCTCCTCTGCGGTGCCGAGGTCGTGGAGCAGACAGGCCAAGGCCCAGGTTGCTGGGTTCAAGGCCGCATGTTTATCGGGGAACTGTTGCTTGGTGATGGCCATTCCTGGATGGAGATTAGAAATGAAGGTTGGAGTGGTTGGGGCCATGTGTGATATGCGAACGTACCGTAGAAGTAAACCCTCATGGAATGATTGAAGGTCTCGGGATGGAGGGTCTTCTTCGCATACTCCAGAGTCTTTGCGACAGTGGGATCATCAAAGGGGAACTTGATCTCGCTCAGAGGGAGAGGTTCCGGCTTGTTGATGAAAGGCTGGTCACCGAAGATGGCGCCTGCGTTGGCTGGCATGCTGGTCCAGCCATTGGCAGCGGTTTCCTGTTGGCACATCTTGGAGCAGAAAGATTTGGCCAACGAGATAGTTCCTTATTAGATGTGATTTGAGTAGAAGTGTCCCGAATAGAAGTAGAAGGCAGTCAAATTGAGTAGTAAAGGTCTGTTGAAAAGAAGCCAAAGTCATGAAACAGGGCAGGGTGAAGCCTTTATATACCCGACACCTCGTCCATTGCTGGTTTGATGCAAAGGGTTACATTACCGTCCGGTCCGCAAAGATTTACAAGCAAATCCAGGACATTTCTCGGATTTTGCGGGATTGGTAAAGTCGATGAAGTCGCGGGGTGGAACCAGACTTACCCGATTAGGAAGTTATCACAGGTGGGTCTATGACGGCGACTTGAAGAATGGTCCTTCTGCAGCCTCCGTTCTCCCGAAAGTCTTACGCTATAATATTGTGCACGCACGATGACACATGCAGCTCTTCTTGCATTTCCATGGAACAACCCTCGGAAGGACAGCAATAGTCCAATTAATAACCTTGAGTCGCCAGTATAGGAAGTTATAGCATGTGGCGCTCAAACCTCTAAGTTTTTGCGATGTCGTGTATCACCAACTCAGATAGGAAACCATATAAATATGAGACTAGCGTTGAGGTCTTTGCCATACTCGTTTTGTAGTCGTTATACCAACCAACTGTACCTGAGAAGCTTTAGCACGACAAACACCGCTCATTGACACTTTTCATCCAAAATGGCTAACAGTCATTTCGCCAGCCCAGTATGTACTCGCCGAGGTCCTGTCTGGTATATCCGCTTCGGTACACTGACTCTATTTCCAAGAGTCCCCTAGGATTCGGCGGGTTTGCAACTACCCTAATGGCCCTTTCGCTTTCTATGATGGGCTTTCGTGGCGTCTCCAACTAGACGGTGTTCATATAAAACCTTTGCTTCATCGCAGGACTAGGTCTCCTCATATCTGCGCAATGGGAGATGGTGAAAGGGAACACTTTTGCGTATACCGTTCTCGCCGCATTCGGTAAGTCACACTCATCCATTGCGCATTAATGGTGGCTGTCTCTAACGCCTTGTAGGGTATAATTATGGCGGCCAAGGCGTAATGCTGATGCCCTCGCTGGGTATCGTAGCTTCCTATGGCGGCAAAACATCCGAATATTATAGTGCTTTCGCATTCTATCAGCTAAGTGAGTTCCCAATGTCTATCGCACTGACTGCTTACCTTGATGGCTAACATCATGATCTTAGTTTGGTGTTTTTTTAACTTCTTCTTCCTTGCCTCTCTGCCAACGTAAGCACATACATGTATTCAAGGCGATTAAGATCCGTGCTGATAATCTGCAAGGAACGTTCCGAACATCATCGTTTACGCTGCCTTGGAGGTGTGCTGTATCCTTAACTGCTTGGCGAATTTTATGCTGGCAGATGGCAGAATTGCCTTGGGTGAGTCTCTCATGACGGCGGCTGGTGCCTTTGGAGCCGTATCGGCGTCGTCTAGATTTTACCTTCTGGCACATGGGTTATGCCAAGAGACATCTCCAATCGAGATTCTTTTGTGTGAAACGCGGGGGCGGTTTCGACGTGCATCCTCTATCGCTGGATCCTCTGTCCATGAGTCTTCTATCCGTGAGAAGAGTGTTGGTGTTAATTCCGTTTGAATAGAGATACCCTGGGGTGCACAAGAGGTTTGATACATCCACGCGAAGAGCATGTTAACTAGAAAGCGAAATTCTCGGCTGTTTTTGTAGCAATGAATGAGTCAAAGAATCTTCGAGGTGGATCGTACTGTATAATACCTCGATACACGTAGGATAGGATGTTTCAGTACCTAGCAGCTTCATTCTGGGAGCTTCTTTTGACACAAGGAATGCGAAAAGCTCAGGCGTTCAGGAATACCAGAACTCAATAGCGTAAGAAAATAAGATGACTGTGGAAGCAATATGATAGCTCAGACAAGCAGCCAGCCTTGTTCTATTACATGAAGTTGAGATTCCTTGAGCGCTGAACTTCCATCGGACTGCTTTTGTATCCAATGGTCATGCAGAATCTTTGAAGCGTTGATTATATTCAAACAGCAGGTCAAATCCCAAAGCATCCTTAGATATTGTACGACCTGTTGTTGCTCAATATGAGTCTCACATTCGAGGCCTGCAATGAAGGTCGGCCAAAGTAAACATTTGAACAGAGCGTCGTCGCACTTGAGAGTCTCAATCACGTCAAGTAGTCGCAACACCAGTTTATCATTGTCAGGCGTTGTCTTTCCGGCTGACCTTCCGAAGACACGAAGAACTTGGTTTCCATAAAGCAAGGTGGCATTTCTGTATGCTTCCGATAGTAGAGACAGCTTCTGGATCTCCACAGTTGGGGAGTCTCTTGATTGTACGAAGCTTGATGCCCACTCCACACAGTCAAAGTCTGCCGTCAGCTCGAGCATAGTCCGAGTATCTCGTACATGCTCTTGAATCGAGGTTTCTTCGTGTATTTTCATAGTCTCGATCACATGTCTTTGATGCGAGAAACAACGGATAGCCTCCAGAAGGAATGCAGGGCATCCAAGAAAGCTTCGAATAATTGACTCTTGATGCCTCTCTTTTTCGAAATTGATACATAGCTCAGAACTGGACTCTGGACTTGAGAGCGCACCTCCGATGGTTGAGACACTGCTGTTGTAAGCGACAAAGCAAAATTTGTAAATCAGTGGATAGGAACGAAAAACCATACAGCGAGAATTGCCGGGCGATAAATCTCCTGGTCTCCTCCACTGTCTCTCCGGGGTTCCCATTGACATGTTGACTGGCACCAGGATCTAGCATCGATTGAGATATGTTGACAAGGCCTTCTGCACCATGAAGGTGATATTTCCAACCGTCGATGCCAGACTCGAGTATATCGAGAAAAATCAAAAGAAGGATGGTCGCCATTATTCCGTCCTTCTGAGAAGGCTTTGGACGATACAGTGATGATAATAAAGCCTTGATAGCTTGTCTTTTGAAGTGAAGTGCATCCACATTAGCATTGACCATTCGAGGCGACGAAGCATCATCGGTCTGATCGAACGATCGTCCTGTATTGGCAAAGTGTCGAGCCGCAACAGCAATTATGCCCATTCTCAAAGTTGAATCATCTACCGCGTATGCGAGTAAATTTCGAAACGGATTGCTCGCGCTGTCATATAGGATGAATAATTTGGCGATGCGTATGTTATCTTGTCTGGCATTAGCCTACCCACAAGAGAAAGTCCACCTCACCAGATACCCACAATAATCAAGATAGAACCTCGAGGACCAATCGAGGTCATCTGTGCAAGGGTCCTGCAACGCTGGCCGGGGAGCACTCTTGAGCGCCAAAGACTTTGCGGCCGAGAGTAAAATTGATTTTTGCTCAAGTTGCCCGGATGGGTTTCCGTTGGAAACTTTATGGTCTTCTTCAAGGACACGTCCGCGCATTTTACCTCGGATTGCCACGCCTTTGACCCATCGTAGTGGTCTGGTTTCGAAGCATTCCAGCCCGGCTTTCTTGCACTTGGCGCAAGGGTCGCTGGTTCGGTCACACTGGATGGTGCGTTTGCGGCATGTCCAGCATGCTGCACGCATTGTGCATAAATACTAACCCAGCGAAGATAGGAATGATAATGATCGCCAGTAGACTTGGGTTTGAGATGTGGAAAGTTGGGAGACGTTGCCACGGAAGTCGGCCGGAGAAGAAATGGTCCGTGCACGATGACTCGACGAATCCATGTGAAGAGTATATACAGGCACTGTGACTTGATTTATGTGCATACACCTGCTCAAATTGCTTTCATAAGGAACTCTAATGCATATATACATATCACGCAGACTTTGGTGTCAGCGTTCAGTCTTCCCACATGAATTTAGGCGTTTATCTACCCCTCATTCTCAATAAGTTGGTCTGCATATCTTTCCCTTAGAAGACTTATACTTCGATCTGTACCCCTCGTTTTAGACGTTACACAAGCAACTCTCGATGACAAATGTAACTGACTGAACCCCGCCAAAGGACAACAACAACTTCTCTCTCATCTCTTTAAGGCAAACAGCTAACTTCCCTCTCGACCCAGAAGCGAGAGGATTGCTCCTAGCGAGTGAATAGACGAGCGAAAAAGAGTCTCTGCTGCTCAGCCTCCCAAAGGGATACGATGATCCCTACCAGAGTTGTTGCCCAACAAAAAGTCATCTATACGGATCTCGCCGACTCTGTCCCACATAGACGTCGAATGATCGAATAGAAGCTTGGTCTTGGATCCGAACAACTCTAGCACTCGGCTTCGTTGGGCTGGTCTCAGACAATGTCATGCTTTCCATCAACGGACATATGTACGGTGCTGAGAAGGCTCCACCCAAGCATTATCTCAAGCTGATTCAACTGACCAAGAATCCAAACTTGCCTAAGAACTAGGTATGTGATTATTGTAATAACAACGGATGTCAACAACGAATAGGCTGCAAGCTCGATTATACTGGCTAATAGTACCATGCCAAGTATGAACTTCTCTCTGTGCTTCTCCTGGATTGGTCAGCCACTAGGAAATGGCTCTTTCTCACGGTGTTTTCGATTTCGTTCTGGAGTCCCACCTGAACATTTTATTTGCTTGGCTTTCTACACTGCCCTCCTTAGTGAGACTGATATAATTCTGGTGCTCTACTGCCAGTGGGTACCGGGTAGTTGGGAGCACATGCATTCTGATCGCGTGTCAGAATAAGCATACACATCCTAGTCGATTGGCTTGATTCATTCATACCCAATGAAAATACCAAGCGGCATCTACGTCAGAGGGATCGATATAAGGATCCATCGAGTTCTAATACTTAGGCCCCACCAGTTTAGCTTCGCATATAAGGGAGCTTAGGAACCACAGGCTTGGAGAGTTTGTTCTTCTCCATACATTTCCCACTTTCTTTCCTAACAATTCATTAGCCCAAAGCTCGGTATCAACTAAATGACTTGGTCAACCGATACCACTATTGCAGTCGTGACACTGGTCGCTACAGGACCCTCTTCTGTCCTTGTTTTGTGGAAGTTCTTTCGCAATCGCAGACAGCCTAGTCATGCAAATTGTATGAAGCTCAAGTTCCCTTGAAGCGGGTCGGGCAGTAGGTGTGAGACAGAAGTATGCATGAGTGTCCGATACTAAATGACGCAGATCCGGTAGACGAAGTCGATGAATCTGCAAGGCCTCTTTCGAACTCGACTCATCATAGCTTGTCGAGGGCAGGTAGTGGGCCCTCTCACTACCATCCATCTGGACTGGATGTTGAGACAGGGTTAGTGGGGTTCTTACTTGGTATGCCGTATGCACAGTTGTCATTCTGCTGCGTTTTCATTTTTTCTATCGTGTACAACCTTATCTCGAGCCTTAGTAAGATACTAATAGCAGCGAAACTAACAGAGAATAATGCATACATGCATCTCAACAGGAGGACCTTCTCGGAAATCCATATATCATACGTTACAGGACGGAGCCAGGCTCATAACTAGCCTATCCTGGGCCAGTGAGTTTATCTTGGGTGGAAGCATGTGATTGTTTGATTTCCTTACGATGTTCGCACTTTTGGTGGCTTTTTCGATTCCGATTTCTGTTTCGTTTCCTTTTCTTTCACTTTCACCAACATATATTGTCCCTTTAATCCCAACTCACGGCCTTGTGGGAGAGCACTATGCAGGGAAAGGAAACTAGACCATACATGATGGAATGGTGAACATGATCCTGAAATAGAAATAAAACAATTCAGGAAGTAAAAGCTCAAGTCCTACTTAAGACGTGGACGTCTATTAGGGCTGATACCAGATCACGTGTGAAACGATGGTACTTAATCGACTGTCGCCCCCATCGGAGTACTCCTTTGGAAGGCTGACTTGCAAATAACGAAGTGTTGGTAGGATGCTATGCACACATTTGGTGGGTGTTTCTCTCTCTTCGGGTTGACGGGTCCAATATTGTGTCTTAGGTATTCATAATGCTACGCTAATGGAATATGGCCAGCTCCCACGGTTAGTTAGGATGGACCGCTTTGATCATAGTGATGAACAACCTGATCCATGGAGCTTTAGATGGCTTAGAATGGATCCTAGCTTGATGGGCTATTCCATAATGATGTCATAGTGCTTGTTTCATTTCGGCTATTTTGCCCAACGGAAAGAATTATCATGGCACCATGGAACTATTGAAGCCTATAATCTTGCAAACCCCTATGTTGAGTTGGATATGCTTCGGCAGTGTATGAATAGCATCCTATCGGCTAGACTGACCCATTCGAAGACTGAATACGGATAATTCCTGATTATGCTTTCTTAGTGACTTATAGTGCTTATATTCTGAACGTCATTCAAGTGCGATATTTAATTAGTTTTAACTCCTGATAAATTACCGGGGATGCATGAATCCAGGCTGTGGCTTCTTCCTGGTCGTCTCATACGTGTTTGCGAGTGAGCCAAGGCAGTATAGATTTTACAACACTGTATATACTGGTATTCCATTCGCTATGGAAAATAGCTTGTGCTAAGATCCCTCTGGCTTGCAGCTAATTATATTGAACATAAGTGTATAAATACCTCTCAAGCGCCGGAAGACTATCATCAATTCAGTTACTACCTGTCAACAGAGAAAAAATCAGGCAATACGTATCAAAATGAAGCCAAACATATTCGTCCTCAGAATAAGCCTCCTAACACAGCTAATGCCTGTCCATGCCCACTACAACATCGACAATAACTACAGAATCGATGTACACTCCCACCCAATTCCCGACCTCTGGCGCAATGCGCTAATCGAAGCCGGGAATCCCGTCATAAATGGGACGCTGTGGAATGAGGGATTCCCTGTTCCAGAGTGGACCCTCGATGGCCACATTGCTAGCATGGATGATTATGGGCTGAACTACTCGACCTTGAGCATCACTGCCCCAGGGGTTTCTTTTCTATCGTCGAAGCCGAAAAGAGCAAAAGGTTTAGCGCGTGCGCCGAATGAACAGATGTATGAGTATACGCAGGCTTATCCCAAGCGTCTGGGTGCGTTGTGCGTGCTGCCACTCCCGAATATCAAGGATGCGCTAGTTGAGATTGAGGTATGTCGTATTTATAATCCTGCTACCATAGTAAGGCCCTAACATTGCATGCAGTACTGCCTCGACACTCTCCACTTCGACGGGATAGGTCTTTACACCAACTTTGCAGGTCTCTATCTAGGAGATAGAAAGCTAGACCCTATATTCCAAGCCTTGAACACACGCCGCGCGACTGCATTCGTCCATCCCACCACGCCGCGATGTCAAGACGCCACCCTGGGATATCCAGGCCCGCTCACCGAGTACCCATTCGACAGCATGCGCGCCATGGAAAACATGCTCCTCACAGGACAAAGAGCAGTGTTTCCCAACGTGACTATGATCTTTCCTCATGGGGGTGGTGCAATGCCGTACCTTGCTGGTCGAATTGCAGGCGTGACTACGCTTGATGCTCTCGGGGCGCTGAGTCCCGCGGACACAATTTCTCAGTTGAAGTCGTATTACTTTGATACTGCGTCTGCATACTCTGCGATTCAGCTGCAGGCTTTGAAGGCGTTTGGTGGTGTCGGCAGGATTGTTACGGGAACAGATTGTGAGTTCCGTGTCTAGAGTGTAGTCAAGCTATAGGCTGTGCTAACTCTTTGTTTATCAGTCCCGTATGTGCCTACTAATCAAGCGAAGCCTGGCCTGGATTCTATTAAGGCTAATGGTGGGTTTAGTGCAGATGAGATGGCGCGAATCAATAATGGGAATGCGTTGTCCGTTTTCCCACGAATTGGGGAGAAATTGGGTCTGATGGAGAGTTGATAAATACAGAACATTCTTCAATTCTAGTTCCTGATGCGAGCCATTTACATATCTCGATTTATATCTGGAAAAAGGTATTAGAACTAACAGTATATGACATGGGGAGCAGACCCCTCATCAAATGCATAGCATGTCATACTGGCACGCATAAAAGTGCAGTGTCATTGGAGTCAAAGTCGAGTGACTCCCAAGCTATTGATGAATAATCCAATATAGCCCTAGTTCATTGATCCCCGAATGATCATGCCTCTCGTATATGCAATGTCAGACCCAATGTAGTAGAAACAAGCATCTCACATAAGTCCTGTCAGGATGACTATTAATGACGTTAAGCTTTATCATAGACCTGTCCTTGAATTCCCACGAATGAGGTATAAAGCCATCCACTTTTCCCTCTTCAACATTCAATCAAACACACTTGAATCCCAATCCGGAAGGCCATAGCATAGGACCCAATCTGTTCTTTTCTTACATTCCGCATGATTATCACCATGCAGTTCTTTAGTGCTCTTCTTGCCCTAGCCGCCGTGGCATACGCTGTCCCTGTGGAACTTGATGGAAGAACGATTCATATTCAGATCATGACAGAAACTGCTGGAGTAGGTCCAGAGTGATCATTCATTTCTATATCATAGAGCTGACTATCAATAGAAAGAATGCGCGGTGTGTCTCTATCTCCTGTTCTGATCCATGCAACTAATAACTCATACTGTCACCAGGGATTTAAGGGTTATACCTGCCCTCCTAAGTAAGTATCATCACCGCTAATTGAATATAACACGAAAGGGCTAATTAGGAATAGCTATCCATATCAATGTGGCACTGGGCTTTACGGCTCGACTTGCTGTGTATGTTAAATCTTCTCTATTCAAAGAAATCTTGCCCTTTTTAACGTGGATGTATATTCAGAACTATCCATGCCCGCACCTGGATTAGAGGTTCCGAGAACAATGTATCTACTCAACCGATACCTACCAATGGGAGATGCTCAACCATCTCCTGCAGGGATATGTTACCATGATGGAGCGCTTGATCTTTATGTATATGTCATATTATGGAGAATTTGATGTATTGCTGTGAGCGTAGTTCTTGCGTACGCTGTAGACTTGTCTGGTTATAATGTAAAACTTGCTGAATCAGATACCAGAACAGTGATCACTGTGTCTTCGGGCCTTGGTATTGGCTGAATGCCACTACTGAACTTGCAATCATGCTGATTCTTTTGGTTTAGTGGTTCTGCTACTGGATGATTGAAACCGTAAATACTGCACAGCAGGAAACCGACGTATAGAATGCTAATGGCATCAGGCTCGCTAAGTACTCATCATATTGTCAATTGAGGGTTGAGGTGTGGTAGAGAATTTACGTATTTCGTCCAGTTAAAGAATTACTACTCTAGGCAAATTAGTTTCTTTCTGTATTTTGGTGTTATGTTGATAAATTATTACATCTTTCTTATTGACAGAGGGTTGGGGATGGATCTCCATTGAGCTCTGCGGCAACATAGTTTGACGGGTCATTGATATAAGAAATTGAAAATCATTTAGATACTCGGTTCGTGTCTCCTTTGCAGAAGCCGTCTCACAAGTGCTCGTAGACTGCCGTACTCTGCCCAATCTGCACGTATCCGTCTCCGCCGCTTGTGCGTATGCATAGTCGAAGATCCTCTATGATGGCCCTTCGAAAATACTGACCGCCGTAACTATCGTTAATTTAGGAACCTATCCCACATCAAGCGGTCAGAGTCAGACTTGTATCCAAGAACGTCGCCATCAATTCGGCGACAAAAAGGCAGCAAGGGGCATCCAAGACCTGTCCCCGGCCCGCGGGAATGTTAGGCCATGGCCAAACCTATTCATTGGTGATTTAATCTGTCAGAGCTATCTACATACGTCGAATACACTTGTCAACGGGCCAAATCGCTCATGTTCAAAGCTAGCCAGTCCTCGAAGAGCCTCTAGTGCGAAGCCTCTGTTTATTGCGGCGTCAAGTTTGTATCGGAGCTGATACAACGCCGCGTTAAGTGATCTACCTATTTTAGTGGAATCTCCAGTTTTTTTTGAAGTGGATTTAGTGTTTGTCTACACTCTATTTCAGTACGTTCTAAAGTCCAACGCTAACAGCTTCATCAGCTGTTGTCGGTCTACCTTAAGGTGATTGCAGGATGGCCATTTTGGAAAGATGCTTCCTTGAACATAGTTAATCCTGTAATTGTGGACGGGAGCTGCCAAGGGACTGGCACTATTTAGAAATACTGAGATGGTAGTGAACTGTCTTCTCCGCTGTTCCCTCAAACCCCACGTCTTCGCTCGCATTTTTCATCTATGGGCGCATATTATCCAAGAAACCTAAAATAATTCAAATTTGACCAACAGAAATTTCAGACTCATGCTACCAGATCGCACGCATATGCTGCGTTGCATAATTGGGCCAAAGGTTATTGGCCAGGAGATTCACTAGTGTCTCTCGGTGCATAATAATGGCCCGGTATGCAAGGGGCTACTTCTGACATATCATCCGGGTATAGTTATTAAGGCTCAAATATGATATGTGCTATTCTGCCTGCAGAGAGAACTGAAAATTCGCAGGGGAAACCATAGCTATGTCCTTTCACATAAAGACGGTCATAGAAGCAAGGGTCTACTCTTGACACCAATTCAGCATATATTGTCTGCGAAGCTTGCTGGCCCCGGATTCCATGTCCACGTATCTTTAGGGACGTGCTGTGATTGAGTCTGAGATTGGATGTCCAGGCTTTACAGAAGGACTCCGCAACTTATCCCTTCTCCGTTGTTGATTCTCAGTCTTCCTCTTATCATGAGCCATCAAAGCTCGCACGGTATTTACGAGGGATCTACAGCCATGAAGACCGATATCACACGCTTCGCCCAGGCCAATCTAGGCCGAATTCGCCTTGCAGGATTGTTATTTTTCACAATCAATGTGGTCACACGCTTATCATGTTTGATACTTGCAACCGAGACCAATCTTTGGATGTGGGTGATATTCATCTTCGAAGCCCTTTGGACGTGTAGGTTCCCGATCGCATTGAATACAAGGGTGCTGTATCTCTCTAACATGTTCCCGCATTGTCTTGTACAGACCAGTCTCTTGCTATAATGATCCCTAAGCAGCCCGGACATACTACCAAACGACTTCATTTGACGGGGGATAGCGCGCTGCCATCGGTGGACATCATGTTGCCATGTTGTGGGGAGTCGCTGGATATAATTCTCGACACCATACGCGCCGCCTGCGTCATGGACTACCCTCAATCCGTATTTCGAGTGCTTGTGTTGGACGATGGAAATTCTATTGAGCTGCGTCAGGCGGTAGAAGAGCTGAACAATACCTGGCCGAATCTACTCTACTATAGCAGAGGAACCAAGCCAAGCCAAAAGGTCTTTTCCAAGGCAGGAAATCTGAACTACGCTTTATTTGAGATCCAGGGGAGAATGAGCAGCCCGCCTGATTTCATTGTCGGATTCGACTCCGATTTCCTCCCTGCGCCGAACTTTCTGCGAGCCACACTTCCTCATCTGTTGGAAGATCCTAGTGTTGGACTTGTCGGTACATTTCAAGACTTTTATAACTTACCTCCGGGAGATCCGATATCTCAGAATTTAGAGATGTACAGGGAAGCTTTGCTGCCCCGATTGAACGAACTTGGTTCGAGTATAGCGACAGGCTCTGGATTTGTTATGCACCGCCAGCTAGCAGTCAAGGTGGGAGGGTTCCCGACAATAAATGAAGCTGAAGACTTGACTCTATCGATAATAGTTCCAGCATATGGGAAGCGCGTGCTGGCCCTTGATGAAATGCTTCAATTTGGACGCGTGCCATCTTCCTTGGAAGGTCATGTCAGGCAGAGACGAAGATGGGTAACCAGTGCGACAACTATGCTTTTCACACCCTGGACGGCGCCCAAGGACTCTATTCCACGTGCATCTAGATTGCGCCTATCTTTCTTTGGCATTATGATGCTTTGGTCAATCCTAAACCAGAGCGTCGGATGTGCCATTATTGCTCCTGCTTTGATTTCAGGGCAACCGCTTCTCCCGGGCATTGTTCCAAGAATCCAACTTGCGTTGTCTCTGGTCACATTTGGGTTCGTTTGGTTATACGAATGGCTCAAGGTTGCAGGGACGGGCTTTCGACTGGCCACGTTCGCTCATTGGAACGAACTATGGATGTGTGGAGGTAAGTTTGTGGCTTATAGTACCGTTTCACTGCCAATGACTGACTGCTTCACAAGACCGACTACTCACCGTTATTCGATTCCACCTTTTCGGATCCCAAGCTGGTAGAGCCCTAGTGACTGGTAGCGCGCAGAACAGTTGGAACAATCCCAACAAGACCTCCAATCGAGTTTCGCAACTCAAAAGCGATCTACTGGGCTCTGGAGTCGGGTTTAACGTGCTGTTCATCATTGGAGCCATCGCCGGAATGATACGTTCCGCTATGTATTCCATCGAGAGCGAGTCTGGCTGGCAGGCATGTGTAATGACTACCTTGCTGTGCCCACCTGCTTTCTTTATGTGCTATATCACAGTTTCTTGTCACATTGCCCCCGTTCTATGCGTGATATGGCCGCCCCGTTACCCCTCTCGTGAAGATACGATGGAGACACATCCAAGTGATGCCCGTGCCGTGTTTCCTTCCGAGAGAGTCCGACAGTACAACGTACGTCAAAAGGTTGAGCCTCTCGGATATCGTGGCCTTTCATTGCCGCTCCCAGTCTATATAAGCTTCATGGCCATGTTTTATTTTCGGTATCTTTGAAACCTGGTAATAGGTGAGCGATGCCATGAAAGGGGCTGGGTTCGAGCAACAAGTGCGTGAGACTATCTAGTTGGAAGTACGAATTGATTTGATCACCATATCTAATTGTCATCGTATTTGTTCACAAGCAATATAAAGTCCCAGCTCGAGGTTCGCAGGTTAATATCAGCAAGAAACAGTAATCAGCCTTACGTTCCTGTGCCCAAAAGGAAGCCTGGGTAGAGAATTGTACTTCGCTAAGGAGCATACCTTCCAACTTGAAGATGTCCGTTCTAGTAAAATTTGGGGGGGTTCAGGTTGAAATAAAAGTGCATACTAAAGACGCAGTTTCTTATTATCTTACCTACCGTACTACTAGTTATATCCCAAACGCGAAGCAGTTGTTACCCGCAAAAGTCACCTTCCACCTTTTATGCTTGCACAATTCCTGTTTGTCGTTTACAACTGCGATCAGCTCTTTCACATTGACTCACCGGCAACCCGGGCTCGCTCGGTAAATCCTAGCGCTCCCAACTTCTGTCTCTTGTCGTCGGATAGTTGTTGGGATGCGCTTTCCCAGAGGTCCTTGGAAGGTTTCGTATCCTTGGGGGTGTTAGATTCTGGGAAGGTGTCAGGCCTTTGGGTTGGAGAGAGGTGGGCCCGAGGCCTTCCACCGTTGGGGGTTCTCTTTTTCGCTGCAACGTTCTCTATGAGTCCGGAGAGGATGCATCCCGGTGGGGCACGAGTAAATTTGCCTTGGTGGACTATTCACTAGCTTGTGCATTTGTGTTCTCTGTGAAGCGGTCCTCATGGAGGTTCGGGGTCGCCGATCGAGACCTGAGATGCCTGTGGAATTTGGCGCTAAGCCTGTCCCGTATAGAGCTCTGATCAAGACGAGGCATACCCAATCTGGTTCTCAAGGGAACCCATTAAGAAGACTGCTTGAACGGAAGGAACGGTGTGGTGGTTCAAAGAATATACGAGCATTAGTAAGAACAGGCTGTTTTTTCTAGAGTAAATCGAAGTCGAAACTGAGGCTGATCCAGTGCCCAATGCCATTTGCATGTCAGAGCGCTTATATGCATGGATACCCAACATGAAAGTTCGAGCTGACATTGTCCTAAATCTACTAAGACCGAACATCAGATTTATGATGGATGTTTGCTCGGATTTGCAAGGTCTGGAGCAAGCTCAACCAAATTACCTATTACTTACTTAGCTTTATTGAACCAAAAACATGATCGGGACAATAGGATGCAAACACCTTTGCGGTTCCTACTGAAGAGCACGGCGCATCCACAATGCTCCCAGCATGCTATCAATTAGCACATTTCGAGATAATATCGCGATCTGCGCACGAATTTAGCACATCATCTCCACTCTGGCGGGGAATCTCGAAGATCTGCGCGGCACTATCGACAACAGTTCCTTATTCGTCTTCCGCTGCATGTACATTTAGCTGAAACGAAATAAAATATTATCTATGATGTCACAAGGTTCAGTGTCAGCCAATGATACCACGACACTGCAGCCAACACCAACGAATCAACAAGGATTGTTGAACCCCGATATAGACCCCGAGTTCATCCCGACGTGTACTCCATATCGTGAGTGGAGTTAGCCGGCCCGTTCCGTCAGCTCGATTGCCTTGAGAAGGCTGGGCTCAGTATGAGATGCATCTTTACGTTCAGCTGCTGGACGTGGAGGTAGGGATTTATCGGGGTCGCTTATCGATTATACGAACTCGAAAGCTCACCCTTGTTGTTGTGTGTGATGGCCGTGCAGTTTGCATGAATCACGAATCCTTGGCTTGGTATGTTTCTCTTTGGGTTGGTAATAAGACAGCCTTGTCTAATTTCTTTTTCCGAGCAACCATAAGCGATTTAACCCCCGAGGTAAGCACCAAATATAGAAAGCCCTATCCGCAAAGCGCGCTTTGAGGTCGCATCCCAACATCGGGAAACAACTTTCGGCTTGTTTTCTGCTGTTTCTTCTACAGATAAAATAATGAGCCGAACTTCGAGGTTGTCCAAAGCAGAGCTGAAGACTAAAGAGGATGTTGCTCATGGGCAGGATGAAACTGGGTCCGAGACAGAACACGCCGCCCCTTTACCTGATTATCTTACGAAACCCGAGCCTGATGAAGTCCGGAAGCATGTCAGTGAAACTTTACGGCTTTTAAGATCTAGGCTGATAATGAAACCAGATTCTTTCAAACAGGCTGGAACATACGCCGCTGTACCAGCCCAAGGACGGTGAACTCATATCACATGACTCCCAAAAAACAATACGCACCGACCCTACCTACCTATCCTTTGGCGATGGAGGCACAACGGCTACGGTGACTGAGTGGGGTCAGCAAATGCAGATCAGTCGTTATCTGGGCCATGGAGAGTCGGGGATTTACGCCATCGATCACGCACATACCCCGGAGCCCAATCAGTATACCAAAAGAAGACAGGGCTTCCTCGATATGATTGACACATCCCAGGGATTTGGCACCGATTCGGGTCTTCCGGACTCTGAATGGGAACATACAACCTACTGGCTCCGTAACCGATGGCCCCGCGTGGTATTCAAGAGAAAGGACAAATGGGAACTCACGTTTCAATGGGTAGTCTGGAATAATGTTGTCATTCATGATCTTCTGTGGCAAAACTTGACCGAAAACGAAACCATATATGTCGACGTCTGGACCACACTTGAGATTCTGATACGGGAACTGGATTTCGTCAACTCATCTCACTCATTCAATGGTGAAACGTGCTCGAGATATCAAAAAGGCCCCGGACCCGGTGGTTATGGCTTTGTGAAGTTGCATAGATTTCAACAGAATGGTCAGAGCAATGATGGACAAACCATGCCAACCCTGAAGAGTCATGGGAATGACTTCAATGCGGATGCCGTGGCAGCAGCTATAGGTGTATTCGAGAACGGAAACCCATTGAAGAAGGAGGAATTCTTTCATCAACGTGAAATCACTATCAAGGCCGGAGAAAACCGACGTCTGGTCACTGGGTACAAGCTTGTACTTTTATCCACGGAAAAGAAAGATTGGAAACTTTTGACTTTGACAAAAGGTGACGTGGACATTGATTATTTCTTGTGTCAAAGCCAGCTCGAGGACAGCATCCCAAGAGACACATTTTTGTCCGACAGGGATTTCTACATTGGGCGCAATTTGGAGCATATCCTGTCGGTCTGCGCTATACCGATCACTAGCGCTCCTGCTGAGAACGATGGAGAAGATGAAGGGGCGAATCAAAAGGGCGAGGAGCCGATGGTGGCACTTACATGTGGTGATATCGCAGGTCATCGGATCTGCACATCGGCCAGCTAGTAAGTTATCCAGAATGCGACATAAGATTCGGAGAATTCGACTAACAGCAATTAGTTTTGCCTTCAAATTCCTGTTGGGGGTTTGCCGTAGCCTAAGGCAAGATCATCCTTTGAGGGCTCGAATAAAGAGAACTTGTCTCGCACATCTTCGATGGGTATTTGAAAGGGCCAAGCAAAAGGACTCCGGGGGGTTCGCCAGGTACTACTGGGCAAATGGGGAGATCATATCCAATCTCCTACCCGATGGTCCTACGGATACCCCATTCCAGATTCTCAAGGCATATGAGTTCTTTCAATTCTTAGAAACCCCCCTGGATACTTCGGAATTAATCGGAGAACCACATCTAGCTAAACAAGCCGAACTAGCTTGTGTGACAAATCCTGCTACAGCAAAACAATTCAGCGAAGTAAATAAACAATCCGGGGGAGAACAGCCAACGAGACAAGGAATACCAAGTGGAGCGACGAACGAAACTGAACCAAAGCAGCCGACTGCGAAGACGAGCCTGAATCAATCAATAGAGCCAGGTGGTGAAAGTGAAGAGGCTGAAAAGGCTGAGATACGCAACTTTTTGGACGAAGACAATGGTGACATCGCAATGAAATGGGTGAACGCTCTAGACAAGGCCAATAAGCGAGATGCCTTTGCCTGGCCCCACTCGACCAGAGCTGGGATGAACTATTTTCGATTGGATGACCATGTGTGGATCTGGAATGCCATCAAAGCCATAAGCATCATTCTTGGATGGGACACGATGGCCAAAGGAAATTTCAAGAGTCGAGAAAAAGTGGATAAGGATTCATGGCAATATCAGCGGAACGAGCTCATGCGAAGATATGAGCCTGAGAAGATGAAGCGAGAGATCTTACAACGTTTTACAACTGTACACGACGTCTCCAAAGAGCGAATTCTCGCGGTTACCCGGTCCCCTCGAGAAACACGATTCGAGTTTCACTCGCGAGACACGGCATTATTTTACCCGATTGTGGATACTATGCTTGGTCAAGGGGAGGAGCGATGGTTGGGCTTGATTAAACTCCAAAAAAGATTCACCCGTACTCAGGATACTGATCCAGACAATTTGTTACGGCACGGGCTTGGGATGCTCATGGAAAATACCTGGGCCACGGATTCAACTATGAGGACTGACTTTCTCGAAACAAAACGCGCACTCATCACAACCACGCTCACCAATGGTCTCTTTCCAGCGCAGATTACAGGCTTGGGGGAATCCGAACGTGTTAGCTACCACGAGGATTATTTGTTACATGTCTCTTTTGAAATGCCCTACATTCTTCACGCAACACGTCCTCAAGAGGGCCCATTTCAGCAAGCCACTCAAGAAGGTCTGACGAAGAATAGGCTGTATGAGGAAGGGCCTGTCAAGCATACCAGCATCCTAGACGGCACGATCCCCTTTAATGACCAAATTGATGTCAAAAGCATCATAGATATCAGAGAAGAGTGGCTCTATAATTCTCCATCTTTCCTCGATTGGAGTCCTTTGAATGGCAATCACATCCCTTTGAGCTTGCTTGACCTCGGAGTAAAACGCGTGAGATGGATAATGAGGGCGCTTCTGAAAGCATACGGTGATGAGACAAGCGAAGAAATAAATGAAGAGAGTGAAGAGGATAGTGGCGATGACGACGACATTATGGTTGATGCCGCTGGTGTGAGATCCATTTCGAATCCTGGAGAATATCAGCCACTGGATATCCAGCCGGATGGTCATAAGCATTTGATGATCGACATTGGGAAAAAGAGACCTCGGATGAGAAAGACATCCTGCTCTGACGAGCGGGAGTCCAGAACCCACACTTATGTCAAGTCATGGGAAAAGCTACTCCAAGTCCGAACAGCCCACAGTGCAAAGAAAAGGTTCCTGTGGTGTCGAAACCCACCGGGGGAATACGCGTTGATGTGTTATCTTGCGTCGCCAGAAAATGAACAGCCGTCGTTACGCTTGTTCTTCGATCGCCATGCTAAATGCGTCACAGACTTTGATGATAAAACAAGTAGGGTATACAACACGTGGGAGACGGAGTTCCACTGCACCTTCGTTCGGCTTGGGAAACCCGCTCGACCCATTAACAGTGAAGACGCAAGCAGTAACCTCAATGAATCGCACAAGGAAGAAAGACGCCCAGAGCCTATGCTGCATTCGTCAATTCGACCGCTGCCTGACCTTGGTGGCCAAGAGCTGAGACCCGCGTCAATGGGCTTCAGGTTTCATGGTGACTTCTTCGATCGATTTTGGACATGCCATTATGTCGAGAGTTATCTGGGAGAGCCGCCAAGGTTAGACATGAACAATTACCTGAGTAGCAATGGTGAGGAACTCAAAAGACTTTTCCAAGATAGCAGCGCGTACGTTTGGCAACAACGGAAGGTGCTTGAAACGCTGCTATTCCACCTAATCTTATCGGAGATCAACAAAAGTGTTCAGAAGATCATAAAAGCAATCCAGGAAGAACTCAGTTCGGACCAACATGGCAAAGAGAGGGTAAAGACGCCAAAACCTTCACAGTTCGACTCCGAGGTATATTTCAACGATTTGAAAGCGTGGGCAGCATTACATGAAATACTTGAGTTTCTAGGCGACAACCTGGAAAATATCTCGAATAATGTCAAAGGCTGGAACTCACGGGAGGAAGATCGTCGGACTGAGAAACCTCGATGGACAAACAACGATGAAAAAAAGTACCGAGATGCCATCACTCGAGCTCTTCTCGAGTGTCAGAGGGCTGAGCGCGTACTATTCGCCCACAGAGCTACAATTCGCTCCCTCTCAAAGACATTGAACTACCGTCGTGAGGAGGCAAAAAATGAATATGACCGCAACATGAGCGAACGCAACTTCCGTAACAATGACAATGTTAAGTACTTCACCTACTCGACCGTGATCTTCTTGTCTCTGGGCTTTGCAGCCAGTGTCTACAGCATGCAAGCTGCACCGCCTACAGATGTTCTCCAACACATGGTGATCTTCTCTGTTGTTGCCTTCTTCACCCTTCTGGTCATTATTGCTATCCTGCCCTTCTTACTTGAAGGGTCTTCGGGATTTCGAAGAGTTTGTCGAGAATTTGTACTGCATGGATTCCGAGGATGTTGCCGAAACATCTACCAAGATTCTAAAGATCTCCATGGATTTTGGAAGCTCTTCTATACGAAAGTTCCGTACACGTTTTCCGACTTGTTTACCATGCAGATCCCCTCATATGTGCTTCTTCTCAAGGGTCAGAGTCTCAATCCGGGATCATCCAACCGCAAGGAGCATGCTAAGAAACAGAAACAACAAGCACCTAAGCCCGAGGAGTCTTTGGATGGCAATTCAAGAAATACATTAAAAAGAGAAACGAGAGACGAATTGAAGTTTGACAAGTCCAAAGGTGAATCATGGGTTCAGTCATGGAATAGAATAGTCGAGCCATGGAACAAAAGCCTACGCGGTCATAGATAAAGTGTTCTTGCGTTAAGTCTTCCCTTACGGCAATGAGAATGAATCAGGATTTTGTCATTTTGTATTTTCTGTTAGTATATTACCGTCGAGCAGACCTTCATAGGGGAGCCTTCTCTGATCCCTTCCATATAGGTGCTCAAAGTCTAGGTTGCTGAAGTACATACAAGCTGCCATGTCTTTGCCAACCCTTCCGTGACAATTAGGTGTGCGCCACAAGAAGGAAGACCATTTTCATTCTACACGAATATCTTTAAGATCTTCCCAAATAGTTGTATTCATGCATTTCTGGCTACCTACAGTCTTGTTCTCCCCAAGCCTGGTTCCATAAGGCTGGCGCAGTCACACTGCATTACGCCAAGACTAATAAAACGCATGGCATAGTCCGGTCGCAGCCTTCCACAGCTACTTCTTGAACTTCTCACAATAACAAGGTCCATATTTCTGTCGTCGTCTAGCAACCGATATAGACCACTATGAATGAGACACTTCCAGATCACAAAGCCATCACAACTCCAGTCCCTACAATCGACGTGACTACCGAAGACCAACACAAATTCATTGGCGTCGCAGATATCACCCACTTTGTTGTTCAGTGAGTATAATTTCCTTTGATGCATTCGCAAAGTTCTACTTCTGTATTGTCAAAGATTGGCTCGCCCATATGCTAATGAAGTCCCTTCAGACTATCTGAGAAAAGATTTGACCTGCTCATGCAATATATTGCGGAAATCCCTTACGACTTCAACAAGCCGTGGCCATTCTGGTTCTTCGTAGGGAAGATCGTATCAAAAGCCTTCTTTGACGACGAAGAGCAACTCAAGTGGCTGAACACTGTTCAGGTCCTGAACAGGGAGTTTATCGCATTCACCAATACCCAAGCTAGCGAACAGGATCTGGGGGACGAAAACGCTAGAAGGGGGGAGCTGAGAGTAGTTGAGGTCGACTTCTCTAAGCCCCAGCCAGGTGAGAATTTGAGGTTGTTCTGGAAGCCAGCTCGAGGCATTATTTGCCAGAAAGTCCAAGATTGTAAGTTGATGATATTCATAGTCATCCTTTCATCTAACACTTAGCTAATGATGCTCGCAAACAGGGTTGGATTACGAATCGACTCAAGGTTGTACTTAGAAGAATCAACATATGGAGTATAGCATCATCACAGTACGGGTAGAGACCGCACTATCGTATGTGTTCCCAGTTTTGCTGCCTGTTAGCCTGATAGCCCGATGGCTTGATAAAGCCGATCAACTTTTTGCTTAACATCCTGGTCGAATCACAGAGTGGGTGATGTATTCTTTTGTTAACAATTCCCACCCACATAAATGAATTTTATCTTTACATTCACACGTCTTCAATGATTGAGTGACTCGTATTCAGAATTTTATCTCACGGAGTTGTTCAAGATTGCCCGTTTAGAGTCAGAGACAATAAATACCGAGTCCGATGTAGTAAACAATGGTGAACATTACGGGGTTAGTATTTGATCCAGTCAGTCCTAGACAATGATGACAATTCTCTGGTTTTCCTAAGTACGTACAGGGAATATTCAATTCGGAGCCCAGTCTAATAATAATAGTGTTATTCAAGAACACGTTTAGATAAGGCAGATGCATCAGCGGGAATGTTACACCGACCTTTTCTCGCATCGCTCATGCACGTTGAAGTCAACCATCATCCGCGCCTAGCCTTCTTCTCTTCATGTGCCGGTCGCTGCTTTGCTGAGCTCGGAGTTAAGAATAATAGCTTGGTCGGTGTGGGTTTTCTAGCTTACTTTACATGGATCTTACCCGAAGACAGTAACTATAGAGATTTAGATAACTGATAGCTGGGTTACAAATAGAACATAATCTCTGTATAACCATCCCGGTCTATCCTTGACCTGGGCGATAAAATATTAGAATACGCAGAATAAAATGAATTAGAAAGCGCACAACTCTATTACCAATCAAGCACCATACATTAGTGAACTCTTTCGCGGATATGATATCACAGATCCAAACAACCGGCTTCATGCACCCTTGGTACATACATAACCATGACCAGACTCGAGCTATTACCACTCATCCGCTATCCGAGTCTCATCTTCTCTTTCTACGTCAGCTTTAGACAAAGATAGGACAGATGATGCAAGTCCCCCCTCCCCGGGGAAAAGAATGGATAACGGCCGTAGCTAACCGAGCTTGCCTTGTCCGTGTCAGATACGAGGCATGGGGCTTTGGGTCATGTATATAAACCGAAGTCGAGCCGGTCTTCGTTCCAACGGTTTTTGTTGAGACTTTGTGTTAAGTTGAGTCGACGGGAGTCAGACAGACAAACAGTCGGTCAGACTCAGACATATCATACCGAATGAGATCATATCCGATTCTAACATTCTTCGCGTGAACACCTCACAATACAACAACACACTCCCACCAACTGCTTGACCTTGACCTTGAACTACGTGACACGATAAGAGCGACACCGATCAACCCCAATCAACGACGTTGATATCTAATCCGGGGTTTTACTTTCGATTTCATCTTCATTTTTGCGGGGAAAGCGGCCTCGGCTCCGCTCGGGTAACGGCGCTTATATTCGGAGCGAAGCAGGGTTCCGTCATACTTACCCTTGCTTAACCTACCTCCTCGACAGTCTACGGACAGTCTTATTGTTCATTCGGCCGGCGCTCGGTTCGGTTGAACGTGGATCTTGTCTCACATATCCTACCCTAGCTACTTATATTGCATAGTGGTGGGGTTTAGTCACAATGCTATTGCAGGAATTGTGCGAGACGGTATCGGTGTCGGGGGTTCTGTCAGCAGTGGGCATTTTCACCGGAGGATTGGTATGTTCGTTTCCTATCGTGTCTCACTCACTCCGCGTCTAGCCATTGTGCCGAATGCAGGGAGTACATCCATGGAAATACTCGGATGGAGCTAATGCATGTAACGTCAGACGCTGGTCTACGTGCTCTACAACTACCTATTCCACCCCCTTCGACGGATCCCGGGTCCCCTACTCGCGGGTCTAACGCCGTGGGTGCAGCTCTACCACGGACTGAAAGGGGACCGGCATCTATGGCTCTATCGACTGCATGAGACGTACGGATCGCATGTGCGCGTAGCGCCGAATTTCGTCTCCGTGAATACCGCCCAGGGACTGCATGATATCTACGGACATGGCAAGAAGCTGAAGAAGGCGGATTTTTACAATGCGTTTCCCGCCATCAAGGGCGTGTATAATACGCACAATGCGATCGATAAGACGATGCATGGGCGTAAGAGGAGAGTCCTCAGTCAGGCGTTCTCGGACCATGCGTTGAAGAGCATGGAGGATGTGATGCTCTTGCATGTGCGGCAGCTTTGCTCGGCGTTGGGTGCGGGGAGCGAGAAGACGGGCGCCGAGAAAGGCGGAGCTGTGTTCAACATGAGTAACTGGTTCAGTTACCTGACTTATGATGTTATGGGAGAGTTGTGTTTCGGCAAGAGCTTCGATATGTTGCTGTCGAGTAGCAAGCACAAATTGATCGAATTGGTTGATCGTGCGGCGAATCGACACTATGTGGTGAGTGTTACCTCCGTCGCTTGACTCAGGACCAGGACACTAAACGATTTCACCAGTGTGGACTGTGGATGCCCTTGGATAGCTGGCACCTCGACCAGATCGTGATCCACCGACTCACCAACGATCGATGGAACTTCATCATGAACTCGCGCGTGGAAGCCAACGAGCGCGCCAAGGAACGCACACAGGCCGGCCACGACTCCAAGAAGGACTTCTTCTACTACCTGCTTAACGCCAAGGACCCCGAGACCGGCAAGGGCCTGACGACGCCCGAGCTCTGGGGCGAGGCCAACGTGCTCATGATCGCCGGCAGCGATACAACCTCGACCACGCTGGCCGCCGCTATCTTCTACCTCGTCCGGAACCCGCGCGCCATGGCGCTCCTGAAGAAGGAGGTCCGCGAGGCCTTCACGTCCGTTGAGGAGATCGTCACGGGCGCTCGGCTCAACGAGCTCGTGTACCTGAAAGCCTGCCTGGACGAGGCCCTGCGACTAGCGCCCGCAGTGCCGGGCGCCATCCCGCGCGAGGTCATGGACGGCGGCGCCACGGTGGATGGGGTCTACCTACCCGCCGGCACGGACTGTGGAACCCCGACGTACGCCATCCACCGCCAGGCGGAGTACTACCGCGAGCCGCAGATGTATCTGCCCGAGCGGTGGATCGAGGGGGCGACCTGCCAGGCTCAGGTTTCGGGCAAGCAGACTAGTTGGACGGTCAGCAAGGAGGAGGTCGAAACGGCGCGCAGGGCGTTCTGTCCGTTTAGCATCGGACCGCGTGGATGTATTGGCAAGGGGATGGCATTCATGGAGATGCGATTGACGATTGCGCGGATGATGTTCCTGTTTGATATTGAATATGCCGATCGCACGGGTGAAGACGAGAGTGGCCATTTGGCGTTGGTGGATCATTTCACAAGTGCCAAGAGAGGGCCTAACGTGGTGGTCAAACGGGCTGTAGCATAGTGAACAGGTCATATGGTGGATAGCTGGACATAGTGAAAGGGTGGAGGATATATTCACAATTAGTAGTATACAGGCACAATGAACAAACTTTTCAACAAGCAGTTCGGAACATCCGAGGATAACAAAAAGTTACTGAAATGATGCAACCTCAGGCAGAGACTAATGAAGAGGACACGTGCCCACACGTGCCTCCATCCCTATTCGGCAGTAAACAATATTCCCTTTCTGTATCTCTTCTACTCTCCTGACGAACTCCATCAGCGTCGATTGATCAATTGATTTCTGGTATTACCATGTCCTAGCCACCTTCCCTGCTGTCCAACAGTCCAGTCCAATCCAACTTCAGGAACCATAATAAGCAAGAAAGAAAAGAATGCCCCGTTCCCTCTTAACCACCATCCTTATTCAATCCACCGTCTTGAATGCGATCTCCAATATCCTGGCTCAAGTGATTGACCAGTACAACAAAGATGTACGTAGAACCTGCCTTTCATGTCTATTTATCATTCTCTTTCCTATCATCTTGTAAATACCCTCCAAACCAAACATCAACTCGATCAACTCTACGATCATCCCTTATTGCCTACCTACAACCCAACTCCAAATCCAAATCCAGCTCTACTTTCGAGTTTCCCTTCAATATATCCTCTGACACCCCCCTCCCCTACCCTGATTAACCCAAAAACAAAGGGCCCATTCACACTCAACACCCCCGCCCTCCTCCAATTCATAACCTACGCCATCATCATCGTCCCCATAAACTTCTACTTCCAGAACTGGCTCGAATCCACCTTCCCCGGCTTTCCCACCTGGCAGAGGAGCCCCGCACATCTGCGCCGGTCTTCAACAGGTTGGTCCTGGGGTCTGGCAGATGCGCGCCCCGCCCCAAACCCAACTCTCGACCTCGACGTGGTCGTCGACATCTTACCGGCTGTGAAAGAAAAGGCCGCGACAACGGTAACGACACGCTCCTTTCAGCCGAGGAAGAAGAGATCGGGGACGTGGAACTTCGGGATGAAGTTCTTGCTAGATCAGACGGTTGGGTCGGTGTTGAATATTGTGCTTTTTGTGATGTTGATTAATTTGCTGAAGGGGTTGGAGTGGGGGGTTGTTTGGGGGTTGGTTTGCGAGGTCAGTATATTTACACTCTTCTGCTTTCTTGTGTATCTTGTCTTTTTGCATCTTCATGGCTCTACAGATGGAGCTTTTGGAATGAAGCAGCAGAGCAGGTGTCTTTGGAAGAGAAAGGTATACTAACGACTAGAAAATATAGGACTTCATGCCCATCATGATCGCGCGTCTCAAATATCGCCCCGTCGTCTCAACGCTTATGTACACGGTTGTACCGGTCGAGCGACGAGTCGTGTTTGGTAGTGCGTGTGGAGTCATCTGGGGGGTTTATTTAAGTTTATATGCGGCTGTTTAAGCTTGGGTTTTGTTCATTCCTTTACTTTCTTTCTTTGACGATCAGGCTTTATTTTTTTCTTGAGTCTCTTGTCTCCTTGATGACACTATCTCGTCTGGGAACGTTGCATTCCTTTCGTTATTGTCTTTCACACTCACTTTGTGATTCCTTTTGTGGTTTACGCTGTTTCATTTTGTCTTGGGAATTTGATAAATGTTAATATCGATATTGGCATTGTACTTGAATAAGATTAATTAATGGGTGGTCAGGACAAGATGGTGTACAACCTAGATAGTCATGTCTTTTCCTTCATTCATAGTTGACGTCCTATGTACCTAGATCATGGAAAGAATTACTGGCTATCTACATTAAGAGTACTTTTGCCTTCCTCATCGGGGGCTCCATCTCGATGTCCCTCCTAACTCAACTGATTAATATCCAATGCTCACGAACTGTATCCCGTCAGACCCATCCCAGAATGCACTTCCATATACCATCATTCCCTAGACTTGACTCACATACGCTCACTATAAACTAAGCATGCCCACCCCCCTCCATCCTCCTCCCCTTCACCGAAATCCACTGCACCGGCAACGCCACAAAAAACGCAATCGCACCCGTCGCCACCGAAATATAAAACGTCTGCGTAATCGCATCACTATACGCCTGCAACACACCAGGCAAGTCCGCCTTATCGACCGCCTCCCGGAGCATAGTCGCCCCCGCCGCAATGACCTTCTCGGCGTCCGCGTTCGGCGCCAGACTCGCCAGCCCGGACCGCAACTGGTTGCTGAACACGTTCTGCGCTACAGAGACGAAGATCGCGCCGCCTAGAGTCTGCAGGAACATGCCGATGGCGGTGGCCGTGGGGACGTCGATGGGTTCGAGCACCGTTTGGTAGACGAGCATGTGTTGCTGGATGCCGGTGCCTACGCCCATGCCGAGGAGTGCTTGGTATCCGATCCACATGGGGTGGCCGGAGGAGACGTCGAAGGTGGAGATGAGGCCTGCGCCGATGGTTGTGAGGATGGGTGCCAGGATCATGAAGGGCGTGTAGTAGCCGAATGTGGTTACCAGGAATCCGACGATCATGGCGGCGACGACGAGCCCGATTACCATGGGGAAACTCATGATGCCGGATTTGGTGGCTGAGACGCCTTTGACGGCTTGGAACCAGATGGGGAGCTAGTGGTGGGTGTTAGTAGGATGCAGCAGGAGTGAACAGGAGAGTGGAATGAGAATCAAGGATTGAGGGGTGGGATCACATACATAGTACATAATGGTGTAGAAAGATCCAAGTAGAAAGAAAGCAAAGCATGCAGCGCACGACACATTCCGATTCTTCAGGAGCCGGGGAGGCACGGTGGCCCTATCCCCCCGATATCCCTGCATCGCGACAAAGCCCATGATGAAAATACCGAAGAGAACGAACAAGACAATGATACGAGCATTGCCCCATGCATACCGACTGCCTCCCCACTGCAGTGCAAGCAACAGACAGACAATTGCCGGGAAGAACAAAGCCAAGCTAGGCAAATCCAGCTGCGATATCTGATCCCTCGCTCCCGATCGACCTTTGACCGGCTTCGGGGCCTGGAATAGGAACAGGATGATAAGAGCTGTCACGCCTCCGAAGGGAAGGTTGATGTAGAAGCACCATCTCCAGGTGAGGTTGTCGGTGAAAGCACCGCCCATCAGTGGCCCGATCACACTGGCAACACCGAACATCGCTCCTAGGATTCCTTGGTAGACGGGTCTTTTCTCCAGCGGTACCATCTGGGTGACAATTAGAATAGCTCCTGAGTAGAGACCGGCGGCTCCTATGCCAGCCACGGCACGTCCGAGAATCAATCCGACTGAACTAGGGGCAACGCCACAGATCAGGGATCCGAGCTCGAAGATGAGCAACGCGGTTAGGTAGACCCATTTTGTGGAATAGAAGGTGTAGATCTTGCCGAATGCCAGAGTCAACGCGCAGGTGGTGAGCATGTACGCACTTCCGTACCAACCGACGTCGCCCAAGGAATTGAACTGTTCCGTTATCCTGGGGATGGCGGTTGTGATGATTGTGTTGTCCTGGTTACATATTAGCGTATGCCCTTATATAGAACACGATATCATGTTCTCTGTCCTCATCTCACGTACCAAAGATAAACACAAGACTGAAAGTCCCAGACCAGCTGTGACAGCAACAAGCCTCCATATATTTGGGGATTCATTTCCTGGGTTATTCCCCGCTGACCTTGGGTCGTACGTTTCCATCTCACTGTACTCTAGGCCATGTACTAGTTTCTGGTCGTCCTTCTCGAACTCGCGCGGGGCTGTGGGCGGGGAGCCATCCGGACAGGCCCTGATTTGTAGGCTTTCCTTATCTATCGAATGTGCTCTGCCGTTACCTGTTCCTTCAGCCAAGCTGGTCTCAGACGGTAGCCTAATGATGCCGGCATTTTTTGAGAAGCGTTTGAGATGAGTAGTATCTACCATCTTGGAGAATGGAGCACAGGCCGGGAGTTGTGAACAGCTTTGATCTGAGTCGCGGCCACTTCGAAGATCAGTTTACTAAGGAAGGGGGGCAGATAATATTAACAAAAATTCAAAAGATCAAGAGCACTCGGATTCTCGGGACATATGGAACTGTTCCACAACACGCAAACACGGAATCGAGTGCTACAACTAAGACATCAAACCAAGAAGTTGTTTAATTGACCGGCTGCAGTCACTGTATGCAGGAAGCATCAGGTGCAGTGGGTGCAGCATCGAGCATAAAAGTGGCAGAAGGGTTCCCAGCAAGGGATGGTAGATTACTTGGTCATTCATTCTTGGCCAACCACGTCCCCTGGATAGCGGCGACAGGGAATGTCCAAAGGAACTCAGGGTCATCTTTGCCCTACCATGCCTGTTCCGAATTGTCGTGTTGTCGTACCGCTTATGCCTGTTAACTCAGCAAAGGCCGTCGTCGGTGCCCGTGCGAAGTCTCTTCTGTGCGACAACGGATGAGGCGCCGTGTTTGTAGATGTTTCGTCAAACCAAGGGATAGAGTCCCGGATCAGGCGTCAGCCTACTGTCCCTGGTAGAGCCCCTAACTTAAGCAGATGAGTTCCTTCATCGAAGGAAAAGAGTTTATTTACCATCTGTAGCCTCTGCGACCTGCCGTCATGCATCGTATTTCTTTTCCTCTCAACGGCCCAGAATGAAAACGAACGGGCCCATGATAACGTGTCGGGGCTTTGTATTCCCGCGACTAATGGCATGTGGCATGCATTAGCCAGTTCCATGTGAATGCTCGGGTACCACACTATAACTTCCGAATCTTTATGCCGGGTACTTAAGAAGACGAGTTATGAAGCGATGGCCTTGCTGATCTGTGGCCATCACGGCATCTCTTGCATCCGAACCCGAAACACGTTCGATAATGATTGATCCTAAGGTTGATCGCGACCCTGGCAGCCCCTTGCATTGTAATTAAGGCTAGCGAATCTCTTTCGTCTAGAAAAGCAGTTAGCTTGGGCCCGACCCGAGGGCCATTCAGAAGATGCAAATCAAGCACCAGAAAAGAAAACTGAAGTCCAAGAAAATGTTTGATAAATTCCTGCCATCGGATATCTCATCGAGAAACTACTTGCAACGCCGGAAAACAAAACATGAAGATATTCATACACCTCAATTCCTCCCATGACACTGACAAACACCAGACCCATGCTCGAATGCCGCTCCCTACTGGTTTGATCTCATCGACCCTGTACCAGAGGTGTCTGACAACAAAATCCAATTCAAGAAAACAGAAAAACAAAAAAAATGATACCATGAGGTAGAAAGAAATGAAATCGTATCAGCGTATTTTTCGAATGGCTGGCCTTTATTTGGCCTTCTTCATGCGCGCCTCCTCCTTGCTGGCCACGAGGGCGATCAAGGCGGCTCCAACTCCACTGCCATCCTTGGAGATACCAATGCGCACCTTCTTATCGCCAGTAGAACCAACTTCCGGCACCTCGCGCAGGGCATCGCGCATGTATCCCTCGAAGTTGGGATAGAATTCGACCAGACTTCCGTCGACACCAACATCGATCAGATCATCCGTCTGCAGTTTGCCGGTGGCGATCAGGACGGCGGCCAGAGGCACGGCACTAAGGCGAGCAGCGCGCTTGCCAATGGCATGCACCAGGGTCTGAACGGCCTTGCAATCGGCTGTGCTGGCCCGTTCAATCTTCAAGTGGTCTTTCAGGGCGGTCTTGGTCGACTCCAAAGTCTGGCTCTTGTCGGCTTCGACCGTGCTCAGGAGGCTGGTATCGAGACCCCACTGCCTGAAGATCATGGAGTTCTCCGGAACAACAACGTCCGAGGACTCGCTGGCCTTGAAGAGACCCGCGGATTTGTTGTTGTACATGTCAAGCAGCGCACGTCGCAGGATCTCACCCAGGAACATTCCCGAGACACGCTTCTCGAACATCTGAATTCCGGGGTTGTTGCTATCGGCATCAAGCTGCTGGTCGTACACAGTGTTGGGCAAAACGCTGAGGTGGTTGTCAAAGCTGCCCCATTCGGCGTTGATGATCATCTCCCCCGTGGACTTGTCGTAATCGGAATGTTCAATCGTGTCCATCTTGGGGATTCTGTCGAGCTTCTCCACATAAGCACCGTTGGTGCCCGTGCCAAAGATGGCACCCAGGAAGGTACCTGTTTCACCGGGCGAGGTGTACGAACGAGCCATCAGCGTTCCCACAGTGTCGTTGACCAGGGCGGCCACGCGCACGGGCAGCTCCAGCTCGTCAATGGCACTTTGCAGCAAGGCGCAGACATCATGGCCAACGGCGTCGGGGATGTTGAAACCCTTCGTCCAGCGAATGAGGGTACCCTTGTTGATTCCCATTTGACGCACGGGGAAACTGAACGTGAAACCGAGATCGAACAGCTCCTCCTCGCCGCTTCCTTCGCGTCGACGTTGAAGGTGAGCTTCGAAGTGCTCGTTGTGGTGGATGCGCAGGAAGGCCTCGATCTGTCGGGCCAGGAAGAGGAAAAGATCCTTGGACGAGCCCGAGGCCATCAATTCCCGAGGAATCATGATCTTGGACTGCGTCAGGGAGAAGGTGGTGTCTCCATGGAGGTCGATTGAGCACACGCGGAAATTCGTGCCACCCAAATCCACGGCCAAGTAGAGGCCCTATAGGAAAAGCCAAGGTCAGCCCATCTGGTGTCACGCGGACAGTGCGTCTTTCAGCTAATGTCGGCCACTAACCTTTTCAGTGCCATTGGGGACCGAGGTCACGAAAGTAGGAATCTGACTGAGGGTGGTATGCTCCTGTCTGAGACCCTCGTCCATTTCGCGAATGTATTCCTTCACCCCGCGCTGGACCTCCGCGGCGGGGTAATCGAATTCGCGGGCAATCCGCGTGGCTTCGTCCAACAAGGCAGACGACATGATGAGAAGTGGAGACGTCGAAGGGATTTTGAAGGGGGATAGAGTGGTCAGGAGAAATAGTGAGAGAACAGGGAGTGGCGGGGGAAGAAGACGAAGGCGAGGGAGGGGTCGAGGGGTAGATATGGAGGAAAAGTGTGGAGGGGTAACAAGGAAGAGAAGGGATTGGACGTGGAAAACTGGCCAGAGTACGGAAGAAAAGAGAAAATTAAGGGAGAGAAAAAAAAACAAAATTAAATAATCAAAAATCTCACGCTGGGAGTGTCAACTAATTAAATAACAGAAACCGGCATGAAGAGAAAGTAGAAAGCGACGAAATGAAAGACTGGACGGAGGGGTCGATGAGGTCAGGCTGTGGACTCCGACAGACCAACGGGAAGTCCGGGTTCGCCGGAGAACGGGGATTTGGGGAATCCACGATTTTCTCCAGACGGCTTCGTCTCGCTCCTGTTTTCTCCGAGTCCTGTCAGGACACTTGGGTTTAGCGACGCTGGCTTAGCGGCAGCCTGCGGTTTCCATGACGCCATGAAACGCTTGTGGGGAGCCTCCGGTGAGAGACAATGGTTAGTTGGTTTACCATTGCATGGCAAAAGGCGGGCAGCGAAGCGAGTGGAAGGCTTGGATTGCGTTGCACGTCCCATTCGGATTGTCTTGTCTCGTCTTTTGTCTCAAGTCTGGTGTCTTGTGCTGCTGACAGGGTAGTACTGGAGGATTGATTGTGGTATAACTATCCCGTATTCGAATCTCGATGAAGAGCGGGGAATGTCCGTAGGTACATACGGAGTAGATTAACGAGGAGGAATTAGCATATTTAGAGTGCAGAACAATCAATGACCTTGTTGATCGACAATAACAGTATGATGTAGAATATCTAGACTATATTATTGTAGTCGGTGGACTCGGGAAATCCAGCCGATCTCTGATTTGATGCCTGAAAAGGTTGGCGGCGAACTCGCTAGTGCCTGAAGTACCAGGCAGACAGCACAGCACAGCACCACGGGACCAGTCTGGCTATAATCCATTCAACTGTTACAATGGACATTCAATAAGGATAAAATCCGAGGATTGTTTTCGAATTGGTATGCTGTTAATGTCCATCAATATGTAGTTCAGGTACTGGTATACTTGCCAGGCAAAAATATACATCCGCGACATAGGTGGTGGTCAATCCATACAGTGCAGCCAATCGACAACGAGCGAGCTGATGCAGTGAGGAACTGTAGATAATACCTTAAACTAAACGAATCCAACAGAAATATCTACCATGAAAGTGGCCGTCAAGAGAGAAAGAGGACTTCCCCTGGCATACATGGAGGGTGAGCAAACGGCGAAATGCTTGGCATTTTGCAACCTCAGGCATTCAACCCTTCCGCACTGATAGAGGATCTTTACAACCAAGCAAGCGAGGGAAGGAGATCATAGGAAGATAGATCCTAATTAGACACTATGGACAATGAAAAAATACTCATAAACATTACATCTTTCCTATAGACAATAAAACAGCTCAATAAAAGTTCCCATCCCATCTTTCAACCATGACTAAGCACGCTAATCACGTGACCCGTACCGGCGGAAGTCGGCAGGAACTCCAAGGCGAAGAAACGATATGCGAATCCATCTCTGACCGGAACTGGAGAATTGCCCGCGGGTCTAACCAACAACCACCTCATCCAACCCCGTCTCGCGCCCATCAATTGCGATCTCCCGAAGCCGGCTAATCCTCTCCGGCTGAGACCTTGAACGACCTCCGGGTGCTTCTTTCTTTTTTCCCTCGAACCACCGCACATATACCAGTTCATCATGGGCTCCGGTAGCTCCAAGCCCGAGGCGACGGCGGACTCGAAACATATCTTCCAGGGGTAGGTGCTGTTTTTGATTTATGGAAGGGGGAGGCTCGTTGGGTTGGATTGTGTTCCCTGTGGTGGATGAAGACATTGGGTGATTGAGTTATCGGTTGATGGCTGGGTTCATGTCGATGCTGGTTATGACCGATGGCTTTGGATGGATGCTTGATTCGACGTACATTGAAGCTACAGAACGCTAACACACTCTCCATATCTAGTACCGCACCTATCCAATTCTCCTCGAACGTCGTCGACTCCCTCCAGAACAACACCGAGGTACGTACACATACACATCTAAACTCTCCCCGAAAATCACCATCCCTTCTAATCACAAACGAAACAGACGGACTCCGCGCGCGCCAAATCCCTCGAACTGCAAATCCAAGCCCGCGTCTCCCAAGAACTTGAGCGCCTTCGCGAACGCGAACAACAAACCCTCGCCGAGATCGAAAAGCGCCTCTCCGAAGTCAAAGACACCGGATCTTCCTCCTCCGCTGGCCTGTCCCCCGCGACCCCCAACGTCAGCCACCCGCCCGGCTCCCTGAACCTGGACGCGCCTCGGATCCCGTTCGCCGGCCGCGAATATGCCCCCGTGCCGCCCGTGGCCGCGGACGAGGCGAAGCCGGTCAACCGGGATATTTCGCGGGAGTCGGTGAACGAGGAGATTGAGGAGTTGCGGGCGAGACTGGAGGGACGGAGGAAGTTGGTGGAGCTGGATTCGGGCGTTGAGAAGGCCAAGGCGGATGTGGTGAGCTGTTTGCGGTTGAATGATCGGAGGCCGTTGGATTGCTGGAAGGAGGTCGAGGGGTTCAAGAAGGAGGTTGCGAGGTTGGAGGAGGCGTTTGTGGATCGTGTGGTTGGTTGATTTCCATTTTTGTCTTCCTTCTATTCGATTCCGAGAACGATGAACTACCTACCTACCTACCTAGGTGGTCTGGTTCAAAGCCGTGCCTGTGGCTAGAAGACAAAAGGAAAAGCGATGGAGAAAGCGGATTGTGCTCCTAGATGATAGATTTTTCGGGTCCGATTCGCGTGTTTATGTGTATCTGTATAGCTTAGTACTTTTTTTCATTTCATTCATGTTTGATTTTGCCGCTCCTTGCTCTTCAAGATCCCACCGACTTTTTTTCTACCAAGACTTCACTAAGAACAACATCAAATCTATAACACTACGCACATGCATCTTTCATTATCTGCCAAGCAATGACCTGCTAAGCATCTAAACAGAAATTCTATACGGAGGGTATCTTTTCATCACATCCCACATAATCACATCCACGTCCATTCAAACTAAACAAGATCCCAATACCCCAATCTCCCCACCAACTCCCCAGCCGGGCGAATTATACACATATTCTGCTCCCTGGCCTTCCCTTTCTTCTGCTGAGCTAGATTCTGACCCACGACCTTCGACACAAGGATAGACCCAATGCCCGTTCCTTTCCCCTCCGAGAGATTATAGTTTCCCGTCGTCACGAAACCAATAAGGTCTTCTTCTGCTGGGAGGGGGAGATGTGTTTGTTGGGCCTCTGTGTCGGCGGAAGGCGTGATTAGGGATGCGGCGAGGTGTAATTGAGCGAGATCTTTGCTGCCGGGGAGGCCTTTTTGTGCTGATGCTGACGGGGCAGCAGGTTTGGGAGCTGTGGTGTTGGGCTTGTTGGATGCTAGGGAGAGCCATTTTTGGCGAAGGTCGGGATTGGTGCTGGGGAGGCGGTAAATACGGGCTCGCGGGGTAGGCGTGCCTCGGTGGTGAAGGGAGATCCGGACAGTTGCGAGCTCAGGGTTGCTGCGAGGGTTGGGTTTAGGATTGTTGGCGTTGACTGCACGCGTAGCCGCTGTGGGATGTAGGTGGCGGATACCAAGTGGTGGAGTCTGAGGAGCTTCGGCTTCGGCTTCAGATGTCGTAGTAGTAGTGTTAATTGCATCCGGTTTAGCTTCGGTTTTATCTTTGGCCTTAAGCTTGGCCGATTTCCCCTTGGCAGCTTTGGCGACAGGGCTGGGAAGGGTGTCCACAAGCTTCTCCCAGTCACAGGCCCATCCTCGTCCGATTTCTCCCTTTTGACCATTCCCGAGATCGATGCTCTCAAACTCTGTTCTCCGGCCCTTTGGTCGTCGCTCCCATTCCTCCTTGGCCTTGGCTTGCTCACGCAAATTCCATTCCCAGCCGGCTTTGGTCCCGGGGAAATCACCCGGAAACCAAGGCTCTCCGGCCTCGAAAGCAAGCTGTTGCTGTTCCTTCAGTCCACCAAATCTCGGGTTCCCGCCGCTGGAGAGAGGGTAGTACATTAAGGAATACCACACCGGGAGGACACAACTCCATGGAAGAAAGACGGTCCAGCTGCCTGGGGCATTGCTGTTCTTGGACTGCGAGCCGGGTCTAGTTGCAAGGACAAGGACTGGGATTTTTGGATCCGTGGAAAGAGGCTTCGGGTACTTCCCGGGTCCATTCACGGTGCGGCGTCGGTTGATGGCCTTTTGGCTGGGTAGTTTGCGCGTAGCAGCTAGTCGTGCGCGACGATCGAAAATGGCTGGGGAGGATTGGGTTCCGTCAACAGGCCACGTTGATAACAAGATGGCCAGGTTTTGCATGTCGGCGTCAGAGGAGGGAGGCTTCGTTGATTTGGGCGGGAAATGAAGACGAGGGTCGGATGTAGAGAAGCCAAGAAGCGAGTTCTGAGGCAGAGAGGACGGGTTAGACACCCCCAACAACTTACCCCAGGTAGACTCTGGGCTGTTCGCCGGTGCTTCTGTTCCTTCGGCCGTCAAGGGTTTCAAAGCAGCGATGAGCGCTTCCGTAGAGCCCGGGCCAGTGATTTCAATGCTGCCAATCTCGAAGCGAAGATCTTCAACCAGGACAGGTGGGTTCTGGTGTTTCGACACCTCAAGGAGCTCGTTCCATAATTGCAAGAAGGCAGACGGATGCACCCTGACAAAGATCTTCTTCCAGTTTCCCTTCTGCTTGTTCTTGCCTTTGGTCTCCTTCGTGTGCGCATCGGCATCCACCATCTCCACATCCTCAGATTTATCCTCAGCACATCGAATCAAAGTGACCGGCGCAATCGGTCTCTTCTCACCCTGATGTTCGAAAGTCCAAGCCTGTAGACCTCTCGTCCCAGCTCTCCACTTCTTTCCCTTCACCCCCCAAGCCTCCTCTCCATCCACCCCAACAGCCCTCAACACACCTTCCAACGCCGACTCCGACCCCTCCAGCTGAATCGTAGCCATATAACTCATATCCCACGCCACGGCGCCCCTGGCACCCCTCGCCCTATGCGTCGGCCTATAACTCTTCTCCGTCGGCGACAGCGGCACCGCAAACCGCCACAGCGGATCCTTCGACGTCGTCATCTTTGCGCGCTTCGCATGGAACATGTGCGTGGGTAACCAGGTCTTGCACCTTTGACGTTTCTTGAACTTCGACTCCGGCGGCGCTGGACGCGAGAGCTTATTCTTCTTGATCTTCGGGACCCTCGGCGCGATGCTGTACGCATGAGATCCGGCCTCCTCTAACGATTTGCGCGTCTCCTGGTCACGTTCCGCTTTCGCGGCTGCTCGCTTGGCCTTCGTTTTGGTATTCAGGTTCTGTAGACGGCGCGCGGTCTCGAGACGGATTCGCATCTGCTCGGTCGGTTTTCTTCGTCGTGCTGTAACGGTGGGGGTATTGTCTTCAGCCATCTAACAAGCCCCAAAGCAAAAGAGTTAGCAGCTAGTCCTAGCAGAACACCACAGCAGTAACAAATAAGAAAAAGAGAAACAAACCTCCCTCTTCGCCCTAGCCCTCAACCTCCCCGGAACCCTTTTCACATTGTGACTCGCCGTCCTCCGTCTCATGGACCTGGGCACCTGCTGAAACGCCCGACTCGTCAAGGCAGCCTTCGAGCGCTGCATGCCCGTCTCCAGGGACTGGATCTCGAATTCCCGGGAGCCCACGTACGCGGCGGCATCGAGCTCGCCGGAGGCCGAGAGCGCCGCGTCGGCGGACTGCACGGCCAGGGTGCGCGCATCGAAGGTTTTGGCGCGCTTGCGGGCGGCCGCGGAGCCGGTGTTTTTGGGGTTGAGGGCCGGGCGTTTGGATGGTGGGTTGAGGGCCATGGTTGGCTTTTTCATGCCCCGGGGGGAAGAAGGGGATGAGGATGGAGGAGGCGAGGGTGGAGGTGAGATCAAGAGAAGAGAAGAAAAGAAACGTGAAAAGAAATCAAGAAGGGCAAAGAAGAAAGTTAAGCTTTGAGCTCTATCCAGCTAAAATTGGCTGATATCGAAATCGACGGTGGTCGGTCGGGTCTGGAATCAATTTTTGATTAGCGCGTTGAATGCTTTCTTTCCCGGCCGAAAGCCACACAGACGATCATGCAGCCACCAATAATGAGGGAATAACGCTTAGAATCAACGTAGATCTTCTGAAGAAACCGGGGTAAAAAATATTTTTGAAGCTAGTCTGTGCTACTGAAGGATTTTTAATTAGGAGAGTTTATGTTATGCTAGAACGCTGACATCATCGTACGTCTACACACTGAAGAGATAAAAATGGGTTGCTTTTTCATAGCTTCGTTATTGCGTTGTATTCTAAAGGGGAGTCTAGCTCTCTAAACAAATCTTTGTTTCGCAGGTCAATTAAGCCCATGGAATATCAACGCCGGTTCTATTAGGCCCATGCCACGTCTATTGCGTTTCTCATTGGTGCATTTACAGGTTCTTGATGACGGTCTCGGCGCTCGAGAACTAGAGATAAAGTCAGTGATTGCTCTTCGGCCAACAGAATACATATTCATGTTCATGTTCATGTTCAACATACCTCAAGGTGGTTCTTGGCGGGCTCGAGAGCGGCGTAGGTGACCTTGCCGTGGTCAAGGACGATGGCGTAACGCTTGGTGCGGCCCTCCTCGTCGGCCCAGCCAATGCTCTTGGAGAACTTGGCATCGGGGTCAGACAGGAACAGCTGGGAGAGGTTAGCAAATCTGGACTGGCAGACGAGGGCTCATCAGAGCTGGAAGTAACTTACGATGTCGTCGTTCTTGACACCGTTGGCCTTGCCCCAGGCGCTCATGACGTAGGCATCGTTGTAGGCAAGGACGGCGACAACGTCGACACCCTTCTCGCGGATCTCGGGGAGACGCTCCTGGTACTCGGGGACGTGGCGAGCAGAGCAGACGGGGGTGAAAGCACCGGGGAGGGCGAAGAGGATGACCTTCTTGTCGGCCCACTCCTTGGAGGCGTTGTAGTTGATGGGGATACCGCAAGAGGTGATGCCCTCAGCCTCGGGGGTGTAGGGGATGTAACTGCAAGAGTCCACGTCAGTAGGAAGATCTCCAGAAGAATTGGATCTCGCCAGGCCAGGCTTGATGGGAAAGAAAGGAAAGTAAAGAGAGAGGGAACATACGAGAACTTAACGTCAGCGGGGAAGCTGTCACCGGCCTTGAGTCCAGACATTTTGATGGATTGATTGGGGTGGAAGGTAGAGTGGTGTTTGAAGTAATGAGTAGGAAGAGATTGGATGATTAGCAGCAAAGATGGGAAAGGGTGGGTAGGTTATATAGGTTTAGTAGAGTGGGTAAGGGGAGCGAGGAAAACGAGGGAGAGGGGCGCATGTGGCGGGAAATATAACTACGGTTCCAGTCGGCTTAGACGCGCAGCAACGGGCCGCAGGAAAGGGCCCTGGGGGGCATAAGGTGATCCGAAGCAGAAGGATACCGAAACCTTTCGATTTGCTTGGGTGAATCATTCGTGTATTATCAAGAAGACCGCCCGAGACTTGGGAGGGACCCCACCAGTCATCGTCCACGGTTATCTATCTAGACCGCCCGCCTTGACAAATCGGTTTGTCTTCCTTTTTTTTTTTTTTTTTTTTTCTTTTTTTTTTCTGTCTCTGGTCAGTAAGTCAGGAGAATGGCGGTCTGAGATCCATTTGGCCTTTCTTTGTAATATCCAAACAGACTCAAGAGGGAGGAATTGGGTCCCCCACCTCTCAATCCTCATCCACGGATTCAAGGCTCATCCTTCACTCTTCTCCCGACTCCCACCGACCAGCTGGTTGCCGCCCCAATGACGAGGGGTGTGGACCGAATATGCCAATATCGGACCAATTGCATCCCCGTGCAATCGCCGTTTGGAACAGAAGGCATCCACCGATTTCCTCTTATCTAATAATTCTGCCATCGGGCGATAGAGTGGTGAATTGGCGGTTTGGATGCTTCCCTGCTGCCAAGGGCGCCTTGACCGGGTTGATTGGCCATTCAGAGCAATACAGCCGGGTAGAAAGTGAATGCAGCGCTCATCCGATATTCAAGCTCCGTCAATCTGCTGGGTTGCATGAGGTGAGGACCGGGGTGGTCATGGCAATCGGTGTCTGTCGGAAAAAGAAACTCGGCCTGGTGGTGGGCCTTACCGCCTTCTGCTTCTGTATTACACGTGACTACGCGCCGAGGTTTACCGTCTTTGGCCATTTCTGGTTCCTCCTTTTCTTGACTTTCTCGACTCCTGCGATGAATAATTGAGATACTCCGTAACCCTTGCCACTTGCAGCTAGCCGGTACATCGGGTCTTGGATGCCGAGCAGACTACCGATGGGCCTCCAGTAATCAGATAAGATCAGTTCATGGTTATTCATCATCACGGGCTGGGTCCTGCTGGGAGTGGCAAGTCATGGTGAGAGCCTTGGGGTTAGTTACTCCACTACGATTACGGAGCATTGGGGTTCTAGAAGGGGGTTCTACCTTCTCCCCGGGGTTCCCTCAGGGGTATCTGTGGCGTCCGTTGTGCGTCTGGAATTAATCAAGCAGTTGGTTCCAGACACCGACCGACAGGGCTGGCTTTAATGAGAGTTTAACAATGAGCATACAGTCATACACAGAAGAGGCGGGGATCGAAGGATGACATCACTGTCCGCTTGGGCCATCTACTACGTATGTACCTGGGATGCTTCTTTCTAGGTTCTCTTGGGCACAAAGCTTAACTACACACTGTAATTTGTCTAGGAGTTGGTGGTGTATCTGGTTGGCACCTGTGTGATTGATTGATATTTCTGTGCTAGTATGCCTGTTCGACTGCCTTAGTCGAAGCTGTAGATGCCTCATAGTCACCGATCTAGCCCCCAAATCTAGCCTAAACACGTGACAATGCATATATGACACAAGAGTCATACGCATGTGCTACTTCAAAAAGACAGGAAGATCACACCGTCGATCAACATACCGTTGTCGTCGAAGAGAATTTGAGAAAGTCTCAGTTAACATGGCCGACCTCAAACCCCCATTTACCGAGGAGACGGCGAGGAAGAAGGTCAAAGTTGCGCAGAACCTGTGGAATACCCAGTAAGTGGGAAGAGCGGGGATGTTGGATGTTTCTACCTTTCTTGTCTTCCACCTCTCGCTCTCTCAATAATACCAACACGCCCGACTATCAATTCCCGCTCGGGTAGATGTTGGTATGAGGGGATCGAAGATGCGCGGAAGCATGAATGTTTCATCCCTTGCGTGCCATTACCTCATACCTTCCCAGACCAAGTCCTCCCATTTAAGATTTCTCTTCGATATTCCAGCCGACGGCCCATTTGAAACCAAATGATCCGTCGCTTGCAATGTTCATGTTCATGCTGACCACATTCCCTGAAAAGAGATCCCGTCCGGGTGGCCCAGGCTTATACTGCGGATTGCATCTGGCGCAATCGCACCTCGTTCTTCTCCGGCACGGAAGGAATCGTCTCCTTTCTGACGGCCAAATGGAACCGCGAGCACAACTACAAGCTTCGCAAAGAGCTCTTCTCTTTCACCGATGACCGCATCGCGGTGCAATTCTGGTACGAGTTCCAGGACAAGGAAGACGGGCTGCGGTGGAAGCGGTGCTACGGACTGGAAGATTGGACTTTTGATCGGGAAACTGGAAAGATGCGTAAGAGGATGATGAGTGGTAATGATATGCTGCTTGGGCCTGATGGAAATGGAGAAGGAAGGTGGTTTGTGGATGGGGTTGATGTTGAGGACGTGAAGATCGGAGAGGAGCATTGGTAAAGGGACTGCCAAGATAGGTATCGGTTGTCTTTTTTGAAAATTGTTTTGTTCCGCGTAATTCAGGTGCCAAGAGAGTTTGAAGCCATGCCCACGTTGTCGAACTGCACGTTGTCCTTGCACGGTGCCGTCTGCATGTTGTTGGTAGGTAGAGCCTTACTTCCTATGCTGCACGATCTAACCGGAATCCCTTGCCCTCAATATCCGGATGAAACCAGAGTTTAGCTCGCCATCATAATTTGAAAAGTTGAAGGCGAATGACGGCGTAAGAATGCATCGGGCGTGAAACTGACCGACTCGTATCCGCGCGATGACCCTCCCTAGATTCGGGATGCTGAGCATATCCATCCCTCTTTTCCGAACTCTATACCGCCTTCCAACTATGAAGGGTCAAATGGCTGGACCGGAAATTCTGGGAGTCTGTTAATGAGTGGATCTTTCTTTTGTTTGGGTAATGCTTGATAAGGTCTCCCTTTCTTCAGGAAAGGGAGGAAGGAATGCCTCGACTTCAGCGACTCGGTTGACTTCAATTCTCGACGAAACTGAAAGATCGTTGACTGACAATGACAGAACGCTAGAAAGCGGTCTTTGGAAATTGTCAAGTAGGGTTTCAATTGAAGGGGACTGGCTCCTGTATAGTAACATCAGTGTTGCTGATACGTATGCTTCAAGCCACTGACCGCTAACGATAAAGTAAATTCAAGGAGTCGCAGATACTTGGGAAATCCTCTGAAGTAATTGACAAAGGTCATTGCAACGTCGAGGGGAAGCGGATCAGGGACGAGGAATTCCTGGTGAGAGAAGAAGGTGGTGACCGGGGAGACCTGAGGAATCCAGACGAAACAAACAACCAAACACTCATTCCACAGGAGGCGACCTCACAATGGCATGTCCACGTCCTCGTTAGTCTGCCAGCCCAGCTAGCGCGGACCATCGAAGACGTGTTTTGGAAGCATGCTCCCCAGAGATCAGCCTCGCCATCCAAGATTATCTGCTTGGACGCCTCCTTGTCGACCACCCAACGCTCGAATCATCACCACCCCGGATTTGTCGACATTGATTCCCCACGCTAGCCACTCAGTCGCCATTGCGGTTCTTTACGGGGGAGATTCTACTAATCTAGATTGAAGAAGACAATACAGGGTTGATACTTTCGTTTACGCGTCGGAAACAGCATCTATCTAATACTGTCCTTACGGTGCAAAGCTTCGTCATCCAGAACCAATCACGATCCTTACACTTCTCCGTTTCCTCGATTAATTTGAATCGGTAAATACCAACACCCAAACATTACTATCGACACACAGCCTTGAGGTTGTGGGAACTGACACGCCATTTTCACGAAGTAGTACTGAACACCCCAAGATCCCGACACCCAAACAGAGACATATGGTGCTGTGCGACAACAAACGCCTGTGACGCGCTAGTCTGGGGTTACCTGGCAATGGACGAGAAGACAAATCGTCTCAGCCTGCAGATAACACGCCCACCTCTGACAGATGCCACGCGCAGAATAAACAACGGCGCAACCATCCGGGCTGAGCCAGAGGAACGAACAGTAGAGGAAGCCTACCAGGAAATACTGTCCGACCCAATGTCTATCGTGACCAGTCCATTGTCGACCAAAGGCCATGTGGAAATCAATTGCATGTCACCGGGAGCGAATTCCCAGGCCGGCTCGAACCGCAACTCGACCCTCTCCGCTCACTCTCTACTTTCGAACAAGGGGAAACGAAAGACTCATGTCGGACCGTGGCAGCTGGGAAGAACCCTAGGAAGGGGGTCCACGGGTCGTGTCAGGCTGGCAAAACATGCTCTCACGGGACAGACGGCTGCGATTAAGATCGTCTCGAAGAAGTCGGCGGCTATAGCCCAGAGTGAAAGTATTGCGGCCATGGACAAGAATATCGGTCATTTCAGCGGTGCAACTGCCAGACCTATGCCTTCTGGAATCGAACGAGAAGTGGTTATCATGAAGCTCATTGAACATCCAAACGTCATCAGTCTATACGATGTATGGGAGAACAGGGGTGAACTGTGGGTAGCATGCGATCATGGAGCACTTGAAGAGTACTGACCTTTGGTATATAGGTATCTTGTTCTCGAATATGTCGAAGGAGGAGAGTTGTTCGATTACGTATCGAACCATGGCCCACTTGCAGAGGAGGAAGCCGTTCGAATCTTCAGGCAGATTATCGCGGGCCTTGGACATTGTCATCGGTTCCATATCTGTCACCGCGACTTGAAACCAGAAAACATATTATTAGACTCGTGGCGCAACGTGAAGCTTGCTGATTTCGGCATGGCTGCACTACAACCTGCCGGGCACTGGCTGAACACATCCTGTGGAAGCCCACACTACGCTGCGCCTGAGATCATCTACGGCCGGAGGTACCGTGGTGACAAGGCAGATATATGGAGCTGTGGCATCATCCTGTACGCACTCTTGACGGGATATCTTCCATTTGACGGGGGTGATCTTCCTACAACTTTGCGATTGGTAAAGAAGGCGGAGTTTATGATTCCTCGGGAGCTCAGCTATGAGGCGACGGATTTAATCGAGCGTATTCTTCAAAAGAAGCCCGAGGATCGAATCAACATGGAACAGATCTTCATGCATCCCCTCTTGAAAAAGTACGAGAAGTTCCACCAAGCAAGATCCAACCACTACCTTGGTCCTGCGCCGCCAATATCCATACACGATTGCGGCCCACCCGTGCTTGCGAGACAGGACATTGATGTGGATCTTTTGAGGAATTTGCAAACACTTTGGCACGATGTCAAGCCTGATGTTTTGATCCAGAGACTCCTTGAAACTGAGTAGGTTTAACCGGTTATCAATCAAGAATTCCATTCGCTGACATGAATCACCAGGCCAACACAGGAACGCATGTTCTACAACGCCTTGGTCAAATTCAGAAATGAGCAGCTCGAGAACTACCAAGGACAGCCCCTCGAGTATTCTGCCAGTGACTACCACCACATCTCACGCGGACCGGCCCGCATCGCCAACAAACGAACAGGTTCTCGGAAGCGGAACCAAGTTCCAGCCAGGGATAAGATCCATAGTCCTCTCAGAGAGCCCAAATCCTGTGCCACGGTCGAAAGTTACGACCCGTTCCGATCCCCCAAGAATCGGATGACGGACAGAGAGGCGCAATTCGCTAAAGTTACGATTCATCGCAGGATCCCGGAAGAAGTCCAGAAAGAGGCATCAGAAGAAGTCGTCCAGGTGCCAAACTCTGTTCCGGACAGCGATCCTGGATTTGAGGACTGTCCTCCCAGCTCGCCTTTCGCGGTAGTGCGGAACAAGAAATCGAAATTCAATTCTGTCAAGTCGTTCCAATCCAAAGCGTCATGTGGCAGCTCTCGTCGACCCTTGAATGGCACCCCAACACCCCGCTCGGCCAGCTACAAAAGGAATGTATGCTTTCGTCATGGTCGCTATCGTTCACAGGGGTCAGTGTCTGCTAAAGCAAGTTCTACGCAAGTGGATGTCCCGGATGTGCCGCCTATAAAGAAAGTGAACAGCGATAGCACCTTTGAATATGAAGATGATGGCGACCCTTTCTCCGACAGATTTAGCAGCCCTGTGTTACCCGCCCAGCCGACGGTTGTTCGAGGCAGTGGTATCACCGTCAAACACTGTTCGCAGATGAGAAAGGTGCGGGAGTCGGACTTTATTTGGAAAGATGAAGCCAGGAAAGTCTCCCACGAGCTCGGTCAGATCTGCGAGGAAGCCTTCAACGGTGGCTCTGTCTCCACAGGCTGTACAGCGAGTACAAGCACAGACTCAGAAACACCGGCAACGTCAGTCTCAATGGCTACCCCGGAGGATTCATATCGCCATATCCCCGCAGCACGACCGAAGAGAAAGTCCGGTTCTTCGACCCCGGGTGCATCGCCAAGGTCATATACTGCAGCTGAATTGGCCGAGACTCGCCGCAAATTGATCGCACACTCCACGCAAGATGGTTCCCAAGACATTCCCGCATATCTTACAACAGTGATCAGCCATCTCGACCGCTTGATCGAACAAGACAAAATCAGACATGCTCCGAAAAGAAGTGCCTCCGAGGAAAACGCTCGTGCATCGCAATCAGGCCCATTTCTCAAAACATCTCACGAACCCTCGTCTCTGCCAATGATTTCCGAGGAAGCGAATCATAAACATTCCAACAAACCAAATGCCATTGAAAATGAAGACGACACGATCCCGTCGGGCTCCCGGCCTGGTAGTCGTCCCACCAGCAGTGTCACATCCGGCCGAAGGACAATCCGCATGGTCCCTCAGAGTTCTCTACCTTCGATGGACAACTCCAGGCCTCTGGACGTACGAAAACGCTACCGGAACCGCGAATCCACGCCTCGTGACACTCAGCCTCAGCCATTGACCGAAGATTATGAAGCACTTCCAGAGATTGAAAGTGCCACAACCACTAGGTACGCATCGACCAGCTCCCGTACAGGTCGGAACCCATCTGAGCTCGCCCCCATTGCGGAAATCCCACCAAAGTCACCTAGACGCGGTGCTCCTCGTGGCCCTGAGACGAAGAAATGGTCATGGTTCCGCAATCGATCTCAGACCAGCACCGAGACGGCAAGGTTACAAAGTGAGATCAAGCCACTACAACCCAGCTCTGCTACGGTAGTGATACAGGAGGTCAACCAACCCGAACAACATACACCGGCAGAAGTGGAAGGACCACCGAAAGCCCAGGAGCAAACACCAACGAAACAAAAAGGCGGTTTCTTAAGGAAACTGATGAAACGGAAGCCGAGCAAGACAGTTGATTCTTCAACAACAGGTTAGTTATCCCTCCAAGTTCCGGCTATCCATCAACTAACCTAGATCATAGAAAACCCGCCAGGTGCAGGAGAAGAGACCGGAGAAAACAATCTTCTATTGGCCCAACTCAGCGGAGGCGAGATCTCGTTCGAAACTGATAACAATCAGAAGCCCCTTCCGCGGAGACCCAGACCTGCAAGGAGCCAGAACTGGTTCGCACGCGTCTTCCAATTCAAACCCGCCACCCGAGTCATCGCCTTGAATACCTCGAAGATCAAAGGCCGGAAAGAAGTTTACAAGATCCTCCGGGAATGGGAATGGAAACAGTACGGTCTGGTCGACGTATCCATGGACAAATCCAACAACGTTATCCACGGCCGCGTTGATGAAGTTAACCGTAAGCTGCCTCCTCGATTCACGATTCACTTAATGGCCCTTCCACTCACTATCTTCTTCTCTAGTCCTCCGTCTTCGCCCCGTCAAGTTCTCCGCAGAGTTCTACACCGTCCTAGAGCACGGCCGACAAGCAAACCTAAGCCTCGTCCGCTTCAGACAAGAGCGCGGAGCCGCTTCGTCATTCCAGAAGGTCGTTGACACTCTGCATCTAGTGATGAAACAGCGCGGCATCCTAGTCGAAGACCCAACTCGTGCTAAAAAGATGACTCGAATTCTGGACGCGTTTCCAGACTCTTAGTAATCAATCATCTTCCTGTCTTCCTGATCTACTTTTGTTCCTCCTTTTTGTCCTCTCGATCAAACCCCAGATGCATACCATTTTGGAGCGTACTTGCTCGGTTTTGTTGATCTCTTGACTCACGTTTTTGCATTTCCATTCATCTTTCTGTTTCCGTAGCATTCCAAGCCAGAATTTTATTTTGCTCTTCAATCATTGCTTCGCGTTTGTTGTTTTCTCGGCTCGTCGTTATCAAGCATCCTCCCTGTCTGGTCTGGTCTGGTCCAGTCCTGTCTTGTCTTGTCTTGTCTTATACTGCCTCTAGTTCCTATTGTCCTAGACCAGACAAAACTAGACATTATAAGAGCCTTTCTTCCTTCAGCTTCTTTCTCAATTTTTAAGTCTCCCGTCTCTTCGTTGCCTCCCTTCTCTCTTTTTCTCACCTCCGCGCAACACATCGCAAATCCAACAACCAAGAAACAAACAAACAAGAAAGAGACGGAAATAACCGTTTACTTCCAGGATCCATCGGATCAATAGAATTGGCGTTGAAATCATCATCTCCAATAAGACTGGATTAGTTGGTTGGTTGGTTGTTGGTCTTCGTCTACGAAGAGAAAAAAAAATCCATACATGGTTAAGCGTATGTAGTTAATTACTTCCATCAATCAATTACATTCCGATTCATCCCATGAATCCATTCCATTTATCCAAGTAAGCGACAGACAGTCTAGTCTAGTCTAACTTCTCCATCAGTGATTAATTGTACGGTATAGTCCAATTCATTCCCTAATTCTATCTGTCGGCCTACGTTGATTCTCTACAGTACTCCGTACACCCCCGAATCATCATTTCCAGCCAATTCCTCATTCCAAGTACACACAAATCTATACAGAACAATTAGCATTAGTTGGTTTGGACTTTGGACTAACCTAACCAAATAAAAGTACTGTAGTAGGGAGGTAGGTAGGGAGGTATGTATGTACTGTATCTAATTATCCACATGCTATCAGTTAATTCCAACTACACAAGAAACTAATTCATGGGGCTCGAAACCAACTCAACACAACACAACCCTATTCTGTCCTATCCTATCCTAACCTAACCTACTCTATCAACTGAATGTCATCATAACTCTTATCACTACAGATTAGATCAAGCCTCAATGACCAAGCACAATGCATGTATCTATAGTAAAGCAACCTATTCATTAAACAACGAAGCGGTAGCTTATCAACTATACTATACTTTACTATGGAACAAGGCAAAAAGGCATGCAAATGCAAGGTAGACGAAACTACTGATGGAAAATAGAGCAAGAGACGGATAGAATAATGAAGTCAGCTTAATTGCAGATCATAACGCGATGTGACGATAAAAACAAAAAATTGATCAGACAGCCTCCCAGGTACTAAATAGCAAAAAGTGAAGATATAAGTAAGCGAGCAACAGATGTAAGGAAGTAGTTGAACGGCAAAGATAGAAAATTCCTCCCTTTTTTTGAACGGCAAAGATACCACCCGATGATAAGCAAGTGCAAATGAACCCGATCCAAGAAACAAAAACAGAACCTAAGTAGACTTGAACGCAGAACAGAGAGCCTCCCGAAATGTATTCGCACAGTCGAAGAAATAACCGATATAGCCGCCGCCAATTGAACAAAAAGCCTCGCAGAAGAGACCTCGAAGGGAAAAAGGTAAACAGAAATGAGAAAATTAAAAGAGGAAATGCGACAAATTCCACCCCGTGATGACTGACATAGAAGGCACGCGCATCAAATGCGTAAATCTCATCTGGCGTCAACGGATCTGTACCAAAGCATCACACGTTGAACTCGACAGAAATTCGCAGTGACCAGGTAGACAAGCGTTTCGAATTCTGTCGATATGTCTACCTGCTTGAACCTGTAAAGTTCAAAGCCGCGATGCAGATAGACCCATCTCAACACCGCAACCAAAAGATCTATCGGGTCCGAGAAACAAGTTCAAAGGATCTTGGTCGTTGGAAGGCCCGAACAAGCAAGGACATTGTCAAATCCGATGCGCACATGGTAACAGAACGAAGGCAAACAAAAAGAAAAATTCAATTAGTGGGTTGCCCCAGATATTTTATAAAGCCGTGATGTAAAGCTCGAAAAGGGAAGGTCTCTAGAGAGAATGTAAGAGTTGCAGCAATCATTGGCTTTCGAACTCAGACTGGCTGTTACCACGAATCGGACAACTCGCATTCTGACATTAGATGATTCAACGTTCAGATCATGCAGCTCATAACACTCTTGCTTCTCGTTTCCATGACATCATATCGGTCGACATGGCGCCTTGTCCGTGATTATTTTTCTTCAGTTTTTGTTCTTTTCCAGCATGAGATTTGTGGCATCCAGGTGAATATCGTTTTCAGTCGATCATCAGAAAATCCCGAAGAAGCGTGCAGTCGGTCTTTCGTCTTTTGGGTTTTCGCATCATCGCCCGTAACTCATGTTTTGATGTTCCTGAAATCATTGCGCGACCTTCCTTCGATTCTTTTTTTTTTTGTTTTGTTTTCTTTCTTCATTCCCTTCAGAGTTCTCGCAAGAACAAACAACATCGTTCTGTGCTTTGGATGACACACAACGATGTTTAGAACGTCCGGGAGTGTGGCCAGCACACATTGCCTTCCACCGTCAATCAACCACGGAATAAAAACCGACATTGTTCTTTCTCGTTCCCCAATTTCTGGTATCTTTCCCCTCAGAAACCGCCCCTCCAAGGATAATCCAGACCGGATTTTGAAAGGTTGCAACAGTTATTTATTCATGCCCCGTCGGTTTAACGCATTGAGCATATCATTGTCTGCATCGGAACGGCCGTGGTCGCCCGGGTTAAGCATGTCGCGAACGTTAAGTCCTCCACGCGAGCTGCCCGGGGTAGAGGTAGGACCAGGTGGAGGAGTGCCTTGAACCGGATTAGGGCCCTGGGGAGTGCCTTGGACGGGGTGGGTGCCCTGGGGGAGGGTCATGGGAGGGTACGGGGAACCGTGGGGGGAAGACGAATGACGTCCATCATACGGATACGCGGATTGGGGCGAGGGACGACGATCGGTTGGCGGCGGAGGATAGTAGGGACTTGGAGCGGTATGGGCCGAGTATCCGGGATTGGACGTAACGGGGGTGACCGGAGCTAGGTTGGTGGGGTCTGGGTATTCGAATCCAGAGCCGGAACCACGACGACCAATGGGTCTCTGATAAGAGAAGGTAAGCGACAATTTATTTGGAGTCATTCGGTAGGGAACTCGCTACTTACGTGATCTTGGGACCCGGGGGCAAGGGGTTGAGGTGCACCGCCATACGGATGTTGATACATGGATTGCGGTGGTGGGAGGGCACCATCGGGACCTGCTTGTGGCTGTTGTTGAGGCGGTAGAGGCTGACCGTGAGCACCGTAGAGCATTACAGGAGCCGAGCGCCCTTGGTTCTGACCGTTTCTCAAGTAGGGATACGCGGCGTGTGCCGGGACAAATGCCTGTGCTTGCGAGGAGACGGGCGTGAACATGCACTCTTGATTGAACCGGGTGCAGTTGCTGCAGCGTCCGTCTTGAGAGCTTTCGAAACCCGAGCATCGAATCTACCAATCCCAGAAACCGTCAGTTTATTTAGTCCCGCCGTATAGTATCTCCCTATATCCAATACAGGCAACGTACCTTCCGTCTTCTGCAGTAACGACAGGCGATAGCCGTCCGCTGTCGAGGAGCGGCGGCCTGGTAGACAACTTGAGTGGCGGGTTGGCCGTAAACGTCGACGGGGCGATAAGCACCAGGCGGCGGCGGAAGACGGTAGGGATCTTGGGGGCCCTGAACATGCGGGTGCATGGCAGCCATGTTTGTCGAAGGCGGATACTGCGCTTGGGGGGGAGGGTATTCTGCGGTCGGGGGAGGATACGACGCCGGAGGGTACTGAAAAGTATGATATTACCGAGTCAGTACAACGTCAAAGACAGGTAAGAACAGTTGAAGACACAATGGGGCACTGATGATTGACAATGGCCATGCATAGAGGGGAGTGAAATGGTTCGCGGCATCAACATGACATCGGCGTCTGGTAGACAAGGCAGCAAGGAAAAGGAACCAAGAAAGACATACAGGGTACTGAGAAGCAGGCGGATAGTGATTCGCAGGGTTCTCCTCGGGCTGACTAGTATTCCATGGAGGAGGATACTGGCCTTGTCGACTGGGATCGTTGGGGTCGTTACCCTGCCGGCTCGGGTCGTTGTAATCGTTGCCCTGCCGGGTAGGGTCGTTGAAGTCGTGGGGGTTGTTGGACATTTGTAGGCGAGAGAGAGCGACAGAGGCTGCTTACGGGGGGGGGGGGGGCAAAGAAAGCACGGATGCAGGATGATGTGAGTTAAGAGTCACGTCCCGCGGGTCGACGGCCAAGGAGCAGGAGCAGGAGCAGGGGTGTGTCCGCGTATGTATAGATGATAAAATTCAAGGTACGCCCCGTTCGGGAGGGGGGAGGGGGCGTAAGTATGGGGGTGTATGAGCGGGTTTGGTTGGGTGAAAATGGCTGGATGGGATTTTCGGGGGAGGTGGAAGGCTGTGGAAGAAACGAGGAACCCGGTCGGTGTATGGAGTATGGCGTCAGGCGTCAGGCGTAAAGTATGTATGTGTATGTATGGATGTATGGACGTATGTATCGGCAGGCTGTATGTAAGTTATGTATGTGTAAGTAGGCAAGATATGCAGGCAGGCGAGAGTGAAGAGTTGTGCGTGTTCCTCTGTGCGCGGGTAAAGTGACCAGGATTGCAATGCGGAGTCCAAGCCGGTCAGAAAATAGACCAAATCAAAAACAGTTCCAGCTCCCGTCGGGTGATGTGCAAGGCTAGCATAGCCTCGTGGTCACGCTGGAACCGGACGGGGAAGGGTAAGAATAATGAGGGTAAGGGACTAGAAACAAATTACAAAATATAATAATAAAAAAATCAAAATCAAAATGGGAGACGGGTCAATAAAATAAATCGAAAAAGGAAAAAAAAAAATGACAAGGATCTAGTCCACAGAAGGAAGAGGTGGCCGAAGGGTAGAACCCGGATAGTGCGAGATAAAAAAAAAAAAAAAAAAAAAAAGACCAGGGGGTGAGGAGAGGCGGTGGAGTGTGAGGGCAAAAGAAGTCGAGGTGGTCAATTTAGTAAGGTGTCAAGGATGCGTTGCGAGGGGGGTGGAAAAAAAAAAAAAGGACAAAGAGGAATAAATTGAAATCGACGGGGGATGGAAAAAAGGAAAATGGGTGAACAATCTTTTTTTCTTTTTCTTTTTCTTTTTTTTTTCTAAAGAAAAAAAGACCAGAAGAAAAGAAAAAAAGCCTCGGGGGATTTCAGTTATGACGTGAGCGTTAAAACACTCTTCTCAATGATAGCTCTCGCCCACAAGTCACAAAGGCAGGGTGCGGATGAGGCTGGATGGGAGAATGGGACGGGACGGGCCAACAGAAGACAGAAGATAAAGCAGAATGAGGAAGGGAAGGAGAAAAAATGAATTCTGTCGGGCAGGAGTACGTACCGGAGTATGTAGGTATTACTCAAGTGGTGGGCGTCAGCAAGCAAAAGGAATAAGAAGGCCTGGCAGTAGCGCGATGCACACTTGTCAGTATAGGATCAAACATCGAAAACGCCATCGACGCCGTGAGGATTGCGAGGTCAAGCTGTCAGCGGCAACGAAGGAATGTTCCAATTGACCTCTTACCCCTTTCCCCCTTCTTCTTTGCCTCCCCGGAAAACAGAAAGGGAGAGGAATGGATTCTGCAGGATCCCGCGGATCTGTGATTTGATCGAGAACCGTACCTTGAGATCTTAGAAATTTCGAGTTCGGGTGACACAAGGAATGAATGGAATCAAGTGGAGGGATCGGATCCAATGATAACAAGGAGAAAAGATTGAAGAATAAGAAACTATAGACAGGTTTCTTATCCTGAAATCGTGAAGAATGAGGAGCCCAAAATAGAAGAGGAGAGGGAGGAGAGAAGGAAGGAAGGGAGAGAAGGTTTGGACAAAAGCAAGTCAATTTGTGCACTTGAATGGGCCGGAAACAGGCAAGGAACAAGAACGGATCTATTTAGTCACTACTGAGTACCTTACTGTTATTTCTCCCTATCTTTGGCTGATTTTTTATTTAATTATTCGGGATTTTTTATTTATTTTATTCTATTTTATTTTTCTTACGGAGTATTCCTACCATTTTATTTTATTTTATTTTTTTTTCGAAAAGCTTCCTAGACACTCTCAAATTTCAACAACCTAACAACCACTATCTTTGCCCCTTGCAACTTGCTCTTGTCTACCCAGTAGAAAGTTTCAATTGTCAAACCCCCAATATGCCGAGTGAAATAAACCATGCGAAGAGATCCTAAACGACGGCTAGTGTGTATGGGTCGCCGACTCGCCGGTCCGTCCGAGAGGCAAAAAAAAAAAAGAAAAGAAAAAAAGAAAAAAAGAAAAAGAAAAAGGAAAACGGTTGGGTCAAGCGCAGGCAGAAGACACGAGACGCAGGGCGAGGGCCCCCCCGGCTGGCGGAAAGCGGAAGGCGGGAAGGGATGGAGATCTCAAGGGATGGCAATTCTCTGGGTCGAATGGGTCAAACTGAGCACCGGTGGAATATTCGTTCCATGGATGCAGCCACGCCGTACGGAGTATGTTTTCTTTTTCTTTTTCTTTTTTTCTTATTTCTCTTTTTGACTTAATTTTGAATTGTTTTACGGGGTATTCCATTTTATTTTTCTGTTAATCGTCTTTCAACCCTCCCAAAAAGGACGGAAGGAAAGCATTAAATCATATTACATGGACATGGTACAACATGAGCTAATTAATTCAAGGTTCGGGAGCCAATCCCCGTTATTCAGATGGAACGAGAGATGATCATTGGTTTAGACGCGAAAATCAACCACGCGGGCGATTTAATTCATGCTCCAAGACCCAAGTGTCCTGATCCCAGATTTCATCGACAGGCGATGGTTGGGCAGAAGGCGACCATTTAATCTAATTGGAAGTGGGACATCAGAAGCGGTCTAGGAAGCAAGTACGAATTTAGCTGTTTAGTGAGAGGGAGGAAAAGAGGGGGGGGGGGGGGAGTTCAGAGAAGAGAGGGGAAAATTCGCAGTCGAAGGTCCATCATGAGAGGAGAAAAAAGGCGGTCATGGAAAGAAACTTAACTGCACGGAGTAGATGAACGGTCCGCAGACGGAGTGGAGACACGCTAGCGGCCCATAGATATGGATGGGCTAGAGTAAGACGCAGCTAAAGCATTCATGGTTCCATGGGGATCACCTGAGTCGCTGAGCGGTCTTCGAGTTGGGCGTTTGGCAGGCCTCGGCGACCAGTTGGAGCCAGCGACTACTGTAGAGGGTAGAGTCTAGCACTCTAGCGTAAGTTTGCGAAAAGGCGCAAGTGACGAGTGACAAGTGACGAGTGACAAGGGACGAGGGATGACGGAGTGGGAGGGTACGCCGGGACGGGTAAAGGCGCCGTGACGGAACTCCACCGACCTCCAACTCCTTCCGTCTCCAGTTGGTTTGTTTAGCGCTCGGGAGGTACGGGAGCGTATCATTCCCTGTCAGTCTGCCGGGCACACAGTTGGTGCCTTCGATTGGGGGTTGGTTTTTCGTCTCTTGGACTGCAGCTGTCAATCCCTGGGAAGTATGATTAATTGATTATCCCCAATCCCTCCGTCATCATATTCTCAAGCAACAGTATCACACAAGTAACCATAATAGTCAGTAATATACCGATACATCAATGCGCACTGATATTACAAGCCATTTCCGGTCCCCGCTGAGGGTAGGGACTAGGAATTAGGCAAACCAGTACTGTACACCTACTCCGTACTCCGTATAGAGCAGACCTCAGTCTCCGTTTCTATGCATAGCATTGAGTCATTGCACAAGAAATATTATCAATTAAAACCAAACCCCGTCCAAAACAAACAAACGGCATAGACCGAACAGATCAAAAAGCCGAGGCAGGCAAAATCCAACAGGGTACGGGGGATGTCTCATCTGACCAGGGCAGAACAACATCGACTAACCAACTAACCCGGTTTCAGCTCCTAGACCGACAGACGGTGCTTTGGCCTGGTACCTAGATAGCACCTGCATGACTAGGGAGGGCTGGGGCAGACTTTCAAGAGGAGCTTCGTGCATCGGAAGGATGTTATTTTCATTTCTTAGGATAAATAGCCCTGTAATATGTGTACGAACCGCCTTCATAGCTGCAGGTCACTGTGCGTCCAGAGTGGTACTTTAAGGTACCATTCGACCTACTTACTACCTATTCGAGTCGCCCGTACATATCCCGTGTGATTCTAATGATTACTATGCATGAATCACCACTCCTGCAAGTCTGTTGTTATTGACCTCGGGAAAGAAAGAGAAGGAGAGATCCAGACGCCCAGAAAGACCGAATTAATTTAAAAGAAAATAATAACAACAATAAATAAGAAACGCGGCAACGTGGAATTCCCCAATGATTGGGTACAACAGAATACGCGCGATACCAATCGCATGCCTCGTTGGCAACTCCGTCTCCGTGCCATGGTGGTGAACCAAGGTTCTGTTCGGGGAGAAGCGACCCCTGGGGTCCACCCGGGTAATGCCCGAGTCCTAAGAAGGAAGAGGGGCTGACGGGCCGTGGATGGCCAAAAACGAAGTGATTAAAGCCCTACTTTTACCTCGACTAGACACGCATGCTCCGTACTGTACCTACTATCTGATTAGGATTAGGTACAGTTGATTGCAGCTGCAGAAGATTATTCATCATCTTCCGCTTCCGCCTTCCGCTCCAGCTTCATCATTTCTGGCCCCTCGCATTAGAATCGTCCAGTCGATAAGGAACCGCATAGGCCTTACCACCGGCTGACAGGATGAGAATTCCTCCACGCGCCGGGCACAATCAAGCAGAAGGCAAACAAAGGGACGAAATTACAATCGAGCATCATGGGGAAATGATTATTATCGTTATTATTGAACGACCCAGCCCCCAATTTAAGTCCCACTCATTTTCTGACTCCGTAGTCCGTGTCCTTTGTCCTACCCGTTTCTAGAATATACCGGTCTCGTGTCTTTAGCTAGGACTCGCGCTAGGATTTAAGGGTACCAAAGAATTAACTCGGCCAATGGAGACAAGGGCAGACCGAAAATCCTTCGTCTGATTTGAAAATATTAGTGTATCCCGACTTTGTGCCTTCGGTCAGACAAACTAGTTATTACACCTTGGGGCTTGCTCCATCATCCATGCAAGTGAGCGGCCATCTGAACCATGGAATGATTCTCTTAGTGT